GTAAAAAATAATAACTATACATGAGTCATGTTGAATTTATATACATGAATCCTATTAATATGTAACACGCATAGATAATTTGTTTTGGATGGCGGCAACAGCCTACCTACAAATAACAGTTATATAATAATAATATAATGATATTAAATGGAACTATGACTGAATAATCTAAACATTGAATTTCTAATTATATTGATCAAAAATAATATGAGCGAACGTCTGTTTCTTATATCTTACTCTTCAGGTTCCATACTTATCATTCTATGAAATAAAATAGCCTAGTCAGCCTATGGTAAACATTTAAATTAATTCAATGTTAACACAGTAAGTGAGTATAAAGGTTGAATGAAGATTAAATGTAGTGGATGTGATCTTTGTAGTGCTGGTTATATGCTATGAGCTTGTTATGAACAGAACAATGGCGATTATTATTCTACCTTCAAAATTTATATGAACTTCATTTAATGACCATTTACCATTAAAACAGACTGTTTAAAGATTGAAATAGTTTTAAATTAGATATTTTTATACCTACTTTTATGGATTTATAGCTGCAGGGTGGACAGTGGATGATATTGAAAACAGTTATTTTTTGTAGTTATTCTTGTTCCAAGAAATCGATATCAGTTAGAAAACCAGTGAAAACCAAGGAGTACCGGATAGCTATTTCGTCCTAGTTCTGGACTCTTCCAGAACACGTACGCATCGGGTATCGAACACAGGACCTTCACACCTAAAGGCATACTCTTATACCATTCAGCCACTTGGACCCTATCCAGTGGTCCATGAATTCTAACTTCTAGCAATTCGTGATTTTACGGCGACCACCAGCCAATGTCATCGGCAAGTATTTGTCTCCACTGGTCCACCAGGTCGAGCATGCCTTCAGACCTGCAGGTCCTGGGTTCGATACCCGATGTATAAGTGTTGCGGAGGTGTTCCAAACTAGGACGAAACTGCTGTCCGGTACTTCCTGGTTTTCAGTGGTTCTCTAACTTGAAGCAAATCAAATCCCTACAATCTAATTCTTGAGAACATATCAACTTAAGTATTTGATTGGTGAATCACAGTTCTCTTCAGTTATGGTGATCAGGTCAGAATAATATTCTTTCAGGTTCAAATTACCTAAATGTTTCAGTCACAGGGTGGAAAATTACACATTAAATCTTAAGTATTGAATGAAGTTTATGCGAATATACCAAAATAAGTTCCTCCAGTTACTCATATTCAATCAAGCAACATAGTAACTAATATCAGAAGATAGACTAAGAGTGTTAAGTAAAAGGAGCACGATTTAGTGAACAAAGGTAGGAAGTTTCATTGGTTGAGGTAGCTAGAACGTATGCCAAACTATCACCTATTTCAACAAGTATTATTAAGTGAAGTAGGATATGAATGGAAAATAGTTAGGGGTGGTCACGTCAAGACATGCTGTCTGCCCTGTGAATTTTTATTTAAGTCGCGTAGATAGGAACAGACGAAATACGCCTCGCTGGGATTCTCAAGGTAATAAGAATCAATAGTCAGAGATTACTCGAAATTATCTATAAGCGCCCAGGTGAATTCACTTCTCATCGTCCTTCCAGGTTCTAGATTATTCTTCCTATCACATATCTTCACCCGTTACAGTTTTGATAGATTTCTTTTCTTTACTTTAGTGCGCTTCTCCACAGTGTGTCAAATTGAACTGCTGATCTGTTAACCAGTCAGCACTACGACCTCTATAGCTAGATAAGTTAATAATAAATAATAAAAACACGTCCGATAAAGGACAAGTCATGTCTGATATTTTCCTTTTTTAAAGGAGTTTAATGATTTTAGCAGGGAAACATATACTGGTTCATTGGGATGCTAAATTAATCAACAAAGTGACTTGGTAATATGTTGACTTGATATACAACCAAATTCATATCCAAACTGTACTGATCTCACACCTGGAAATGACTAAGTAAATATATCATGACTACAGTAAACTGATTGACTCATATATCAAACTGTTAAGCAAAAGACCTCATATATATATATATATATATATATATATATATATATATAAAGTCTTTTGCTTAACAGTTTGATATATGAGTCAATGAGTTTACTGTAGCATGATATATTTACACACAGAAGAATGAGACAGATACCACAACTTTAATAACCATCATCAGATAGCCAAAACTCAATCAAGGGTAAGAAAAAGGTCACAAAACAATCAATACAATTTAATGATTCATTTACGTACAGTATTTTTCAAAGTGATTTGTCATTAAACTAAACTGATTATTTGATACATTGGTAATTAAGGTGTTCGTGTAAAACTATTGTATTTAAAAATGATAAAAGAGAGGTTTCTAGATGCTATATAATGCACGTTTGTACGTCAGTGGTTCAAAAGTAGAATTCTCACCAAGCATATAGAGGAACCGAGTTCGACCTCCTGCCAATGTACACGCCTAAACCTTACCTAGCTTACTAACTAACAGTAAGCCTCGAAAAAGAGGGAAGGTTCATTATGAGGCTGGGGCAACCCCGACCCGTAGAACAAAACCACTGCTACTGAAATTTCAAAGCTGGAAAGCCCTAAGTTTCCCTCGGAATGTAAAGAATGTTTAAAAAAATAATGTACGTCTAAAGTACTTTTCAGAAGCGGCTATATGCAATCTAACGAAACAAACTAATCTTTGAAATGATAAAAAAGAATTATAACTCTGAATAAATATAGCAATTATTCGGCGTTCTTGAAGTCGTAGACATTCATTCCACAATCACGCGCATGAAGACACACACTTCACAGCATGATACGATTATTTTGAATGATAATTTGTGCACGAAATGTCATCCAGTTTATTATGACTTTCTGTGTCATATCAGATAAATGTATCTAACATGGAATTATAATTTAAGTATACCCTACAATCTGTAAAACCTGAGATAGAAGATAGAGAAAGATTATAAAATGTTCACAGACAATAAGGTGACAGTGTCTAGAAGGCATTAACGTAAAATTACACACTAATATAAAGCATGAATGCCATGTATGAACTTGATTTAAGAATATAACTTGGGCGTTATGGGAGAGTAACTCTATATATTCGAATAAGTTATTTGATTGTCAGAGTACAATTATATTTACTAATAGAGTTTATATTAGCACAGCTTTCAATGTTCAATCTGGTCTATTCACATTCATACTTTATAGGTTCATCGTCCATTTAAATCAGAATTCTTATGAACAGATTGAATCTGACTTCAGTTAAATAACTTGTCGATTTTTTATTCTGAAACTTTGCTTAGATGACGTCAACATTATTTGTCCTGACAAATAACAAAGAAACTATTATTGTTATGATCATAGTCAGTTTAGTTTGTTGCATAACTAATGAAATTAAATGACTACTTCATAAAGTCATTTCCGACCGATAGCTGCTAAATTGACGTGGTGGTCAGGCTTGCATATCGCAATGAATAGCCATTAGGCCAAAAGCAGTAACAAGAGATGTTTACACTATACTGGAGTCTGTGGGTAAAGTTGTGCTGCTGGGGAGCAGGGGTGTAACAGCAGTAAGGTGGTCCATAACCGGCGGTAAGTTACTAATACGGAAACAACTCTAAAAACCAGTTCAAGCAGGTTGTATGTGACCGGTCTCAAACAGTTGTTCCGTGGGTTCTTCAGTCACTCAAAACTATTTATCTTTCTGTTTCAGGTATCTCAGTAAACAAAATCAACTCCCACGGTGTGGGCAGCCTTGAAGTAACAACCGCCCACACACTTCCAAAAGCACAAGAAGCTCTCCCGAACCTTACTATTATTGAACACTACGGAAATTGGTAGTTTGTAAAAGATTGATTTATATAACAACCAACATATAATCTAACCAAATGTTCAGATATTTGGTCTGTTGGGATTTGACTGATCTATAGCAGATATTAATATTAATACGAACTGACATAATATACGAGAACAACCGAAAGTTAAGAGGCAAAATATGTTTGATTTTCAGTGATTTTTCTAACCGATGCCTCTTCATGCCGGAAATCTATCTTAGAACAAGACATATAAGCGAACAATATTGTTTTCAATTAGATCTTCTTCAGGCTTTACTCTAATTTATATAGATTTATATATAAAATTTTAACCAATGACGGTGATTTTGGGAATCAAATAATAATCATAATAATAAAATAATAATAATGTGGTAAATGTTTTGAACGAAGTTAATAACGATGATTATAATGATAACAAAATATTGATAATAAGGTTTATGCAGGTGATAAGAATAACAAAGATAGTATATGTATATAAGTGTATAAATAAATTAGGTCAAATCTTAAAAGGTGAAGTGGAACGATAATCAGAGTTTAAATAAATATTATAAAAGTACGAAGGAGGTGGAAAATAAGAAAGGGTGGGAGGGTTTTGAATACAATTCACCTAGGCCAAGGGAGAGACAAAGGTAGAACAAACTTCTTTTGTATGCAAAGACTAGGATTGTTCTCTCGAATTCCCATAGCTTCGGCTAGGTGTAAAAGACGGGTTCTGATTCCATTCGAAAGACTCGATGGAATACGATAGATAACTTTGAAAGCACTATTTTTGTCCACTTGGTGACAAATGATAACTTGATATTGTATCATCGCTAGACGCTTGTGCTCTGTTGTGCTTCAAAAGTGTTACATCTCGTCACAGAGCCATCTATGAGGAGTACAGTGAAAGACAATATTTCCTTACCCTATTTTTTAAACTGCACATATTTATGTAGATGTAACCTAATCAGACAAAAAAGTGACACATTCCCTCCAAGTTCGACGACATTACTTCTTGTTAAAGTGTCAAAACGTACACCTGCAGAAAAAGCAGGAAACACAACAGTATCATTGATAGAAATACTTTAATGTTATTAAGTAAATCTCACCCACGTAATAACCGTTAAGTCATCTAAAATATGTTAGGCAACAGGTATATATGGTTATTAAAAAAACAACTTTTAAAACATAATTCTACTTACCTACGCGGTTGCATTACATCAGCTGCAACTAACATACTATCCAATTCATCATAAGCTCCAAGATAAGGATAGTCGTTCAATCGAATATGCTCTTCATAAATACTGCCATTTGTCAATCTATCACCAGTCCATTTACTAACCATAGCTGCAATCATTAACGGGATAATATAATTCAATCTACAAAAAGAGAGAAAATATTCATTATCAGAACATAAAATATCAATGAAACAAGAGTAAAAAACGAATGAAAGATGAACACTTCTACAACAGTAAACTTTGGTAATGTCTAGAAGTGCAGATAAATGACAAATGAAGATAAAATATGTATGGCTCATACTGTGATATATGGGAAACTTAGTTCAGGTAGTTAACTTTTAACGAAGACACTACAGCAGGAGCCATTACCATTTCTTCCTAACACAATCAGCGACATATTGTCACAACAATATGGTGAGTATAATAAAGTACTTGTAAAAAAAAACTATAAATCAACAGATCATAGTGTTTAGTAGTAGACCAATCAAAACTACAGTAAAACTGTATCTATATTTGCTGATGGGGAAGTATGTTTTCACAATAAGTGAAAAGTGCTAGCTATAATTCACATAAATAACCCTAACCTATGAGTGAAATTTCCTTTCAGTAACCAAAAATTTCAAGTCGTGTTTACTCGATTAGACGACAATGTAGATATAAAAAGACTTTTTTTAAAATTAGATAATTGGAAGAAATCGGTAGCAAAACCCTGAACCTAGGTTTCGTGCTTATTGTCATTCGTCTTCAACAAGTAGTATCTGCAATCTCGAATGAATCGATATCCACTAAGAGATTCTAACCCCACATTGTTCAGCGCTTCAGTCATAGACGTCATCAATGATGAGTGTAAAAAAGCAACAAAAAAAAACATCCAGGGCTTCTGTAGATTAATTTCAACCATCTAATGATAATTCAGTGTGCAGTGATAGCTAATCTCACTAGCGACTGGCCCTATTCAGGTAGGTGGTTACCTGGGATTCTAGTGGGACGGCGTGACCAGTAGGGTGCAGCAGGTCGGGTCTGAGGACAAATACTCACAGAAGACATTGGCTAGCGGTCGCGCTATGTCGTGAATTGGCAGAAGTTGGAATTCATGGACTGGCCATTAGATCGGGTCCCAGTGGCTTAATAGTCTACGAGCTCGCCTTGTAACCAGAAGGTCCTGGGTTCGAACCCCGATGGGTGCGTGCTGCTGAAGTCCCAGACTAGGACGAAACCACTGGCTGTCCAGTACTCCCAGGTTTTCCAATGGTTCTCTAACCGATGTCAGCTCATGATGAAATCCCGTAACTGATCTCTCGTAGTTTGATGATGCTAGTTACATCCCAATGACAAAACAATTAAAAGACTTTAAAATGTATATGACTGAAAAACAAACAAACAAACACACTAACAATGAATAGTTGATCAATTTTTAATTGATGATGACGAGAACACTTACAAAATCACATTCATCTAAGTACCTAAATCCGACTATTTCTAGAATAACTAATAAGTCAATAGTAATGGTGACAAAGTACCATGCATAATATGTAAATGTGTATATAAATGCACTGAGGCAACTGTAAAACAGTTAAATAACCATCCTTTTAAAAATATAAGTGCACAATACAATCACAATCAATAATAATTTATTCAATTGTTATATAAATACATACATATACATATCAATGCCATTAGAGGGTAATTTCAGACACAAATTAATCATTCATGAATTGTCATGATGAATGATGAAATAAAATGTAAATAAAGGTGATAGCAATGCATGTTGATTCATTGAAACATTTACGTGAAACATAGTTATATCGAATGAAAGTCAGTTGATATGTAACAGAAAACCATATGATCATTACAAATACTACAAGATTTATACTGGAACAAAATGAATACCAACTAGTTATAATTATCAAAAGTGAATAATATCTTTTTTCTGTATTGTGCGTCGGTGGCACAGCGGTTGAATGCTCGCCAACCAAGAATGTGGTTAGAGGGTTCAATCCCCGGCCCACACATTCCTTTACCTGGCTAAGCCAGTAATAAGACTGGTAAAAAGGGAAGGTTGGACATGAGGCTAGCAACCCCATCCCGTAAAAACAAACACCACTTGCTGCAAAAACTTCAGCCTAAGCCTGAAGCCCTATGTTTCACTGGAAACTTACAGGAATAAAAAAAATTTATTACTACCAGAACTTAAGCCCTATGTCCATTTCATACACTCTGACATACTTTTGTTATTAGCTTGAAACAAAGACAACTGCAATGGAATCTGCATTTGTAAAGTCTTCGAAATAGTATATAGTGTAATTTATTTCAACATCTTTAAGCTCAGCATCGTGTTTAATATACTACTACTCAGTGATAGGTACAAGTTTTAAAAAATTATAAAACAATCAGTTATTCATCTAGATAAAAGGTTAATAGTATCCTAAAAGGCTTATTACAGATACTGTAGAAAAGAACTTCAGTTACAGCCATAGAAAGTCACACTGTTAAGAATAATTAACAATCACAAATCAGAAGTCACAATGTGAGATATCCGAGTAAACTGTTTACAAATACTGTTGGTATTAGATGCTTGGAGGCAATCGGCAGCACCAAAGACAGGACTAGACACACACACACATTACACTAGCTATTGACTAATGTCCAATCAAAAATACCCAATACAGTCCTACAAGAGGTCAATCGCGAGCCTGAATAGCTCAATGGCAACGTCTCTGACTGCAGCACTGGGTGACACGGGTTCGAATCTCAGAAGGGACATGAGTTCCTTCGATGTTGCAGATACGCCTTGCTGAGTACCAGGGCTTCCTGCCGATTGTCTCCAACCATCTAATACCAACAATTCCCAGTGCACTATGATGGCGAGCCACCTAGCATGGTGGTCAAATTGCAAACTTGACTGATAGAATTTAGTCTGCACCAAAGAAAGGACAAAACACACACACATTACACTAGTTGCTGACTAGTGTTCAATCAAAAATATTTACAAATATGTTAATAAAACTATTACATCGATATTGTTGAACAATACTCCGACTTTTGAAGCTTACACTTTGGCAGACTGAATACAACATGTTCCTTCCTAGATTAAACATATATACAAGGACAAATGTATCCTAATTCTAGTTCCCTCAGAATCCTATGCTTTTGAATGGCTCACCAACAATGTCAGCCAACATTTTCGATTGTCGATTAATTTTAATTCAATTTATAGTGAAAATTATCTGGCAGTTTAAACAACCTAACTTAAATTTATGATACAGCGGTTACACATACAACTAATCCTTGAAGTTTCAACACAATCCATCATAAATAATGAATTGAATTCATGAATAGACTGCCTAACGTTTTAAAGCAAGCCGTATAAACAGGATAATAGAATTCCAACAATCACAATCAGAATGAAAAGATTTTAATGCCCTTTAAACTTGGAAATCGAAAACAAAGTAAACATCGAATTATGCGAAATTTAGCTTTTTTCTTAGGGTTGAGAGACTTGACTCTCATTATTTATCTTACAAGCATGACTTAAAAACACCAAACAGACAACAATAATATAGTCCGAATAATCAGGATAGGTTAATCGTATTACGTGAACTGTGCATGAAAATATCGATGATAAGAAGAAATTCAAAGAGGAAGGAAAAACACAACAACTAACTGTTATTTACCCTCCAGTTAACTCTAGCATCACTACAACTAGTGATATTGTCATTCTTGTAACACCGCCAAGTGTCGCTGCTGCACCAACCATAGCATACAGGCCTGGATTAATACACGGTTGTGATGATTTGCACATTTTTTCAATAAGTGGATGTGATGCATGCGCTACAACAAATTGTTCCGTAGCTATGCCCAACATTCGACCCATAATAGCACCAGCCTAATTGAGTGAAAAGCATGAAGACGTTCATAAAAATAAAAATTCATTTCAACATAATAAAATAAACTGAAAATAAAAATCAACCATATTGCATATCTGAATGACTTATCGACTTAGAATTTTTGGCAAAGTTAAAGTATCACAATCCACGGAATGCGAACGCACATTTGACCTTGAGCCGACCATTCATCAGGAAATATAGTGGTTTCTGCATAAAAATGACGTTTATTTACAAAAGAAATATAAAGCATAATGATAAAACACATTAAACAGGATATTTTACTCTGACATGATTTAAAAATAGCTCCCAATTAAAATGAAGAGTATAAATTTTTAAGTTAGACCAGTTTCTGTACATGTATTGGCCGAGGTGACTGAAGATGAGCTATTTTTGTGACCCGTTTATCGCTCTTATCCTGTTCTACAGTCTTCCCCAAAAGCCCTCGATTGAATTACTGTGGTTTCCAGTAAGAGTATCGACGACTACTTACTAGGGGAATGTGGATAATAAAACTAATTAAAATAAATAATGACATATACTAAATAATGGTAATAATACCAATATAATAATACCCTAATACCTACCTTAACCCTAACGAGCTATTAACACATTGTCTAAACAGTAGTTTAAGACGTGATCGGGGTGTAATTGACACCTTAATTCGTGAATGGCGTTCACATTGGCGCCATAATAATGGTAAATCTCGTTATCCAACGACTAGTATGCGTTCAAGGTGATTGGAGTGTTTGAACTCCTGGGCCATTATACATTAACTTGGCCGAATTTTGTACCAACGTGTGTCAGCTCAAGTAGCCACATCAAAAAGCATAAATAAAATTAGAAAAATGCAGTGCAATGAAATTACGATGAATGAAGATGTGCAGGAGAAGTATAAGGTGAAGATTAGTGAGGATTTTTAGAACTTAGATGACAGAAAGGAAAGAATTAACCTACGGCATGCATTCAAAATCGAAGACTTACAAGCGAAAACCGACAAACCGGTCGAAGAAGCAGCCAGAGAAGACAGGACTCCAGGTGAACATAGACAATACGGAGGTTATGAAAATAACCAACCAACCAACAACAACAACAACAGCAACATCCACCACCAATCACCATCAATGGGAGGGATTTGAAAGAGGTTACTTCATTCACTTATCTAGGGAGCATTGTCTCAACTACAGGAGGCACGGACGAAGATGTCAAATCGAGAATCGGAAAGGCGAGAAACACATTCATCAACCTGAAACCAATCTGGAAATCTTCGTCACTCAGCCTGCATCAACAACAAAATTCGGATTTTCAATACAAACGTCACGTCGGTCAGTTCTTCTATACGGATGGATCAGAAACTTGGCGGGTCACAAAGAATATTTCCAACAGCCTGTTGCAGACCTTTATCAACAACTGTCTTCGCTCTATACTCAAGATCAGATGGCCGGAAAGAATCACCAACAAGAAACTGTGGGAACAAACAAAACAAGAACCAATCGCCCAACAAATATGCAGGAGAAAGTGGAGATGGATTGGACACTCTCTGAGGAGGTCGCTGGGTGACATCACGTGTCAGGCCATAGCTCGAGTGGAACCCGAAAGGGAAGCGGTGATTGGGACGTTCAAGGGTGACATGGAGGAGATTGTGTGAAGAGGAGCTGAAACAGTATGGACTAACATGGATGCAAGTGAAAAGTACAGCAGAAGACAGAAGCAAGTGGAGGCGTGCAGTTGAAGCCCTATGTTCCACTAGGAACCCAAGGGAACAATAATAATAATAATGCATTCAGAATGAATTTCAGTTGCATTGGAAACAGTTCCTTAATAGCTCAAACCAACAGTCAAAGACCTCATTGATTGATGCCTTAAGTTCTTCTGACCACTGATTCTCAATCTAGTCTAATTTCACCCAATATCACACGCCAAGGAAGGTAGTGAGTGTGTAACACACACCTTAATCATCCTAATCGAAGAAATTTCGAATATTCTTTGATTGCCTTTACCACATCGTAGTGATAAGAAGTAAGAAAAATTTATGACTAAAATAACAAACTATGAACAAATTTCGACTGTACTAAAACATACATACTGATAAATTTTCATGCAGTTGATTTAATGCATAGTAAAATGAGAAAGGAACAAATATACTTCTTAACCAGGACCCATGATTTCTTAGATACATCTTTTGAAACCTATCCACACAGCATATGTCTTTAGACACTTTATAACATTACTATTGCCAAGACTGCTTCCATCATAAGGTCAACCATGAGTTGAAGAAACATCCATTTCCATTGAGGAATCAAGTCAGGTATTCGTAAATTGTGATCAAACAAAAAGAAACCTTGACATACGGATTGATAACCACACTTCAGGCATTTTATAATAGTTGACAGTTTACAACTTGTTCATATATTGCAAACTTCGTGATTGTTTAAGAAACTCAACAGGAAATAAACAAAAAAAAAACAGTAGAAAATTAGTAAAAACAAAAGAATATTTCAAAAGGTGTATACTTACTGCTAAGGATGGGATGAACAATCCAGTCGGCACTTTGATACCAAATGTAAAGACAGTTAAGATAAGTTTTAGAATCAAGGCAATTGCCAACAATACCACAGCCGTCGATAATGTCGGTCCAGCAGGATAATTTTGTAAAACTGTAGCGAGAGGATTACTTGTATTGTAACGATAATCACTAGAAAACAAAACAAAGGAAGAAAAACAAAAATTTTAAGTTTTCAAGGGATTTGATTGGTTACAGGATTTTCATCATGAGCTGACATTACTTAGAGAAGCATTGGAAAACCTGGGAGTACTGGACAGCTGTTTCGTCCTAGTTTGGGACTCTTCATCAGTACGCACCCATCCCAGGTTTTCCAATGCTTCTCTAACTAATGTCAGCTCATGATGAAAATCCTGTAAAAAATTTTAAGTACTTTTTAGGGAATTCACATTTATTACAGTGGTTACAAGAGTAAATTACGACGAGCCATCTCCTTAGCCTAGGCAGAAGAATTCAAGATACTATTCGGCTGAATTCATCGATATAGACAAAAATTGTTCATACTGCTTAGAGAATGCATCATAGTGAGAAAATTAGGCTAGTTAGCTTCTGTTAATAAAAATTTAGAAATTTCTTGGCATTAAGGCACAAATATATAGAGACATTGAAATAAGAGTATAAATTGGACACAGGAGTGACTTAATTGCATATCTCCACTAATTGTAGCGTTGTAATCCGTTGTTATGGTGGTTTGATGACAGACTATATTTTTCGTATACTGTTCAAATGAAACTTTGCTTTAAAAATTTTTCCGGTGTAGATATTATAGGTGAGGTTACATTCTTGAACTGAGTTACATTTGCTGCACTTTTATCAGAAAATGTTGCTTGATACTGATATCTGAGCAATGTAATGGATTAAAGGAGGTAGTAGGTTCAAAAGTTAAACGTAAATTATTGAATTTTTCTGAAATCATGTCGGTATATTTTGGCCTATTTATTTAAACGCCCTAATATCCACCAGATAAAGGTGGCACCATTTCAAAAGAGAGATATTCCATATAACCACCCGATTGGTAAGATTATAAAATCGAACCAGCTGGAGTGAAAGATGTTTCTTGGTGGCAGGAGTACAACTGTAAATGAGGAAATTTTACAGAGGTAAATAATTAGTATTGATCTGATACACATCGGCGGGTGTAACGTATTCGGTGGTGGAGTTCCACGAGAAACTTGGGATCGTTTATCAGAGACTTCCAGTGATTGTTACTGTTACTATTAATGGAAGACAGACTTGATGCATTATGGGAACCAAGAGATGCGCCACACAAAATATCACAGTTTATCCGGGGACTAAGATACTACTCGGATGCCCAAACTGAAGCAGGTGGTTGTCTTAAGAGGCCACCCCACCCCTTCCAGCCTGATCCACAAGTCAGTGTAGTGGCGTCAGGAGCTGTGTTCTTATGGTCTCCGGTAACCAAGACAGGTTCATTTGTCATTCGATCCTTTCGGATTCTGGAGTCGATGCACACCATAGTTTTAGAATCAGTGTTTTCCAACTCCCTTATGTAGACCTGCATGCCAATCAGTCTGGTTGTAAGCGCTAGAATTCCAGTGTTATGACTTTTAATGATATATATATATATATATATATATATATCGACACCTTAGCTCACCGCTTGCAAGTCGAAAGTGTCGACCGATTTCATCAAATCAAAACTCAAGGCATTATCGGGGCATCTGTTTAAAGGGCCTACATTGTTAAAAAACACCAATCAAATCGATTGAACAATATTATCAATACAAAATAAAACGTATAAATAAATAAGTATATAATAGCATATTATTTATCAAATGTTATTATGTATAACAACACGTATCATTCTTACCACAAAGAAGAATCAGATCCTGGTGAACATCGACTAACAAGAAGTTTAATCAGTTCACTTGTATTCATACGAAGGTAAGTATGTGGAAATGATAAGACCGCAGTAATTAAAGACACAACAAGTACTTCACGAACAGGATATTGACCCAACCAAGTAGATTTTCGTAAACGACAAATATATAGATTTGCCCGATTGAAAATAGTGCCAAAAATGCCCTAGAAAACAGAACATATTCATTCAAAATACAATCAATTGTTAATTATGTGTAGCAGTTATTTTTTATAAAGAAAAAATCAATTAAAATATATTACAAACTAGAAAAAAATGCAAAATAGCAACTTGGAGACTATAATTTAACTGTAGGTATTTGCTGAAAGAAATGTTGGTGGTTTTATTACTTTTTCTGTTTAGGTCGTCTAATCGGAGCATTCAGTGTCAACCTACTTACCACATTTAGTCTTGAATTATGTGGATAAGGTGTCAAAAGATGATGGATAACATGAACAAAAACGCTATCCAAAAGGTTATTTATACTTATATATATATATATATATATATATATAATTATTTGTATAGTCTTTTTTGACAAGAATTGTAGATCATAGTAGGATCATAACCATGACATGTTTTGTGAGACAGAAGCTTTATTCATGTGCAGTGGTAGAGTCGCGTGAAGTTATACCTATTACTAAAGCAATATTTGATTTCCAAGTTACCCATTCTGAAGTACCAAGAAAAACCAAGAGTACACTTAGCAGCCTGATAGAACACAAAGCAGTGGTAGGCACTGTATATCCTTCTCTCTCTCTCTTCTTCCAAAGCCTTGAACCATTGAAAGATGGTTATGAATATCACTGAGGATGATATGGGACAGTTGTTTACCATGATGAGTGTTATATTCGCTCTGAAGATGAACATTTTTAAACATACGGCATTTTCAGGCTAGTGTGCAAGGGAGTTATTGTGGCTTCTTCAGGAATCAGCTATTTTAGATTTCATCAAATGTGTATCTGAAATGACTGACCTGTCTATAGTGTCCATTCTCTTCGGTAATGCATACGGTTCCCACTGGGACTTCTGATTTTCCATATTGTTAACCATACAAGTTTTACCTTACACCACATCTTTAAAACCGCCGCATTGTGAGCAGACACGTTAATACTTATGTAATTGCATTGAAAACAAATTGTAGGTGAGTTGATAACTGATAATGCTTCATTTGCTCACTTTTGTATTACGAGTATTACAAGTAAGCTAATTTTTGTCTTGTTCATGCAATTTCTGCCTTGTAAAAACCATTCTTATGGAAATACACTCATTCGTTTTGCCATAGTTAACTAGTTTACCAGACTATTACCTACTTCATTGACTCTTAGAAGGATATCTATATTTTACTGAGATACAACTTTCTGGAGACCGATGAGCTCACCTGAACTCTATACATTATTGCAAAATATAATACCCCTTTATATACGACTACAATTCAAGGGCAATAAACCAAGTGAGTTAATTACAAAGAAATTAAGAAAAGCAGTTCAAAGGACTTTTAATGCTGGCGAACTACACATCTTATTCTCTACAAGACCGATGGTGCTACCTCGACTGAAAGATGAAGTACCTAGACTAGCTGGCCACTTCAAATTGTATTTATCAATTCAACTGCGCTTGTGGAGCGAGTTATATTGGCCGTTGCTCTAGGAACTTGATTTTTCGTGCTCGAGAACATATCCCACTATGGCTAAGTAAAGGTGTAGTTAAAAGTATTAACAGCTCGATATTAGACCATCTGGTGCAAACCGGTCACAAAGCCAGCGTAGACGAATCCTTCTCCATAATATACCGGGTACCTAACAAACTACCAAAATCGTCGAAGCACCGCTTACTCCAAACAGCAGAGGCTATTGCAATTCGCCTCAAACAACCAGCGCTCTGTGTCCAAAAGAAACAAGTCCAGCCCCTACTACTGCCCTGGCCCTCAGTAGAGACTATAAACTCATGAATTTGTACCATTACCTTTCCTAATTCTTCTGACATTCAGTTTATTTGATGTTGATGCTGTTCAGCTGTAATTTATCAATATTATTGATTTGATGTTATTTAAACATTAATGTCGTTCATAAGACTAATTCATTCATTCATTATAATGTATATATAATTGTAGAACCTGATGATGAATTTATCGAAAAGAGTTCTCTTTGTTCAGTGTCTATTCTTTTGAAAATTTTAATGGGCATTTTTAATCAATTAATACCAAATTATGTGGATGGTAAGAAGCCAAGAGACCGAATCACATAAAGATCAGAAAAAGGATACGAACCAGCAGCACTACGCTAGAACTAGGGATACGTTAGATTTAGAATTCAAGATTTAATTCTATAAAATTGAAGTATATGTAAGTGATCATAAACTTTTCAGAATAATAATGTATTGAATGATATTTAGTCTAATCCTCTAACAAATCAATACTGACTTCACAAATAACATGCCTAGATGGTTGTTCTATGAAACGAATTTGAAAATTTTCTAACCTAATGAAATCAATATTACTGTAAAATATTCACAACTACACACTAAAATATTATCCCGTCAGTATTTCAGTTGACTATTAAAAACAAAAAATAAAGCCAAACTTACTCCAAGTAATCCAAGTAATGCAAAAGGAAATAATTCCATAACATGCCATTGTGCTTGATAATCAACATAGAACATAATCATATTATCACTTCCATAAGGATTCAATATACGCAGGACATTAGCCGAGACCATTGCACAGAAAAATGATCGAAACATTGTTTTCATTGGAAAGTAATAACTAGCTTCTTCTAGGGAGAAGAGAACACCACCGATCGGTGCACCAAATGCTACAGCCACGCCAGCAGCTGCTGAAGCTGATAAAATCTAATATCAGAATAAATTAAGTGAAACGAGAGAGAAATGTAGCTAGTAATTTAAATAAGTGTAATATTTTAAAAAGTTCTTGTTACGAAAAATCATTAACTGAAATTTTACAACAGATTAATTACGACTAGACATTTGGAGATTATAAATTCAGGATTATTGTTAGAAAAACTTACATATGACTAGCAAGATGTTAATTAAAAATCGCGAGAAAAGTAAAAACAATTGGATGCCAATATGATATCACCTGTTAGTGATTTGTCGAAAATTCTGCTAGTAAGTTGGACTACGTTATGTAAACAGAGCTGTAGCTGTGTTACTGAAGGAGAATCAAAAGTTGTTTGATAATACTGAATTAAAACCTAAGCATACAGTGATAGATGGAGATCACAATTACACCAAACGTAAATCATATTGTACAATTTCCAACTAGAAAGAAATGAGTATTTCGACTGATTTTAGGTAACTAGGGAAAGTCAACAGATGAGGTTGTGAAGCTGAATTGAATGAAACGCCTAGAACAAGTTTTTTGCTTGCAAGTCCATCGTCTTCCTCATTGAGTAATGTTATATGACGTACGAATGGTTTGGAAAGGAGTTAGGGAAATGGTCAAATCAAAACATGGCAACAATCTATGAAGTCCTTAACTGTTGTTTCTAGCCACGTAGACTGTGTGACAGGGATCTGTGAGACACTAAGAAGCAATAGATGGAGACAGTTGATGACATGAATGACAAATTCTAATAATTTTTCCTCCCCTGCGTTTTCGTTCATTATAGTTTTTTGGGCATTTTTTCTCTATCATTTGTGTTTTTATGAAGTGTGGCAACTTGAAGTGTTGTGCTTTGTAGAATGTCCTGCGATGAGAGCTCAAATCGGTTCATTCATAAGATTATAATGCGTTTTTTAAAATAAGAATATCATCTAGGTATCAACTCATAGATTATCTCGAAAATACATCATATAATACAATTACGATCACATACAAGACAAATTGTTGCATAATGAAATAATAATGACAATGATACTGCCATATGATGAAAATGAAGCAAGCTAAACGTGACATGTGAACGACTCGAATTATGCTATCAGTAATACAGTAGTCAAAAGGCTGCATTATCAGATATGGACATTTTAATTCATGAATGATACCAGATTCACTTATTCAACTTGTCTGTATGTCTTCTAGTATTTCTCTGTGAAAAAACAGTTACATATCCACGTCCTGGTTCGGGATTTTTAGAACAACTGGATTGCATTATATTTTCATTTTGCAACTAAAATAAACAACTTACACTTTTCAACCCGTTTTCGTAGCATCGACAAGTGTACGAAAGATAACTGGACATGATATGTAACACATATGACTACTTATTTGCATATATAAGTCATAAACATCGATAAACACGAGAACAAATAAAGTAACTAGTAAAAACACTGTTTTCATTTTTTTTAATACAAAAATACACTCACTTCACGTTTCTTAGCTTCATTTTGACCATATTTAGGAAAGAAATAAGCAAATATATTTCCAACACATGCAGCCATATGAACCATAGGACCTTCTTTACCAAGATTTAAACCAGCACCAACTCCAAGTATCATACCGACTGATTTTATTAAAAGAGTCCATTTCCCCAAATAACCACGAATAATGAATCCTCCAAGAATAGTTTTAATTTCAGGGATACCACTACCTGAAGATAATTGAACAATGAAAATAGAATTTGGTAATATAAAATCTAGGATTTATTAAAATCAAAAACAACAGTATTAAGATTTTGAGAATATTGGTCTGAGATTTTGGGTGTGAAACACAGTTTTGATGACTAGGGAATAGAAGGATAATTATTAAACCAACTTGAATGACCTGAATCATATTACCATATCTGATAAACTATTCTTCACCTTAGTATTAATATTAAGAATTCGATGACTACGTGTATCAACTGTTCAACTATACATTAAATCTTTTTGATTTGACACTAGTAACTAGTGTGATGCGTCTAGTCCTCTCTTTGGTGCAGACTGAATTCTATCAGTCAGGTTGTAATGTGGCCACCATTCTAGGTAGCTCGCCATCACGGTGTACATTGTTTATGATGATATTAGATGGTTGGAGGCAATCGGCAGGAAGCCTTGGACCTAGGTTTCGTGCTAGTTGGCACTCGTCAGCAAGGCGTATCTGCAACCTTGAAGGAACTCCTGTCCCTTCTGAGATTCGAACCCGCGTCACCCAGTGCTGCAGTCAAAATGTATTGCTACCATTTCGGGTTATATAACAGTTGTAATAATTTCAAGTAATCTAGACCACTTAAAAAGGGAACATACTAAAGTTGTATAAAGTACTCTAGCAACTGGGCTACACCATTACGCTTTCATAATGAAAAATTTCAAAAATGTGTTATAAAGGTGTACCGAACACTACACTATATTAGTGAAGTCTCATATGTTTTTTGTAAAAGGTGATGTGCACTGTAATGGTTTGAAGGTTAATGACAGAAGAGATTTGACACTTCAGCTGATACTAAGAACCAGTGGCTGGAGAATATGGCTTAAAATCAATCTCAGCAGAGCAGATTCATTCACTCTTTGTGAACTGTGATATTCATTAAACCCTTATGTTTTCCCATGTTACTTCTGCATATTTCTGTACACTATTAGTTCTTTTGATTTTTTTTCTTTTCTCCAATTTAGTATGCTGCATGGATTGTGACATCTTGAACTGGTGCACTTCTGTGTAAAATGTTCCATGTTGAAATTCAGTCATTCAGACTGATGTACATGTATTCAAATCACATCAGTGTAACTGAAAGATATTTCAATTATCTAACCGAAACAGAACAGCGAAATTGAAGCTCAATATACACTTCATATCGAAATTTATGCATAGAAAAAGTTTGGAACTAATGCATAGTACATCATCAGCATTAATAATGCATAAATTCTGTGTCATCACCACTTAAAGTGAATGAAGAAAATAGCTCTAAATCAAAGCAAATCAACACAACCGAAAGTAAAAACATAAATCTGTCTGGTGAAATATTTACTACTTAGAAAAAAAATGACAAAATAAGGATATACTTGATTAGTATTAATGAATTCATGTTTCATGTAGTCTGTTTACCACACATGGGTTGGTTAATTTACATTCTACTTAATTAATTCTTCTAATTTACAGTAAAAAAAACATTACGAAGAAAAACAAAGAGAACAGAAGTATATATTATTACCTAACACATATTAATGAATTACATCATACATTCATACGCATGTAGTTCTTAAACGTTAGACACTTAAATTCTCTAACAGTATTGTCTTAACCTTCATATAAATGTGGCGGCTTGCTTGAATCACTGGGCTACCTGAATTTCTAACCGAGATGATGCATCTTATCTTCTTCATGTCCATGGGTCACCAAATGTTGCTCATTTCTGGGGAACGAAAGTAGAAATACCATAAAGGATTATTTTATTCTTCAGATCTAACATCACTGAGTCACATGATATACTGGAGATGGCTGTTTTACTTGAAACTCCTGGATGAAGAGTAAATATTATGAAATTAACTACGCTGAAAATTGTTCATATTGTGTAAACTTATTGTGCATAATAAAGCTATTATTATCATTATTATTATTACTGTTTTCCCCGATTTAAATGCCTTTTAGCGTCATATCTACTCCTTTTTTTCCTAAGCTAATCCTTTAAATAAGTGATTGAACACAGTCAACTTCAACTTTTGTATTAAGAAAGAATTAGTACCAAATTAGTAGCACAAAAAAATTTTCTTTCAAAGATAAAATGGAATGAGATATGAACACTGACTTTCAACAGCTGACAAGTTTTACAAACTAGCATGAAGTTAAATAAACTTTTAAAAAAAGCCTACAAGATACTGGATAATTACGCAACATGAAAGACATGAAAAAAAATAGGTGTACAGATTGTTTAACTCACCACAAGCGTATGGAGCAAACATTCGAACAAGGAATACGCAGACCAATGCAAATAACACAGCATAGATAATATAGAATAAATAACCAACAAAATAAGCATCTGGATATTCACCAGTTGGATCTTTACTTATGAATAAACGAGACCATGTAAACCACTGAAATATAAATGAGAGAGAGAGAGAAAAAACCCAATAACAAACATTATAAACAGGGGGGAAAATAAGGACCCTGACGATTTCACAAAATTGTTGGGATAAATCTCTCCCTACATTTATTGTGTGCTACATAATTTTCTCCTTCAAAAAAGTAATTACAGTGGAAAGATTAAGACAAATGGATAAAGCCTGGAAAAAATATGTTCAGTAATTACAGTGTAAATGAAAGGTTAAAAGCGAAAAATGGAAGTTTATTTGATGGGTGGCAACCAGTAGTGGAACTCAGGACTCATCTTCCGCCTTACACACTTTATAACAGTTGACTGTACTTGCATCCAAGTAAATGATGCTTTCCTTAACGATACTTAAAAAGTAGTGAACCAAACAAACATGGAATTCATAAATTTCAATGAACAAAGATGAAAGTTTGATTGATTGTGTTAGGTGTTAAAATTAAACAATCAGTGTCCAACTAATGATTTACGACACCGACGGTTAAAACCAATGACAAATAATTTTGAACATCAGTGCCACATACATCTCCACTAATCTAATGTTCTGCTTACGGATCACTACTGCACTAGTGAAACATTTCACTCTGATATGAGGTCAGCTGAGTTTATGCAATAAAAATCGTATTCATCTATCTTAGTTAAGATTACCAACATCATACAGCTTTTTGCTGAAAACGTTATGCCTAAAACTTTAGCACCAATAAAAAAGCACTTCATATAGTTAGTAAGAGTATCAGTTAGAGAACCATTAGAAACCAATAAGTACTGCACAGTTTTTTCGTCCTAGTTTGGGACTCTTCATCAATATGCGCCCATGACACCACTGGAGATTGAACCCAGGACCTTCAGGTTACAAGGTGAGCCGTTGACCATTCAGTCACTGGGAAGGAATAAAATGGTCCGTGCATTATAACTTCAGTCAACTAGCGGTACATAGCGTTACCACCAGCCAGTATCATCAGCGGATATTTGTCCTCACACCTAACCAACCTGGTAGGCCCCACAGGTCACAGCTTCTCACTAGGACTCCAGACAACTTTCTCAGTCAGTAGTGACCATTGGATTAATTTTCAAGTCTTAATTTGTGAAAAAGATTTGATTGATTTCAAGTTTGATCATGGCTTATCATCCAGCTTCTCTAACTGATGTTAATTAGTCCCATCATTAAACTTAAAACTAATTAAATCCCTACAAACTGACATTTGAAAAATATAAACAACACACACACACTGTGGCATAAGTTGAATTCATTTTATACATATCAACGTTCTAAATCCTCCACATGTTCATTAGTAGTTCCAAAATTTGAGTACATTTTGATAGTTTAAAATGTCATTGTCAAATAAAAATACTTTTTTGAATATAATTCAATAGTAAGATCAAAAAGTCATTCATGTTGTAGAACTGTGAGAAAAACTGATTTTGTTTTGATTTTACTATTTGAACTATAATCAAATTATTTTTATTTGACAATGACATGTTAAACTAACCGATTGCAGTATGCTAATTCTGAATTTAGTACGTATTTGGAAGAATTTAAATCACACACGAAATGAAATGAATTGAATTCATCCTACAAAGAAATGGTTGGTTACAGGATTTCATCATGAAATGACATTGGTTAGAGAACCATTGGAAAACCTGGGAATACTGGACAGCTGTTTCGTCCTAGTTTGGGACTCTTCAGCAGTACGCATCCACCGGGGTTCGAACCCAGGACCTTCTGGTTACAAGGCGAGCTCGTAGACCATTAAGCCACTGGGACCCAATCCAATGGCCCATGAATTCTAACTTCTGCCAATTCACAATATAGCGCAACCGCTAGCCAATGTCTTCGGCGAGTATATGTCCTCATACTGGACCTGCTGCACCCTACTGGTCACGACTTCCCACTGGAACCCCATGTAACTACCTACCTGAATAGGGCCAGTCGCTAGTGAGCATCTCATTGATATTCAAGTATTGGTTATTTTGAATATACCATATATCAAAAAAAGTTTGCAAGTACCGTTGGCTAATTTACTAGTGAGTCACTGAGGCGTTAAACACTCTACTTCGGAATAAAATGAAACTATCCACTTGATTTAAAGCAACAATACAAAGTCAATCCACTGCATACATATACAAAAACTGCATTAGGTGATGAGGAACAGAGAGGTGCTAGAGAAGAATTAATTGATATATGGTAATGTGTAGAATGTGCATCATTTCTAGAATTACAGTCTGTAATTTGTGCTTGAGGAGAGAATGTTGCAAATTTCTTAATTTTTACCTGCACTGTTGAAAAGATCACATAGTATCTCAACGTTTACAACTTTAGGGGTGCTCTAGTTCTTGCTGCTTTATTTGAGATTCACTAGCTAGATACATCTGAATCCGATGTGAGCGATGGTGTTCCACCGAGGCGGAAACGCAACATCAGGTAAATCATATAAAAATGAAAATCTTGACAATACTACTACTAATAATAATAATCACTTTATACCAAACAATCTTAACTATACAGAATGGAATTTTCAGCAGTAATATACATATTGCAACAATTTAGCTCCTTTTATAAATATGTAAATACATAAAAATTTAAAATAATAATGATAATAATATTAATAATGAAATCAGAAACAAAACGTTGGTAGAAACATAGTGTGAATTATAAGTATATAATATCATAGATAATACATGTAATAATAATCTTTGCTTATACTTTGCAGTTCAAATTAATGATTTGAAACGTCTTTAAGTTCTTTTCTGTCCTAATTATGCTATAGTAGAATTTTTATATTTAGTTGTACGAGCGTAAACTCTTATGAAGTTTCCTCTGGTTTTACCCGAAGAGATACAAGGCAAAAGTTGAGAATCACAAAGAGGATGTTCGGTATCAGACAAGATAACTTTAGCCAACTGCCTGCAAGAATTGAAGTGCCTATTGACAATAATGTCAGTTAGCTGAGTCAAGGGCACACCGCTAACCCTACTTACAGTCTTCAGTGTTCAACGTAATATGATACAGTCTTTTTTAAGAAATCCACGGGAGAATAAAGGAGGACAACAAAGAAGAAAGGGTAGAATACATGAATTGATAAACTGTAAGAGAAGAAGTTGAATTATTCCAGAAAGTCTCAACTTCTCTATGTAATAAGTCAAACGAAGAATTTTCTTATAAATCAACAGGATATGAGACGACCAACAGAGATTCAAAGAGATAAATGTACGATAAATGTATCAGACAAATTTATACTTCAAGATGAAGATGGTATCTATTCGATGTTTCCACAAACTATGATAGTTTATTGGTCAAATATTACAATTTTGAGATTAAACAACTTTCATAGGTTTACAATGATACGCTAATTTTCATTGGTTTAGTTTAACAAAGTAAGATAATGAGAAATTATAAAATCCAATAATACTTGCTACGATATCTACTGGAATAAATAAACCTGGTTTATATATCACTTTGCACATAGTTATTAAGTGTTATGATTTCTTAAGTTTTTATATCATCTGTCGGGGGAAAATTTCCTTTATTGTTAATTAATCTCTAGGTGAAAATGATGTTTGCAAAATATATTGAATAAACACCTCATGTTACCTCCAACTGTGTCTACCAATTTACATGTACGTGCCAAAGCACATACATCGGAAGAACAAAGAGAAGGGTTATTGTCCGCATTTCTGAACACATACCAAAGAACCTGAGACTGAAAGGTCCACAAGTATTAAACAGTGCAATTGCGCGTCATCTATTAGACACTGGTTATAATGTAAAACTAGCTTGCTACGCTTTGCTATCAAACGACTTAAACCAAATCTTTGTATGCGGAAAGAGACAGTGGTGAATCGTGCACTGCCCTGGTGATAACAAAATATACAACTTGTATGAGTCACCCCTTTTCTTGTTTAGAAAACTCTACTCTCTCATCTAAACATGACTCACCCTATCTTGTTCTTTTCTCTTCCTTTTTTCTATTGGCTATTAGATAAAACATTTTCCTTAGTTACGTAATCTACCTTTTTGTTATGCTCTTTCTAGCTAAACCTTGTTTCTATACACACATATATATGCAACTCTGTTTTTGTTTCCAAGCCTAATTGTCTAATTATTCTATAATAGTCAGTGTTTGTAACTCTTAATTAGTTAAATCATTCCGGACTAATGTTACTTTTACTTCCTACCAATTACTCCTTGTGATCGTGGAAAAGTATGTTCAAATCTTTAATGTAATGTAATTCAATTTTATCGTTCAGGTTGTAACCAGTTGAGAAGATTCCTCGAAATAATAAAAGATGAGCTCATATTATCCTGGTACAATGTTGTTCTTGCTTTGTTCAAGTTTATTTGCATCACTTGAAAATGCTACTATAAAAATTAGAAATAATTCAACTTTGAACCTTAAGATCTATTAAAAGTTTATCAAGTATAGGGGATTTTGTTTGATTAGTTGGAGGATTTCATCATGAGCTGACATCGGTTAGAGACGTTAGACTTCATGAGCCATTGGATCGGGTCCCAGTGGCTAAATGGTCTACAAGCTCGCCTTGTAGACACAAGGTCCTGGGTCCGAATCCCGGTAGGTCCATACTGCTGAAGAGTCCCAAACTAGGGCGGCACAGCTGTCCATTACTCCCAGATCTTCCAATGGTCCTCTAACCGATGTCAGCTAATGATGAAATCCTCCAACCTATTAAAAGTTTGTCAGAATACAAGAGAGAAATTTATACAACTGTTCAATAAGGCTAATAAAAGTTGAATAAGCACTGAAGGTGTGAATATAACCAAAAGAGGAGCATATCACTATTGATGTTTATTGACTCCACACATCACAACTAAGTTGATGGAAGATTAAGGCTAAACGAATCGATAAAGTCATAGATAGTTCATTTAGAGACCAATATGAGAAAGCATCAGCTACTGAGCTAAAAAATTATAAACGTTTAAAATCGATCTGTAACAATTTTACTGTTTCACTTCACTTTTTCTGTTGCAGCATAATAATGAAACTCAGAGTGGAATGTGGCACATCAAATTTTCCACCTCTAAATAAAAATCTTTGCAATATGTCACCACAGTAAACGGTAAAAGAAAGCCAAGTGATTCACAGTGGAGAGCTCAATGAAGCTTTCGAACTGAAGACAGGGGTAAAACAAGACTGCCTACTACCGCCGATGATACTACTGATTGTAGTCAACTAGATCATGCAACAAACCGTGGGGAACAAGAAGATGGACATAAGCCGGACTCATAAAACTTAGAAGATCTGAGCTTCGCAGATGACTTATATCTAATGTCACACAAATTAGAAAATATACAGGTGAGAAACAAAGAAGTTGACAGAAGACAGCGAGGACAGGACATCAAGTGAAAATAGAGAAGACAGAGGTAGTGAAGATGCACAACGACGACCAACAACAAGCACCAATCACTACCAGTGGAGGAAATCTAAAGGAAGTTACCTCTTTCAATTTTCTAGACAGCATTGTTTTAACTAAAGGTAGGCAGCCCGTAGAAGGATGTCAAAGCCAGTCCGTGTCAGAAAAGCTGGATAAGCGTTCATTACTTTGAAATCAGTGTAGATGTCTACTGCACTCAGTGGAATGAAAACTTCAGATTTTCAACACTAATGTCAAGTCAATTCTTCTGTCTTAGCTCCACATAAAGATCAGACGGCTGGCCATAAAGGATTTGCAACAAACCAATCAGGAACCTATTGCCCAACAAATATGCTGATAGAAATGGAGATGGACAGGACGCTGAGGGAACTGTTGAGTGACATAGCATGCCACGTACTCGAGTGGAACTAAAATGGGTAACGACGAGTCGGTCATCCGAGAGTGGCATGAAGAAGGCTGTGTCAGGAGGTAATGAGAGCTTATCAGTGACCGTAGGGTCAGATAAAAGGAGATATGCTGCTGAAACCCTTGTCCCGCACAGGACCCACCAGAATCATAATAAAAATACAGATAATCAAGAAGAAAATTGGTTATTTATTAACAAACCTCATCACAGACATCATCTGCTTGACTTGATGACCAACAACATTGTTCTCGGTTGAACCAAAAAGCGTCCAAGCAAACGCCTTCTTTTAAATCAGACATCCAAGTAGATCCGATGTCGATAACACAGGCAATGAAACCCGTTAGCAAACCAACACACAATACACAAAACCATCCAGATGCTGAATCCCAACAGGCTTTTATTCCACCACAACATGTCTTCTATAATATATTTTTAAAAGAGGATTAAAATAATCAGAAAGTTTATCATGTTCGAAATAATTTTATGAAATTATGTAAAGGTGGAAAAATTTAAGCCATGATTTATAAATAACCCCGCTTGCAATGTGGTTTTGTTTCGTCCCTTTGAGTTCCGAGTGGAACATAAGGCTTTAAAGTTTCAGTAGTGCCGGTGTTTTTACGGGGTGAAATTGCTAGAATCACGTCCAACTATTCCTCTTTCCTCAGCCTACTACCGACTAGGCGAAGTTTAGGAGTGTATCGGCTGGGAATCGAACTTCGGGCTATGTTCGTGGTTGGCGGGTGTCCTGCCTCTAAACCACCGACGCACTTGACATGTGATGCACAAGACAAATATAGGAGACAAAAAACCTGTGTAAATTTCAAATCACTGATATTAATTGGAATTTACCCAGCAATCATGCAGTTGTCGTCAATGTACTAAACACCAACATTCTACTGCACATTTATTCGGTGTTAAAATGCACTTACATCTTGAAAAGTATGAAACTAAGCCCACAAACAAGCCACTATGCCTTTTTTGGTTATAAACTGAAGGCCATAAGATACCTCTGATGCAAATATTTTACTGATTCACCTAGAACACCGCATGTACTATGTGGCTTTAACTTGGATCATATAAACTTCTCGGTTGAAGTATCTAAAACATGATATCAATGGTATCAGATAGTAGATAAAAAGGCCTAAAAATTGGCCATAATATTTATAGTAGATTGACTACCTTGCCACGTTTATAAACTGTATCGCTTTTAATCTGTTTTTCTTCATGAGGCTATTCGGCTAATAGCTTAAACATTCGACTCCCATTTAGTGGGTTCCAGGTTCGAGTCTCGCTCCACCTACTTCAGACTCGGCAAATGAGCAGTATCATCAGCCATCATACAAACAACTGTGGTTCATAGCATGGTACCGAGTATGAGAGATCTAAGTCGCTAACTAACTCACCAAATTCTCCATCCATCCTAATACATCAGCAGGCTTACACTATTTACTACAATTGTATTCATTTAATTATTTGCTTAAGGAGCAAACTGTAGCCATATTCACTTTTCATTAATTATTGCCAACTTGTGGCTCTGTGAGGGATAAATGGAATACAACAAACGATTACAGTTTTCTTGAACAATAATACATCAAACAACATATTTTAAAATTCTATACACGTGAAAATAATTTGAAATAAAACATTGGGAATTTTGTCCTGAACCTAAAAGTGATGTCATAAATGAAGCTATTATTATCATTAGTATTATTATACAAACCATTTTTTTCATCTTGATAGTTCTAATTACTTTATTGTTCTATATTATTACAGAATGTAGTAACTTGAACTGATGCACTTATGTAAAGACAACCTACATTCTTCTGTCTGTGTTATTCATCTGTCGACTACTCAACAAGTGCAATCGATTTCAGTTGTGTTTGCAATAAATTCAAGAACACATTTATTATATATATATATATATATATATATATATATATATATATATATATATATATATAAGGAGCACGCTATGACGCTTTCAGTTCAACACCGTCCATTAGGACAAACGAAGTATTTGGAAAACACCATATATACACTGACTGCTAATATTCAACATATGTATATAACCCATCTGATAGTTTCTAACCTGACATTAAAAGCACAGGAATAATTGATCCTATTTACACAGAAAACGTCACTTAAAATTCAAAACGTATCTTCAATGGCGATGGATGATGCAACTAATGTGTGTGAAAGGTTTGAAGAGGGTTGTATGCTATATGCATGCGTGCCGCCCTGATAGTTTACGTGGCGCTCGTGGTCTAGTGGATAATGCTTGTCAGAATGGCCGATGTAAGTTTGTATCCCACCTCCAACATACTTTTTTTCATCAGCGGTTCAGTAGCAGAATGCTCGTCAGCCACGCACGTGGTCTGGGGTTCGATTCCCAGCCGATTCATACCTAAACCTCGCTTAGCCCATAGTAAACCCTGTACGAGGAAAGGTTGGGCGTGAGGCTAAAAACCCCATAAAAACCCGTAAGTAAGAATGACACCGCCAGCTACTGAAACTTCAAAGCTCAAAGCTTGAAACCTTATGTTCCACTTGGAACGCAAAGGAACAGAATAGAAAATAAACAAACAAATCTTAAACTGGACAGTGAAATCCCTATTCAAAAACTAACTTGGATAATCTGATTAGATAAAAACACACAATGATACAGTACTATTTATTGGTATCGTTTCGAACGTAGTTTATTGCTTATAATCACACCAGGACAATCAGACAACTTTGTTCATATAAATTCAATTATTTCTTTGATTTTATTGATAGTAATATTGTCTAAATTTCTTGTTTCGCTGTGGTGTCAATCCTATTGCATGTAACAGGTGTAGATTTGACAAACAGAGATTGAGTGATGAACCTCTCCCTCCTAAAAAAGTCATTTTGTGATGGGATTCTATTCTTATATCAAAAATTGACTAGTGTACAATGAAAACATACACTCTCTGAAAGGAACGTGCTATGGTTAATCCACATTTAAACGCACACTACACTGTAATCATCGTTAAACAGATCCAATTTAGAAAGATATCTATTTAATGTTGTGTCTTCAATTGAAACTAGACACTCCAATTCTTTATTTCATTTGTTTCAGAAAAGTAGGATGGGATGAATTGTAATCAAATGTGACTAACACCTACAAGGTAATCAACTGACTCTATACACATACTTATACAGATACCCACAACACAGTGTATTCACGAGTTAATGAAATTGTACATCCCTTTGAGAATAGTTTTATTTTGAAATCTTTTACAGTAGATTCCACAGATAATTAAAATGCTAAAACACAATCAGATAATGAATTCATCAGATTTACCAATTCTTTTTGTACAATGGCCTGAGACAATGCAGACAGTGATACAACGTCGAAAATTGTATTCGCTGTACACCTACTAACTAATGAAACAACTGAGCACTTCATCTCTTCAAAGTTTACTAAAGAGGAATCCAGACAATTTAGGCGTAAAATACAAATGCGAAACGCTTTGGCAACCGTAAACATATAGTTTACGAAATATGTGGCTGGTCACAACTCAGCTTAAACTTATGACAGTAAAGTTAAGAATCGGTGAAAACCACCACCCAGACACTTCTACTAAGGTTAATCAATGTAGCACAAACCACCAGAATGATACCACCAGCGATTCAAGTTCATTGGAAAAGTATGTTGTACAAACTTTAAAATTATATAACAAAAGAAGGATGACAATAAAATAAACCTACTCGGTTCATAGACAATAAAATAAACCTACTCGGTTCATATGTAATTCCCGATGACGACATCGATCACGTGCTATGTCCTTGACCCAATCAATAGTTTCAAAATCCTCATAATGTCCAACACTAGTAGACGTTACAACAGAAGGACTGTGAATTGGATTCACATTGTGATATGGTGAAAATTCGTGATTTTGACCTGAAGAGCATAGCAATGGAATGAAAGTTGAATAATTGCGATTCATTAGTACTATTATTCTTTTGTTTAGCTATATGATAACCACAATATGAAATAACTAAACCACATGGAGCAAATTTGATATATGTATCAAATTCTGGATGAAGAAATTATTTTAATTATATATATGTGGTTATGAGTTGAAGTCATCAAACAATCAATTAGTTTAACCACAAATCAATGATTTCAAATCGAGCAGTAGAGAAAGAACCAATCATATTTTATCAGACACAAAAATGATGAAAGAAAGAGTAATGGTTGGCTATAGTTTCCTCTCAAATTTACTTACCACCTCACTACAACATTGAAACAGGTTTGCTGGGCAAGAAACTATAGAAACAAATCAGAAAATATAACGACAAGCAATCTTTGCAAAATGGCTTCGGAAACAGAAGACACTGATATACTTAAACATAACTCCGATAAATGTTGGTTCATTCACCTAGGAACAATGTATGTTGCACATTGAACATCAATGAAACAGCTCAAAGTGTCATTGGTGAATAAAACTGTAGGTGATCGAATACATCACAACGTTTAGTACTTCAGTTATGGTGCAGAATTTTCGAACTTTTCAGATTACAGATGTTCCAAACAAATTTTCAATATTCAAGTATTGGTTTTGTAAGGATTGTGTTTGATTGGTTGGAGGCTTTTACCATGAACTGACATCAGTTAGAGAACCATTGGAAAACCTGGGAGTACTGGACAGCCAGTTGTTTCGTCCTAGTTCGGGACTCTTCATCAGCACGCACCCAACGGGGTTCGAACCCAGGACCTCGCCTTGTAACCAGAAGGTCCTCCAACCAACCAAATTTCCAATATGCTTTATGTGAGCTAATTTAGAACTGAAGGCTTCATTTTCACTATGAAATAGCGGTAAGTACTTAGAACTTCTTTATAAACCCAAAGTTGACGTTCAGGTATGATCATTAAAGCGGAGCTCGGCAATAAACGACAGCTATCTTTACCTTCTTCAGCACATAAATTTAGCATCAGAGGGAATAGTGATCCACTACATGACACTGGGTGCACTGTTGCTTGAATATAAAGGTAAAATCTACATTGAAGTTTCTAATGCTTACGATTGGTAAGTCTATTGTGAGTAAATATCAAGCAGACCGTAAAACGAAAATAAGGTTGGATCTAAATACAATGAGTTTCAAAACCAGAACCATTAAAAAAATAATAATAATGTAGCAGTGGTGATAATATTGGAATAACTAAAAACAAAAATTCCATTTGATCAGTTCGCAAATTCTGATCAACTGACTTATTAATGTAAACGTTTTCAGACAATTTTAAGTTGCTACACTTCAGAAAAACTCACATAAAAGTGAAAAAAATGCAACGAAACTAAAATAGACGAAAACATATGGGGGAAGAATAATTAGACGAAAAATAAGGAACGCTTCCAATATCTAAAGATGAGGGAAAAGCAGTGCCTGCGAGTCTAGCATACTGTTCCCACTGTCAAAGTGCAAAGCAATGTTAAAACATTGGGAAAGAACTGTGTCTGCACTCATTCTCATAGGTGGACAGTAAAAATGAGTCGAATATTTCTTGTTTATAGGCGGTTTTGTGCAGGTGTAATAGATAAAATTCACTACTCCACATCAAAAACCAGAGCAAAATATATCAATATGATTCAACTCTAGTGCCGTAGCAACATTAAAATGACCCACAAAAGTCTTGGTCAAAAGGCTTCAGTGCATGTAGCCTCGTTCTAGGGCTGCGAAACAAATAAATTATCCAGCTCAGAGAACACAACTACAGCAAAATCATCCACCTGAGCTACAAATCTTCTCAATCATATGGACTCTTCAATATGAGGATACACAGCAACTTTGCAAGTGCCAGCATCACCTCCTCCGTAATACTTCATGTATCCAGTAGCAAAACCATGCCGAAATTCCTGAGTCCTATGTGTTCGGACAAAGTGGAGATGGTCTTGAAGTAGATAGCTTTAGTCAAGGATACTGACTTCAGTGTCTGTGATATATGTTCCAAATTCCACTCCAAGAACTTCCACACTGTTTACAATCAGTTTGGATTGCGATTGGTTAGGCAAACAGGAAGGGTACTCCACTCATGACATGATATCGTGGGATGAGAAATATTTACGTTGGGTTAGTATTTTTGTTGGTATGTCACAACTCCCTAGGCGCAATTCGAGTGATTTTCTAACCCAGTGACAATAACTTATCAGATATGGTTTAAAACTGGAACCAATGGCGAACATGCTGCAATTTCTTTCCTTCTAATTCTGGAAGAAATATAAAAGACTGAACACGTCTTACAATGCACATGATAAGTATGCTTACGTTTCATATTTTTTATCCCACCCCCTGTCCCAACTGTTTAATTTCTCTTTTTTATATTGCTGTGTAATTACTTTGTGTCCTACATCATTTGGTAGCAGAAAATGTATCAAGTTTGGGTTTAAATAAATAATGAAGAAAGGCTAAAGAACTGGAGTGTTCCTTTGCCCCCTAATTTCAATGGTTATGTATCACATCTGTAAAGTAAGATTACAAAAACCGCTGCGCAGTATGCATGGGTACAATGAACTCCATAAACACACAGAGCAGAATAACGGTAACAACAATTAATGCCAAGATTTTTAATTATAGGAGTCATAATGCTGGGCCCAAATAGCTGAATAGTCTGCGAGCTCGCCTTGTAAATACAAAGTCTTGGGTTCGAACCCCGGTGGGTGGGTACTGTCAAAGAGTCCCAAAATAAGAGGAAACAGTTGTACAGTACTCCCTGCTTTTAAATATGTTGTTGGTGGCTCAGTGGTAGAACACTCGCCAACCACCCACATGGTTTGGAGTTCGATCCCCAGCTGGTGCAATCCTTAACCTCGCTTAGCCGGTAGTAAGCATGGTAAAGAGGGAAGTTTGGGCGTGAGACTAGCAACTTCATCCGGTAAAAAATAAACACCACTGCTACTGGAACTTTAAAGGTCAAGTTTGAAGTCCTATGTTCCACTGGGAACGCAAAGGAATAAAAACAGTAATAATTATAATACTAAGCACTAATATTACCTTTCTTTAAATTTGACAATGAAGGTGAAAATGGTAGACGTCTAATACTCAAATTATCATTTGCTGTTGTTGAATTTGAAGCATCAAGAAGCATATCATCATTTAGAATAGCAACTTTTTCATCGAGTGATTTAACTTTATTTGAATTATAAGTATCAGATAATGTTGAAGTGACTAGTGTATTACTACTATCAGATTGATGGTGATGTAGATTACTATTATTATTTAATGTGATAGTAGGATCTGCAAATGGATTTGTTGTCTCCGACGATGATGAGTACATACTTCGAGGATATGATGAAGACGAATCACCTGAAAAGAAAAACAAAACACCAAAGATACACTTTTATATGAAAGATGAAAGCATTCATGAATCGAAACCCAATGTAGAAGAAATATTAAATGCACACAGTTGTGAAATAAGTGAGCAGTAAAGTTAGATATTATTGGATTATTTAGTTGTTTCTTTTCTAGTAAAAGCAGAAGATTGTGTTAGATTATGTAATGACTGACTTAATATTCATTTGGAGCATAACAAATGGATAATGGAAAAAAATCTACTGAACACAAGGTTTTTAGGTAACACAACTAGTTATATTTCCTAGTTATAAATGGGTGAGGGCTAGAGCTTTGAACTTTCGGTAGCAGTGATTTTATTTTTACGGGGTGGGATTGCTAGTCTCACGCCCAACCTTCCTCTTTGCCAGGCTTATCACCCAGCAAAGCGAGGTTTAGGAGTGAGTCGGCCGGGGATCGAATTCCGGACCACCTAAGGTTATCAGGTGCGTTAATACGACTCCCCAGTGAATAGTTAGCTTGTTTTTTTTCGTTTCAAACCAATTTCCTATCAAAGACGTAAAACAATTCACAGATTATAGTTCTCCAATCATCTAATAAATTTCACTTTTTACTGATAATTGAGAATATTTCCGTATTAGTCGCCTCTAAAAGACCGCTTTAAAAACAAACAGATATCATATATAAACATCTTTCTCTATAAATCAATCAGCTAAATTCAACTTTTTATGCGTTTTGTAAATCACTGTCGACTTTGAAGTATATACACTGGAAAATAGTCGGTCAAAATGCAGTTTAAATAGAATGCCGTGTATATTCATTCATTCAATTGTTAACCAAAAACATACTACATTTCAAGATCGAAAGTTAACTTGTGCATCATATCATTTTTATCTGTTAAAATAGATGGGTTTGCGGTTAGCAGTTGATAGGTAGCTTTAAAAATACATTTAATCCTTGTTGACAATCGTCACAAAGGTACTTCTGCGGTAACCTTTCCTTTGGACAATTTGAACCTGACTCATGAGTTCAAAAGTCAAAATGTTTACCAATAAGCAAATAAAATGGAGGATGAATACCTGAAAAATTGGGTCAATAACATGAATCAATCTAAGAAATGATTGTTATAAAATACTTGCGACTGATTGGTGAATTTAAATTGGAATACGTTGGATCAGATGGAGAATGAAATATTATTAAAAGGAAGATATGATATGACTTTTTAAGGAAAATAATAACGGAATGAATCATATATATATAACTAATCTCGGAGGAGATATGCATTCCCTCAAGATTCCTGATACGCCTTGCTGACGAATGGTAACAAGCACGAAACCTAGGTCCAGAGCTTACTGCCGATTGCCTTCAACCATCCTATAAATATGTATACATATATATCCCTTCCGGTATTCGAACTCGGGTCACCCATTGCTGCAGTCAGAGACGTTACAACTAAGCTATTCAGGCTCGCGATTTACCTCCTGTAGGACTGTATTGGATACTGCGTAGTAATATATATATATATATTCATTCCTAAAGTACAATATATCTTTAAATAAAATCTCAAAATATTATGGGAATTATGAGGCGGAAGACAAAAGTGAAACGAACCAATAGCTAGATAATAGCAATAACAGTAAGCATTACTCTAAGTCTTCATATAAAAACGATTTAATGAGAAGGAAAAGCCACACATGACATCCACTAAGGTTTACGGGTTAATTCTTCCATGAAAATCCACCGAATTCCCTGTTACCTTTTTTCTAGTCGCTGCTAATTGTAGTGAACAGTTAAAGAAGCTGTTTTTTTATTTGTTCATTATTCGAAGCATATTGGGAATCTATGGGTTTTGAAAGAATCACAGTACAGTAAAAGATGAAAATGTCTATACGGTTTGAAAGATTCGGGATTTCAATCCCATACCTATTGATTATGTGATCACTGCTTCACATCGATTTATTATATTGACATGGATTAAAGCCTCCAGTAGACAATGATATATCGATACTTGTCTACGGAGTTAACATTTAGATAGTCTTTGGTAGAATGTAATTTTAATACATTGACAGGTATTAGAATTTTATCTTCATATTGTTCAACACAATATACCTAATAGTTTTCAGTGATTAAACCTGAGACGCACTAAGTTCAGTAGTAACAGTGGTCTTGAGGCATTTCAAAATTGAGTCGAAATTGTATATTTAGTACCTCATACTAGTATAACTATGAAATTTTGAAGGTGAAACAAACAGGTTAGTTATAGTATGCGGGTAAATAGAGGTGTCACATTAACCACGGAAAAGGTGAAGACGAAGAAGTATAACAGTTCGAGTTGCCCCACTCCATGTACCCCACAAAAAAGACAAAAGGAAGAAAAGAAAGAGATTCAAAAGAGCAATAAAAAGCAAAAATGTGAGGGAGAAAGAATAGTAACAAGGAAAAACACCACAGCTTGGTGGATATGACAGATCACAAAGAGTGAATGCACCAGGGCCATTGAGAACGATCTCGAGCCATATCACCGACATTCTCCAGTCGTTGGTTCTTACCATCCCGAGGGCCCCAACTAGGAAAACTAACACCTCCCTACGTGGCTCAAAGACGAAGGGCATTTTCTCATCTATCCGTCGTTAATGTGCTCACATACATTAACAAGTTTATGATTAGTTACTAATGCTAAGCAGAAAATGAAAACATGTCCTAATGGGAATTTCCCATGAACTAATGATAAGGATAACAGTGAAATTAGACATTATTCCAACTAGCAAATAATTCAAAGAAAGATTACGAAATCGATTTTTCAACGTTCCGGAAGACATTTGTAACCACGTCGAAAAATGGAATGAATTTTTACCAATGACAATGTATGGTGGTTGAGTTGAACCAGCAAGTTGAGAAACTGCGATATATGCGCTTCGGATTTTAACACAACTTGTGATCAAGAAGCTTCAAACTAATCAGTTCTTATTATTAAGTGTAACTGATGACCCAATACGCAGACTTATTACCGAGTTAAATTGTTATTAATCAGTACCGGGAACTAAGATTAACCTCGTAGAGAAATTCAGCGACTAGGCTAGGTGAACTGATACTGTTATACATCGGTACACGACACTGAATAGTCAAAGAAATTAATAAAAAGCTTATGTAGAAAGTCAGAGGGGGATTCTTTAATTTATCAATAAATTGAGACTTGGTTTAAGCTATGCTAACGCAATTCAAAACACGAAGAGGAATAAAAACTACCGAAATATCCGCGATCTCAGTTGCAACTGTTTACCATCATATCACAAAAATTGATACTATTTCGAAATTAGGATCTGCCTTTTTTCACACTGCAGTGAATAGTGGTGAAGAATAATGACGGGTTGGCAAAGTGAAATACACTGGCTTACAATACAAGAGGCCCACAACCAACTCACAATTTCCCTTACGCGGTCTTTGTCTGAGTAACAACAGTCACACAAGTGAGGTAACGCAGTCGCAACAGAATTGAAGCAACAAAATACAAGCTTTCACATAAACATCGACCGAAAGAAATGCTTAAAAACGGACAACTATCCAAGTAGAAAAAAACAGACCGTTAAACTGTTCAAAGCTCTTTCACTTAAGATAGTGCCTTAGTATGTGTTGATTAGTGATAAAAGGTCATGTCAATTCTCATTCGTTGTAGTTTAGATAATTTTTCTGACAAGCTTTTTTAGGGCGTTTATGTACAAAAATTAACGTCAACATTAGGTCAAAGACAAATAAATTGTCCACCTTTAAAACACACACACACCCGAACAAAAATGAAACAGAAGACTAATAAAAAATAGAAGTTAGAAGGGAGCTCGATTTTTACTCAAAATACGCGAAGAGAGGTAAGAACACAAACAATGTTGACCACAAAGTTATGCAGCACTAGACAGATAAAGCAGACACCAAAAAAAAAAAATAAAAGCAGGTTACTAACAAACGTTTGAATTTAAATATAGCGCGTATAGCTGTAAATTTTCAGCTACACTACGAATGCATAATAACGGTGAGTAGTAAGTATACAACAAGCACCAGTATTGACTTAACCAATGAATCATAGGATATAAAAAGACGATGAATGTTAGTTTCAATCGACTGTACACAAAATTAGCTGCATTTTGTCCCATCTACAGATAACGGCCATTCAGAGGACAAAATGAAAGCACTTAAGGTGATTTGTTGCATCTCCTTGAATCTTCCTCATTGACCTTTGTGTATTTGTTTCCTACGTAGCATTTCAACCAAAATCCCCAAATAGTGTTTTCAGGGGAAGTTTGTGCAATGCCTTGGTCAGACAAGATCTAATTAATTACGTTCCGCCCCCCCCCCATCTATACATACTTATTCCCCATTGTACCCCCTTTCGTCAACTCTTTCATTTAAATTATGTTTATTTACCACCGGATATGCAACATAGTATTAAACAATCTTTTTATTGATTTTGCAACCTTCACCTATTGTCTGTTTGATGCTATTTAACAGGTTATAGCTAGCAGTAGAATCCAAGGAGCGCATCTTTTCCCATCTCGGAACTCGTCAAACGGAAGTGACAGTTCCACAAGAGATGATTCTTAAGGCTCAGTACCCTAATGAGATAATGCTTTGGCATTTGAAAAGATGAGTAGGAATAGTATGCGTCATTCACAAGGATGCCTGTCTATCCAGTCGAGACGTCCCAAATGGTGCAAAACACACGCCCAGGATTCCACTGTTAGTCAAAACTTTCAATTACCACCGAAGTGAAATCAAAGATATCACCGAAATATTCGTTCTAGGAGCCGACAGGTCAATGGAAGCCGATCACTTCAATTCAGTAAGGACAAAGCAACAGAAAATGGAATTTTATCAAGAAATGACTGATTTATTTTAAACATTTATGAATGGAGTTCTGTATATTAGGTTAAAGACAAAGATCTAATCAAAAACAACTTTATTCGTCTTGAATTTAACTATGTCAACAACAAAGCAAGAAAGGCGAGGCAAACATTTATCACTGCTGAAATCAGTTTGCAAATCTTCTACACTCAACATAAAGAACAAAATTCAGATTTTAAACACCAATGTTAAGTCAGTTCTTCAATATGGGTCAGAAACTAGGCGCATCACTTAAAGCATCTCCAACAGGCTATTTCACACTTTTATCAACAGTTGCCTTAGATCGATACTGAAATCAGATGGCCGGAAAAAATTAACAACAAGAAACTCTAGGAAAAAACAATCAAGAACCTAAATTGGAAACATTTATTTCCCGATACGAATTTAAAACAAGCATTAATTTATTAACCTTTATTGCTTGTTTTAAAATCAAGAACCTATTGCTCAACAAATACGCCGACGAAAATGGAGATGGGTAGGACATACACTGAGGAGATCGCCGGAAGACATCACACCCCAAGGCCACTGCTCGCATGGAACCCGAATTGGCAACGACGAGTTGGGTGTCCGAGGGTGACATGGAGGAGAACGTGTGAGGAGGTGAAAGCTTATACCAATCGTGAGTCTGGCTGAAGAGGATTGGAGAAAAAGGACGAAACGGAGATGTGCTATTGAAACCCTATGCCCCACTCAGGATTCATATATAATATATATTTATCTACTTTATACAGCTTATGTATAAAAAGATGAGAATTACCAGAAACTGAAAGGTTTTTTATACTAACATTTCTACAGTGATCATGACTGTAATGATGGTGATAAATGCATAGGATTTCACTTCATACAAGAATTTCGAAACCTTAAACTAGTTTACCCATCTAAAAATATCACTATTTAAAAGGTTGACAACGTAGAAAGAAAGCAAGAAAGAAAGTTTAGCGTGAGTACAACACAGTAAAAAGAGCATAGAATTGACATGTCATTATGAAAGTATACACGCGATTAGCTCACCATTTTTTAATCTACCACTTGAATAATGTCGCATTGTTACTGTAACAGCCAATTAAGATGATTGGTACAATGAACAGTAAAGATGTAAATGTTTATGAAAATATATTCCACAAATTGAAACAAAAGCTTTATTGATTCAAATTCTAAAATGTACTTGTTTTATTCATAAACACAACACGTCCACATGAGTAGTAAAGATAAAAACAAACTAGTGATGATGATAAGTACCTTCGAGTAAACAAATGTAAGTGTTTAGACTAATTTGTTATTTGGATTTATGTTTTACTTGACAGGTGATTTAATTGCCAATCTAGATTAATGTAACCAATCAGGAGGATTTGAATTGCCGTAGATAACAACACTTGACGTCACATGTGGTAAACCGTACATATAACTAAATGTTAATAAAGCTATGCAGCCAAGTGTCTGTTCGTACACTAGGTAATAACCATGGTTATTTGTCTAAGAACTAAATATACTACTTGACTGTTCTAATTTCAGTAGATGAACAGGAATTCACAGCTGTCACCAAAAGGCAGAAATTCAAGTACGAACCTGATGATGAATCACAAAGTGCAGAAAAGGGTGTGTGAATTCATTTCATCAAATCATTTGGTTTACTTCTTTGATTTGTGATGAGTTTATCATTGTAATCGATTAACTGAAACATACTAGAAGCACATTAACCAAACAATTGTACATGTTATGAATATAGTTTCTACGGTACTTTAATATTTTTTATTCCTAGAGTTCTGAACAAAACACAAGGCTTCAAAGTTTGAAGTTTCCGTAGTCATGATGTTGCTTTTACAGAATGAGATTTTTAGCCTCATACCCAATCTTACCAATTTTCTGGGCTAGGTGTGTATCGGCTGGGAAACAAACCCGGGCCTCCTTGGTGGCTGGCGAATAATCTACCACCGAACCACTGATAGCTAAAGCATACTTTTTCACTGCAAATTAATCTACGATGTGTATGCATATAAGGCACAGGGCAGTTAACTTGTGTAGCTTTAACTTTTACTAAAAAAATTGGTACTAAACTCAATGTGTGCGTCGGTGGCACAGCAGTTAGGACTCTCACCGACCATGCACATGGTCCGGGGTTCGATCCCCCAGCTGACGCACACCTGATATCAATTGGTCGGCCTGCTAAATTTGGGCTACCGATATCACATAGTGAAAATCCCATACTTGTACCAATAATACGGTGTGAAATCAAGCTATAATCAGAAAACTGATTAATTTCCACCTTAAAAGAAATTGTTATCAGAATACCAGATAATTAAAGATAAAATATGCAAATTATTATAACGTACAAAAATGAAATTGGATATCCTAAAAAAAAGTTTAACACTGAACATAATCATGATATGTAGTAAAGTGTGCCTGTAACAATTTCCCAGTTAACAAAAATGTATCATATTGTGATATATATCAAACGAATATATTTTACATGGAATTACACTCCATTACAGAATCTAATTTCTACTCTAATATTGAAAAAAAAAACACCTTCATCTGAAAATTAGTGCAGCTTAAACATACCTAGATTTTAAAACTTTCAAACCTTGAAGTAAACCAATTACGCGATATTGAACATTACACCATTTAGTAGATGGCAAAATTCAAATGTAAGCAATTGTCTACCCTTTTTATTCGAAATACCTATTCAAAAGAAATGAAAATTTAATTTAAATACGCATAAATAAAAGCACAACAGAACATTTACATTTAACTTCATACAATAAATGACAGATGAGATGCTATTCAACAATCACTTGTAGTTAGCAATGAGCCATATCTATTGTGGCTCATATTGTGGTCTAGTGATACTACCCGATTGCCCAAACCTCGGTAGATGAAACGAGGATCGAACCCGTGATCCAGTGGTCGGTGATAAAATAGGCTATAAAACACATATTGATATGAGAGCTAACAGTACATGGAATGACTAGAATATTTTTGTTAATACCTATTCAATAACTACAAAGTCATAAAATTACTTCATAATCACTGACAGCTTCGTATTTAAACTACTAACTACACTAGTTGAAATAATGTGTATAATACACTGAAGAATATTTCCAGCGCCATATCAGATCGTTTAACCTATCCGTCGTACCGGATTCAAATGACCAATAGTAGTTTTTAATTATTCATATCAAACAGTAGGATTGTATTATTGTGCAAATAGTTTTTGTTCCTGAGTATTTTGGATGTCTAAAGGAAACCATGATGTCCTACCTTACTTAAAATGTGTATTTCGTAAATAACCAATAGCACCACATGACACTGCTGTCTACATTCACCTATCCAAACAACACATTCAAGCATGTCTGTCTCACAATCTAAATCAATCCATCCTTTTTTTGCCGATTGGTTGATGACGTCGCTTTTGACGATAATCTTACTACTTAAGTTGATCTTCCAATCCAGGACATATTAATCATGGGTTATTATTATTACTACTATTATAAAAGACTAAAATAATAAATGGCAATGAGAATCAGTAGTGAAACACACAAGTCCATAGAAAAGACAAACTAATGACACAAAAAAGAAGCAGTCATAATCTAAGCAACAGTTTTATTAGTCTCAGTAAGGTACACATCCATAATAATATACATGATGTATATACAGAAATAAGAAGAAAAACAAAACAATAAATTATATCATTTACGGTCTAAACACTTGTGTCTTTTTTTTGCGTGAATGCCAAAATAAGTTGACTGTGTTGTTTTTTTAAGCATTAAAACAATAGTTCACTTTACACTGTTGTTCACAATAGATAATGTAATAAAAAATAAATAAAAATAAAACAAGACAAAAACAAAAAAACAAATCAGAAAGAAGTAGGTAATGTGGTGGAGGGAGGGAGGGACGGAGTCGTGAGAACCAGGTGTGATTTTAAATACAATGGATTGAATCCTAGTAAATAATTCTGCTGTAACGATACTGGAGTGGCATTGGTTCAACCTGGGGATAAAAAAATATATATGAATATTAAGTAGAAAACGGATGCAAATAACGATTGATAACAAGGTATAATTTCAGTTGTAGATGTTGTCACAAACCAACATCCCTAAGAGATCATTGAAAAGGGGCCCAAGTGGCTGAATGATCAATGAGTTTGTTCTGGTAACATGAATGTCCCGGATTTGATACCTGGTAGGGCAGTGGGCGAGCACTCCTGAAGAGTTCCAAACTACGCTGAAACAGCTGTTCAGTACTCCCTGATTTTCAAAGGTCTTCAACTGATGTTAGTTCGTAACGAAATCTATACTGAAATTAATGCCAATCCCTACGAAAAACCATCATTTAAATAAGCAAGGAATAAATTATGAAAATCAGATGTAGCAAACACACACTATATAAGATCAGATGGCCGGAAAGAATCACAACAAGAAACTATAGGAACAAACAAAACAAGAACCAATCGCTCAACAAATATGCAGGAGAAAGTAGAGATGGATTGGATACTCGCTGAGGAGGCCGTTGGGTGACATCGCGCGTCAGGCCAGTGCTCGAGTGCAACCCGAAAGGGAAGCGGCGAGTGGGATGTCCAAGGGTGACATGGAGGAGATCGTGTGAAGAGGAGTTGAAACAGTATGGACTAACATGGATGCAGGTGAAAAGTACAGCAGAAGACAGAAGGAAGTGGAGACGTGCAGTTGAAGCCCTATGTTCTACTAGGGACCCAAGGGAACAATAATAATAATAAACACACTTTGACACTTACTTCATTCCAGTAAACAACACGAACAAATTTCAATACATGATCACGACCGAGAAATGTGCCATCTTCATTATTCAGGATAAAGATGTCAATCTAAACACGGGATTGAAAGAGATAAATACAAAAGGATCAGATATACCTTCAATCAAGGGATTATATATAGACTTAAGAAAGAAGTTAAGAATGACGACTTTATTATTAAGGTTAACGTACATACCACAAGTGTGTGATCGGATCCCCTAGTCAAGATGGCACGCATAAGCAATATAATACTGAAGGATGAGTGCAGTCATAGGCTGTTGCTAGTCAAAATTATTCTGAGTTTGACGGAACTAAGTGTATATCATACTTGCCGACACTGGTCTCCTGTCAACAAAGTGTGTTTTAAGTCATTTGTATGTGTTGGCATAGTAAGACGATATCGTCTGCATGGTCAAGCAATCTGTCCCGTTCACTGATTAAAATCTGTCCTGCATCTTTAAGAAATGGTGACAGGAGTCAGTTGCATGAAATAGGTAACTTGTTGAACTTGGAATTTATTTCTAAAATACACTTCGTTAAGTGGTTCGGTGTTAGCCAACCATGGAAAACTACTTTAGGACAGAGAACAATAAGGATGGATACTAGTTATTGTATTTATAAAAAACCCTTAGAAGTGTTCCAAACATCTGTGATATACCATTTACTTGATGTACCGTTACAATGACACTAGGCTACTTGCTGTTGGTGGTGTTACTGAGCAGGAAGAACTTTCAACTATAAATATATGCATCTACCTCAGCCATTCTGTCAGTAAATAACTCTCGTAGTTGTTTGGTAATCATTTTGTAAATCTACTCGTAAGTGCCTAAACGTAAGATAGGAGACCGATACAAAAAAGAACATCTACAGTTAAAACACATAATTCAGCAACACCTCAGTATGAGTAATAACCGTTACAAAGCTATGACTTCATACGTCAAGAGAAGATACACTACCACAAATGTTATTACCATTGGGCTAAAAAACCGAATCTATAAAGATTTCACTGAAAAACCGTTTTGTAAATCAAAGCACAGGCAATTACCCAAATAACTGAGTCGGTGGTCCACCAACCACGCAGATGGTCTGGTGTTCGATTCCCAACCAACGTACTCCTAAAACTCACTTGGTCAGTAGTAAGCCCAGTAAAGAGGCAAGGTTTGGTACGATGCTAGTAACCCTACCCTACAAAAAGATAAACTACCTCCACTAAACCTTTAAGGTTCTAGATCCAAGCCCTATGTTCCACTCGGAAGGCGAAGAAATGAAAGAATGAAAATAACTGTCTGAATAAGATTTACCAGCTTCTTTGAAGGTAGAATGGTGCCTAGGATTGTGTTATATGCTTTGTGTGGAAAAATTTAAGCTTGAAGAGATAGAAAACCTGTAAGAACATCTACAACTTCAGTTGCAAAAATATCCACCAACATGAATATCTTATCACACATCGAATTGCGGATTATAAGCATAAGAGTACAATCACAAAAGAGATGAATACAAACGATAAGGAACAACAAGAGAAACTTACTTCATGAAATTTAGATATATCATGGAGGACTTGTTGTGCAACATACTTTCTCAAATGAGTCACTGTAGCTCTTGACGAAAGTCGTAAATACTTATCTGCCAATGGTTCAAGATTATCAGAGCCTGGTTCAAGTTTTATATTGACTTGTTCGTCTTTACGATGATAATCAGGATCATAATTCGCAGCTAATCCATCCGAATCAGTTGGTAAATTACCACCAGTGCCATTTTCTTTACTACCTGAATTATGATTTTCTTTACCTAAATCTAATCATTTTTTAGAGAAATTAAAAAAGCATGAACAGAAAGAATAAGCGAAATAATAATTTTAGAGTGAAGGCAAAAAAAATCATTTCAACCTGGAATAATACAGGTATTTCAACTTTGATTTATGCAGAACTACCGTTTAAAAAAGCTGTCTTCAAATACGTCAACTGCATCATGATAGTAGACACTAGGGATTGAGATTTAGAAGAGGGAAAATAAAAACCAACTAAATATATTCACTACTACAAAATGGTTACTAACACTGAAATAAACAGCCCTACAAAATAATAATACTATAGGCATCCTATAGTAGTATCAATTTCAATGCTACGATGTAAATTTTCAGCAAACTAATTCATGGAAAATTAATTTAAAAAACCCATTGTGTTTTCAACAAAAGACACTTAGCAAATACATCTAAAAACTTAAATCCCTTAGGAACTATTAGTTCGGTTGAGATTGTGGATAAACACATTGTTTATGAGTGCCAACAACCATAACATTTGGGAGAATGGATTTCTGTCGCTCTGCCTCTAACAAAATAACACGAAAAAGATGTGTTACACTATATTTTAACTCTTCAGTGTACTTTAAATCAATTTTAACTGAAATTACTCAGTTATGTAGGAAGAAGTTCTATAGTCATTGGTCGACTAATAACCATGTTAATAATACTGTATAGATACGTCATTTATATATAAAAGATTTATCTTAGTGAAAACAGAGGATACAAATGTACAACACATGTCAGTTTTGATTTCAGTGCAATCACTCGACAGTTTCTGCCTTGGGAGTAATTATTCTATAACGAAATTATACCCTTTTTGTTTATCATTTTATGACTAATTGATCGAAAGCAAGTTTTTCTTTCATTGGCTATCATAGCATTGGTAATACGCAAGTCAAACTGCCTGTCTTGAGAGAGTGTAGTGATTAAATCAACAACCCAACTATACAAACATTTATTGATCATAAAGTCAAAAAAATTATTTCAATTTGTTTATGATGTCACTTAATCAACGTTTCGAGGTAATTGTAAATCATCATTTTCCTGCGAAATCAGTTTCGCATTGACAGTTCAGATTACTGCGGCTAATAAATAATAGTAAGACTCTAGATCGAAAATGAATATATTGTATTAAGATCCTATATTTACCTCTCCCTTGTTATCAGCAAGCCTGTGAATTTAAGAGTCGAAACTGACACCCTAACGATTGACATGCGAGATTCGTAAGGAAGTTGGGTGATTTTCCTATCTTGAGAAATATTTACAGAGGGTTAATTTAGCTGCACTTCTAGCAACAGGATTGTGAAGTGTAGGAAAATAATTTTGAGAAAAATAACTCTCCCCCAAAAATAAAGAATGAAATCCTTTTAAATATTTCCCTTTTAAACTCTAGGACCGTGAAATACAGGTCTGGTAAAAAAAGAACACACTCAACTTATTTTCCCACTGCCTATGATTCAGATAGTTACTCATCAGTATGTAGACAAACAGTAAGTACCAATCTATAATAAAGCTAACGAAATACTCTAACAACATACGTATGAAAAAAGCTGGTATCCCGTATATGAGTCAAAAGATTAATTAACTACATTCATAAAAATAGATGGAAAACGAGACATATGTTACAACTGGTCATTCATGTGACCTAATCAATAATTGTTTGTTAAATAAATGACTTCTAAGTAAACAATTTAATGTAACTGGTGGCTAGAAAATAGCAGCAATTAAATCACACTGTAATAATCAATCATAAGAATCAATTTAGAAATTCACTAACCAAGTACTACATGTAGGAAAGCTGATTTCTCCGCATATAAATTGTTCAAAGTTACTAGCAGCTAATCAATAACCTTCCCCATTATCTCATTCACATCTTAATTGCAATGGAACATTTTACCATGCTTTCCTTTTTCCCTTTTATCTTGCAACACCCAACAACCTATGACTATATTATTTTGATTTCTCTTCTTCTCTATTTCTGTGACCTTCGACATGAATTGTAAACATATAGTGTGGTGGTTTGGATCACAGCATGACATTGGCAGTTCTCACTTTTTAGTAGAAAAACAGGCGATTCTCGGTTTTCTTGCTAGCAGCACAAACCACTGGTTTTAATGACAAGTACAGTTGGCTGAAGAATAAGTTGGATAAGTGATATGAGTAGGTAACCGATCCATGGAGACGAAGACTACCGGTTTGAGATATGTTAGTAAAAGTGTAAGTTTCTTGCCAACGATCATCAAGATGCAAAAAAATGGTGGTCGTAGAGTCTTGTTGACATGAATTAAAATTATTTACAACACTATATATTTATACATTTTTCATTATCTACGACATTCTTGACAGTTTCAATACACTCTCGTTAAATTCTCTATTTTGTAAAAATCTATTTTATTAATAATACATTTTGTTCTTATGTGCTTTTTATAAGAATTGAGACTCGGATTAATGCACTTCTATGCAAAGTTCACATATGTCACTCTTTCTGTTTAATTACATTCATCCAGCTTACAACCCGTAATCCAAACTACGTACAACAAAGATAAAATACGAGATCAGAAGTGATATCGAAAACATAACCAATGGTCACAACTAACAACTGCCATACGGCACAATTACGTTTGCTTGTTGAACTGTAACGACTTTTACTAGACAAATGGAATGTAGTTATAATATCAGAAAATAACAGATTTCATGTAAGAGGTCACAGTAAAATGGACAAGCGGTGGTCTTAGATATGGTGAAATGTTTGCATTTGACCACCTAAATTATGCCTACGTAAAATGAAGGCTACAGAAAAAAGTTCATAAAAACCGCACAATCCGCATTGCTCTATAGAACATTATTTCTAGTGGTCAGGTAATTCTAAATAGGAATTTACGAATAAACCAAGTAACTCGGTAGAGCTGAATGTTTGGCTCTTAGTAGAAAAATACTGAGTTCGGTTGAAATGCAGTGACATAACAACGGCTGCTATTACATAAAAGCTATCACTCGTCATGCATAAAGTCAAACTTATTTCCCACTACAACTGCTACTGATGTACCCATTACAAAATTAATGAACTTATTTACTCTTTAGCTGAATAGTTTGACTAGTAACCTGAAGGATCGGGACACCCATTTATATGTAATGTATTTGTGCATGCAGGGAATACAGTTCCAGGAAATAAAGCAGACCTACATTGAAATATGTTGTCAGCTTCAGTGAGAGGAACTGATATGATTATTCATGTTTTTTTCGTTACTACTTTTGCAGCACTCAACAGAAACTTATACTTTTATTGAACAGATGTGTGAAAAAATTTGTGGGGACATAAGCCACTTGGTAATACTGGAAATATAGATGACGTATTATTTACCAATGAACTATTTTCACTAAAACTATCATGGTTTGATAAAAGATTAAAACATAAGTTACAAATTAGACCTAGCAACTTGACGTAATGAGTTTGAATTCATTGCGGATACAACTGTCGGTAAGAATATAGAGAATTCCAGCACTCTTCAATTGCCGATTAGTCAAAGAAACTACAGGAATAACAAAATAATTATTCTGAGAATTTACTGGGTATATCACAAAACATTCAATTCAGGGTTTTATTGTTAGATTAAAGTAACTTACCCTCGGAAGGAGGTGGTGTTTTCCCCAAAGATCGATAAAACGATTCTCGACGTTGTCTCTCGTCTAAATAAAAAATGTTAGAAACAGAAGGCGACTACTCACTTTGTCTTAAATCTGGTACAACTTTATATACAATATCTTGGAGAGTTCGATCAAAACTATAGGGGAAAACCGGGAATAAACAATGGACACAAATAAATCTGACAAACCTCATATAATTTAAAGGATGACTTTGATGAATAAGAATCCCGCATACAGGGCAATCACGTTTGTCTTCCGAATATTTCACTATACAAGATTTACAAACTATAAAGGATATATTATTATAAGAGAAATGTTAATCGTCCTACATGGATGAAGACATTCAGTTATCGAAACTGCATCGATCAAATAGCCTTTACATAATTTACAAGTGATATATTCATTTAAATCTGATAACTGAATAGCAGAAGGTTCATCCATATACTCGTACATGTATTTGCGTTACTGCGTGGAAAACAGTAAGAAAACATCAGCTCCTCTCAACCTAAATAAATGGAAAAAAGAATACTGAGATCTTAAAAACTCTATACAAATATCAGTTTCAGAAGAAACACTGTTGAAATCAACTCGTTTTTTAAAACATAAATAAAGAATTAAGTATCTTATGCGGAATTATGAAAGGTGTAGATACAGCGAAATTGACTGCGTATAAGTAGTGTACGCACACTGTTACTACACAACTCAGACTAGTCAAACATGCCAGTAGAACGATCCTGTGTATTACCGGTCCACAGTTTGTGTCATGAGAACCTCTAGATTAACTGCATGAGGTCGTCAGAGAGTGAAAACCAGTGGTTACGTAAAAACTTATGACAGAACCGTCACAGACTAATTTGATACCTTAAAATGAAACATAGTTTTAATAAACAGTTGAATACTTCCCAAATGACAGAAAAATTGAGGGGATGGAAAACCCATCTGTTATATGTGTGCCTAGATTCTGTCTGTAACTATTCAAATTAAACAGACAAAAATCCCCAGACGACTGAAGTGGTTTTCTACCAGTATGAGTTCATATTCGAGCCACATATATCCAGATAAGGCTTTTATAATCACTTAGTAAATATACACAAATTAAAGACATACACTGCTCCTCAGACCAGATTTATGCGAACAAATGTTTCTTTACAGGTACCTCCAAGTAGGCATTAAATAGTTGCCGACCACAGTATCTATACAATAAGTTAGGTTGATCTACCTATTACTATCGTCTTATTCTTCTAAGTATAACAGTTAAAGACCTAAACCAGAGTGATAATTCTATGGATCATTATCTGCTATCCAATAACATAAGTATCGTTAGTACATATTTACGATCCTCCTCGAAAACATGTGGATTTCGAAGACCACGCATTTATGTTAAAATCATGGTTAACAATGAATGGATAATTAAGACGCCGGATTGAGCCAGTTGAACCTCCCTTTAACATACCAGATACACTTCCCGGGAATTCCTTCGAAAATAAACTTATTCAGAGCCAGATAACAAATAATAACGAAAAGCATCTACCGGTACACTATAAAATGAGGGATTTAGGAAATAACAGGATTCGTGGACATCAGAAGTCATTAAATGTGTCTAAAAGATAGTGCTAAATATTTGTGTGACTTGAGATTGGCATAGAAAGCACAACAGAAATAACTCTTTAAGCTACATGAACTACTACATACAGCACTATTAGGTGCATACGGCTGTTAATTTTATGCACTGTACTGTAAACAAACAAATCCTAAAATTAGCTATTACAATGACAAAATAGGTATTTATAGCATATAGGAGAGAATCACCGACACGTTACTATAAATAGTATATTTATCGCAACAATGAAAGAAATCTCCACAAAAAAATCTTTTTACAAAGTAATTTTCCAAGTCAAATTATTTCTCACAAAACCCAAAGGAAAAATCTTTGACTTCTTGTTAGGATATGTATAAAATACTTGTGACAGCATAAATATAACACTATTCACTGGGCAACAAAAAAATCTAGACAACCATTTAATATCAGACAACAGAATTTTTGTTCACTTCCTTCAAGTTGAGTAAAGAGATAAGTTCCTAACGATTTGCAAACGTCAAGCGCTTATGTTCATACATACATGTATGGGTTACTTCATTCACTTTTATTGCATCAGTTGTACAAGTTTTAGGAATTATCGGTAACACTCGATTAATACAATTTCAGCACAAAGAAATCTACGGCTATTTTTCCCCAAGATTGAGCACATTTATACCATTTCGAATAAAAATGATGAAGTGAATGGCAGCCACCAAAAGACCCAAGATCTACACATGTACCTAACCAAGCATGTTGCGTAGATTTTGTCATCATAGCTCGCTGCTGAGTTGGTTTTGCAAATCCATCACGTTAGGGCTACGAATTAAGGTAACCCTAACCTACACGGGTAGCTTTAAGTAGATATACCAATTTGACGTTAGATTTCGGTCGAAAATAAAACTAAATTTAGGATAAAGCTATATTTTGTGGTTTAAAATAAGAAATAACAAGTTACTAGACACTCAATACATTTGGGTTTGCAATTAATAAAATCCCATGAGTTTAATAAATCCGTTAAAGTTGGCTGCTTAAGGTCACATAGTGACCGCTATCCCGTAACTAATTGCACATCCAGCCCACTTAAAACTTCTTAGCAAAATGTTTGGTGATTAGGAGGAAGTGTTAAGGCCATAAAAAATTTAACTTTGATCGCAAAAGAAAGGTGTGATTAAAGGTTCCCATACAACGAAATATTATTCGCCTGCATAAACAGAGTTTGAACCACCCTACTACACATTTGAATCAAACTAATAATATGAAAAACACACGAAACTACCACACTTACATTTACATAATCAGGGAAGGCTTATATCTCGCGCAGTACATTATGACCTTCCCAGGTCCAATGAACAATATCAAACGATGTACCTATAAGACGACAAGTCTAGCCGTTCCTGTGCAAAACTGCAAAATCCTCCGTCAGGAAAGGCATGGCTCAGCCGGAGGTGTAAAGTATTTTGCTTGGAGTTATCAAAGCACCTGTTGCGTGTATCTAGTCTTTCCTGAAGTGTATGCAGTAAACACTAATACTAGAAAATAAAAGAATAACAGCAAAATCAAATGAATTGGTAAAGGTTGGCATAAAGAAAGCTTGTGAAGGAATTTAGTGTAGCACTAATGTTTTCGCTCATAATTAAACTGATTTTCTAACCGGCACAAACAAGGGTTTGTTTGTGGTTTGTTTTGCAGTTTTGCACAGGAACGGCTAGACTTGTCGTCTTATAGGTACATCGTAAATGACGAGGAAATGAAAGCGAGGATCGAGAAAGCAAGACAAACTTACAGTTCTGTCGAGTCTATGTGGAGGCTAACAGTTCTCAGCACGAAAAATAATATCCGGATTTTCAACTTCAATGTGAGGTCAGTGCTACTATACAGATCACATCCTCGGCGCCGCGCTGTCTCACGTGGAACAATTCGAACAAACTATAGACCTTCCTCAACAGATGTCTCCGCTCAGATCAGATGGCCAGAAAAAATCAGCAACAGGGAAAACTGGGAGCGAACCAACGCAGCAGTGTGGTGAGATATGGTTGCTAGCCAAATTGGTTGACAGTAATTGAGGTCAAAGGTCAAGATGGACAGGCGGATACAGTTAACATATTGATGAACTGACACAGCCACAAGAGATGCAAGGTTAACTTTGTGTGAGAAACAACCAATCAACAGACTGTATTTTCTACTAACATTAACCTACAATAATGTACATCAAAATCTATAAATACGTGTTGATTTTCCGTAATAAACGATCTGTTGCCTGGCCCTTGTCGTCTATTGTTACAGCAGGAACCAGCTGTGCAACAAATATGCAGGAAGAAATGGAATTGGCCATACTCTGAGAAATCAAACCATCAAGTGACATCACACGCCAGCCCATCACTCGAGTGGGCGGCGAATTGGTCGTCAGTGCAAGGGTGACATGGAGGAGGTCGTATGAAGAGGAGACAAAAGCACGTTGGCAGATGTGGAGTTAGGTGAAAACTTTGGTGGAGAGCCGAACGCAATGGAGACGTGCGGCTGAAGCCCTATGTTCCTCTAGGAACTAAAGGAAACAATAATAGTACTGCCTTCTGAACAAATTGTCCTTATTCCCGCCAAGATAACAAGTTTCTTTCACTTATGAGGCTAAGTTACGAAATCAGAATATTAAGTCAATTAAATCTTCCCTCAAAACTAAGGCCACTTGAAACACAAGTTCACAACAATGCTATATAGTATGACCGTAGCGGCAGTGCTTTTAGCCTTAAAATAAAAAGCTGAATGTTATGAGTACATGCAATTTGAAATTAATGCTGAAATTGAGATATAAGTACCACAACTACCAAAACAATTAAGACATTAGCGTTTCAATAAAAAGGCCGAATATAACAGTGGGATTCCATGAAAATCCAAAAATATGCGTTCAAATTTTGAACCTCCTACCTTACTTAATCAACCACATTACGCAGATATTAGTATCAAGGGAAATTTCCTGTTACAACTGCAACAAACATAACGAGGTCCAAGTACATTATGCCGCCGATATTATGTACGTTAGAAAAGTTTTTAATGCAAGATTTCATTTAAACTGCATGCAAAAACAAAGCTTGTTACTAAAGCAACATAGAAACGGATATTAAATCTAAAATTAGAGGGGATATGCAATAAAACTACTTTAGGTGGGTTATTAGGTTCCCTGAGCACTTTTCAACAATCTTAATGGATAAGATGAACGTGTCCTACTTTCTGAAAAGGAAGCGAACTGTTATGCATATGATAATTCTTTCGGGCATGTGGATTATTTTCCACTATATTCCGCATCTTAAGTGTGATGTATCATCTTAATAGCTTTTATTTATCGTGTCAACTACTTTAAGAAAACTTAATTTCTTCAACGCTTCTCCATCGGGTGTTCCAGACATTGCGAATGTACGCCCAATTCACGCACTTTCTTCGATGAAATCCTCAGCATTCTTGGTATCTTTTTCGAATGTAACGGGGACCGGATGAAAAGGAAACGAAATACGAGAACCAGGAAAGAACATTACTGAATTTATACACATGCATCACATTAGCTTAGAGAGGAGGCTAGAGGGGAACTCACTGTCTTCATTCCCTTCCAAAGAGCTTTACTACTGGTGTTAACTATAGGTCATTACTTCCATCTGGTTTCATCCCAAGTTCCTCATGAGCCAGTTGCAGCAGCGAATAATTGCCCAAAATCCTTTAACTTCAAAATCTTTCATTCAACATTGGTTACTGACTGTGTAGGACTTGTTTCCGGGTTATCCAAATACACTGGGATAATTTTGTCGATGTACTTATTCTCTAATTAACCTTCTTTTCACTGAAGTTCATGAATCAGTTGAATCCTCTACCACTGAACGTCATACTAGCCCCGACAGCTGATTTACTTAGAACAAGACTGGGTGACTCTAAAATATAGCAGCCCAAAACGAAACCACCTCTAGCGACCAATCAGATTTGTAAGAGTTAAAAGTGCGCAGTTTGAAATAAACGCTTATAAACAAGTAATGCAATGTTAAAAATGTTTACGTAGAATGCTATTTTTGTACATGTTCATGAAACACCTCCCAGTTTCTCGCAGAAGTCCTCATAGTCAAGTTAAACAAATTTCTGTAAATAAATTTATCAAGGTCATCAATTCGTTTTCTACGTAGTTTAGTTTTGGGCTGCTTTAGTTTAGAGTCACCCAAGATTGCTTTCTTATCGTGTAATGTGGGCCTAAATTCCACTCTACTCAATGATTTGAAATCTTAAACGTGAAATCGAATATGGAACTATTCATTGCTATTTGACCTTGATAATTTGAGCGGGTGGTTTGGTCCTCTTGCAACACATAAACATTTTATATACGCAGAAGTGCATATACAGACGAGAATCTACCAGCCATAATGTGTGAAGATTAACTTCGATTCATTATCTTCTTCTTCAAGCAGTGATTTACTCTATCAACTGTCTCATATTTTGATATGCCTACAGACCATCTATGTTGATGTCGCATTATTAAGTTCTGCTTATCTCAGGATATAAATGACGTCAGTTATATCAAGACACACTTCAACTGTCTCTCTGATCTCCCAAAACTCTGTACAGCTGGAGGCTGGATTGTTAGTTCAATGTTTGAATCGCTATAAGGAGCATCTTGAATGTGGTTGTGAGAAAGTTCTGGACTCCAAATTCTCAAAGAAAGGATTAGGTATGCATTTTTGTTTGGGCTGCAGAAAGGTTGGTGGTTGTTTCCTTCGCTTATGCACTTGGCATGCAATTATGAAATATTGTGGTAGTTAGGCTTCTGGAATTAAAAATGTTCTAATTGATTTATCACCATTTTAAGATTTCGCTTATTTTTCCTAATGAGAATTCCGGTGCAGTGTGATACGACTCGAAAGGGAACACTTTAGGAGTAACTGAACATATAAACCACGTTTCTTCAACTGCATATTCACATAAATTTTTCGCTGAAATGAGTATTATTATTATTATTCAAATAGCTCAGCCACAAGATGTTTGTTTTAGCCCGCCTGTGTGCTCGCAAATCGGGGATTAGGGACAACTTGTTTGGAATTGGTATATTAGTAGTGATCCCATACTTATATGGGGCTTCCTTCCTGTTTTAAGTTGGTTTTGTGAAGCAGTAGAGTGCACCACATTAAACAAAGGTTATCGTGATATAGTAGTGCAGTAGTAACAGTATACTCACACAAGTATTGTTTGATGTTCTTGCACTACGAGTAACTAATTGTTCACATCTTTACTCCATATAAATCTCAATATAGTTGTTGTCCTGTTAAGTAATGAGTGCCTAAATTTCTAAGTTCAAAAATATTTGTTGGACTATGCAGTTCATGCATATAAAGAGGATTAGGTCCACAATTTAGAACAGTATATCAGAACTTTTTAAAGGACTACATAAAGAGCAGGAGTTTCAGTAGACTCATAGACACTTGAAAACGGATATATTCATGAGAGCATTTTCAATCATTTATCAATTAGATTTGAATCTATGTGAGCACTAAATTACTGTCGTCTGGTAGCTATGAGTTTTCACTAAAATTTAAAATGTAATAATTAGTATACATTTATGTACTTGCCTAAATTATTTTTTCCACAAGTAAGTTGTTTAAATTGTTTTGACATATTGGACAACAATTTGGGTAGATAGGCGACTAGTTTTCTCCGTATGATAAAATAGGCAAGCCGCAACAAATTTTGTACATCCACCTCTTATGAAATGGGTTGTTGGAAGCTGTGGGTAGGAAGATCGATTCGCGAGATTGTGGAGAAGCATTCATTGACAATTCATCCTTAAATAATTGTGCTCTCTCTGATCAAGATGCTAGTTGTGTTCCCTGGGAGTTTTGTTGTAGTTCTATCCTTTCCGGAAATTGTTTCACTTACAGTGGTTTTGCAAAATCCTGAATCCTTACTATGTCCAAATTATGATTGCAGTGCTGACACCATTTACATTTTCTGTTACATGCGATCTCTATTATGTCATGGGTGCGTTCTACTGAAGAGTTCAAAACTAAGACGAATCAACTGTGTAGTGCTCCTTTATTTGCAGTGATTCTAAAACTAATATCAGTTCGCAATGCAATACGTCTCAAAAGCAATTCCATCACCATAAACTCTACATCTGTGATAATTTCCCTATGGTTGCTCAGTCGCTATATGTATGTTAGTGCGATGAAGCAGTTTTATTATGCAACCCGTAACAATACAATTTATCGGCCTGAATCAAAATCGATGATATTGAGTTCCAGAGCCCGAAACACTGATTGGAATTCGAGGGCCCAATGCAATTAACCGCAGCGTCACCCTTTGCCAGAATAACACGATCTCTGTTTTATATATGAGTCTTTTGCTAAAGTGGTATGATTTTATGAAATCAAACATCAGCTTCCGTACGTTTTTATGTATTTCGTGTGAGGTATGCCAACATATGCGCCTATTAGTGTTTTCTTACCTGGTTGATAATTATCTTCATAATATTTTGTTGTAGGCTCGACATTTTTGAATCATCCGAATTCCCCACTTAGTGATGACACCACTGGCAATGATTCAGCAGGAGGAACGGGCCTAGAACACATCACAACTTCTGTTGTTCGAAAACTCGATGCTGGGGCTCGTGAGAGTTTGGGCCAACACTTAATCCAATTGTTAGCTACCATTGTCTTACCAGATCCTCCTCAATCTATAAGTGAAGTAGATGGTCGCTTGGTTGGTGGTCTACCAGGCATTCCAGACAAATTAATGCCCACTGACAGCGACATGGACAATTATCGTATTTTGGCAGAGAAAGGACGGAAAAAGGTGCTAAATTTACCATTCGATAAGATATTTGCTGCCCTTAAAGTAAGCCTGCCTATATTTAATACTATCCACTTTATATTAGGATGCACTTTATAATGTTAAAATTGTTTAAAACGCATCTCCATAATTTTAAGTGAGATGGAAAAAGTCACTCGCAAACTGGACTCACGTATGCGAACATTTGAATTTAGGTGTTTGACATTTACCAAGTGCATAAGAGTTATTACGGATACAGGATTGGTAATAAAATTTAAACTCAGTGATAAATTATATATTGAATTCATTTTCAAATGAACCAATTCTAACTGATACATTTTTGTCGGCTATTCATAAACAGCTTTTTGTACTCTTCATTCACTGGAGTAAATTATTTAATCTAAATAGCTGTCCTCATTATAATTCTCCTTTTAATGTTGAGCATACACAGTTGCGAATGTTTATCAATCACGTGGTAGGTATGATGAAGACACGCTGTCAAGGGTTGATATATAACCATTTTCTAGTTAATAATGGAACTGTTAATGCATACACAAGTCGTGAGGTAAATTACATGCCTACAGATCCTGTAGTATATTCTAGATTTTTAGCAGTAAGGTCACGTGTTTTTTAAAACCCTGGAGAAATTAGATAATTGGGATAACATATTTTATTTATATCCTTGTAGTTAGACTGATAGATTTAAACAACCAGTTATTTAAACGAATTTTCGGTTTTATTTGTTATCGCATTTAAAGTGATTCTGTAAAATGTTAATAAACATAACCAATATACTTTTGCTTTCTATGTGAGCAATACTATGACCTGGGCGTTACTGGCAGTGACCTTCCTACATTGTTACCTTACTGGTGTAACGAAACGATTCATTGGCAATCGTTGGATCTGATAGAGGTTCTGATGAAATTTATGATTTCGCTAGGTATAGTATTAGTTTGGGTTTTATCAAATCATTACTTTAAGTTTATTGGAGACATAACTGCTCTCTTACGAGGTGGAGTAAATAATAATAATAAATTAGTCATACAGTCGTTTAAATCCCAGCAATTATTTTTTAGTAATATACCTTCCCAAACCTAATGTTTCCATCAGCACTATAATCTCAGGATTTTTTCAATTCCAAGAGTTGAATTATGAAATTTAGTAGTCTAGTGTAATTAATTATCTAAAGTTCTTGATGTAGAACTCACTTCAGAAAAAAATTTGTTGATGATCATAATAATCTAATCATTTATATCATACATACACAGGAATTCAGTGGACGTTTCAACTTCAATGTTTGCGTCTACATTGTTGCTATAGCTGAACATGTGATCGGAAATTTTTTGCAAGTAAGTAAAAAAGTATTGATCACAATTTTATCATCAATATCCCACCTACCCCACTTACTGGTGTTTTTATCTAAAATAAATGTTAGATTTACGATATGTGTTACCAACTCACTCTTGTATCAACCAATAAAAATAACCAGAAATTGACGATTTCTTTTGTATCCTGAGACACGTTCTTCTTTGTTCATTGATTTTAACCCCAGAAGCTGCAGCTCTTCAAAAGGTATTTATGAAGACATTTCTGCATCTAGTCACTTGTATTCTTCATTATTTCGTGACAGGTTTACTTGGATAATGTGTACGTTACTGTAAGGGATGATGTAGAGTGAAACGAGGTGGGATTTCAGTACAGTAATTTTTAACAATAATTTTACTGACATATGTTTATCATAAATGCCATTCTGTAATATATATGGCGGAAGTCAACACCAATGATAAGTATTCTGAAGTAAGAAAAATGTTTGCAGCTCGTGTCAATGTTTCTAGTGTTGTCACTGTTTTAAGGTTAGCACTGAAGATGCCCCCTCTGAGAAGACAAGAAAGACTTCGAAAATAAATCGCCCATTTCAGAGAATGCTAGAAAAACAAAAAATAGACATATAAAACGGCATAATTGTATACTGCCCCTAGTGGGTCACGTTTTACATCAATTAGGGCTAAAATAAAAGAATGGGAGAATTCGTTTTAACAGTAACAAAAATCTTCATAAAAAATAGAGTGAATAAGAAATATAACCAGTTGGAAAGTCTCCAAAATATGGTTAAAAATATCATGTAATTGTACACTTAACTGCAATCGATTGTGTGTATTGTGCCTAGTTAATAGTCTGGTGGCATTCGACTGGGACGCCTACACCTTTTTACATAATTCTGTTGATTTATTTCACATTTTCTTTTGGTGGCTTTAATTTTCTTCAATGTAATCTCACTACAACTAATATAGGTATTTGAATTGGGTAGTGGCTCGGTAAACGTGGCACCAATAAATGCCTGTTGGTTCATTAATCAACTTATCTGCTGTACGGAATATCTCATGATTGATCGTTGTGTATATATAGGCTGGGATTCTTTTAGGTTCTCTAGAAGAATATTCCAAGTTTAGAGCCTGAATTATTACTGAAACTAATTTTCAAGTGGATTACTTCGTGTTATTTCATGTCTGTAAATTAAAAGTTATTTCTACTCTCTGTCAATGTATTTGATAATGTCATTTCATTCCTACACTCTTCACATCAACACATATGCAAATTGTCGCATGTCTTTCATAAGGAATTGGTTCTAAAATACTTTAGACAGAAATTCTTTAAGTTACATGTTGTTTATGGTTTGAGAAACATTTTGCATCTCATTACAAAGTACCACTAAAAGTGAGAGGTCAGATTTTGGCAAGTAGCACAGTATTAAGATGAAAAGTGAAACCAAACAACATACGATAGGAATAGTTCACTAAGATTATCACTATTAATATTATTTTAGTAGTACACATTGAATTAATTTATTTAAACGACGAAATCTGGTTGTAAAATGGAGGAGAATATTTATTGATTAGGATGAAGACAATATACATAAAATAAATAACCTGGAAAGTATTAACTAAACGCAGTCCATAGTTTTGAATTCTTTAAGCTCTCTATGCACTGCTGGTTTGTTACACTCTTCTTTCACTTTTACCACTGTGATCATGACTCATGCATACAAGATTACATTCCTGTTATGGTGAACACTCACTGCAAAGCAACTTTCGAAGGTTTAATCACTTCTACTCCGTTAGGTAAAAAAAAATCAAATGTTACTTAATATTTCTTGGTTGAAAAATTCCATTGTTTCAGAGCAGTGAATAACAGACCCAGGTGCTGTCACTCACCTAATATTACTTGAATAATTAAGTCAGTTTATAAGATTACCCTCTCAGGATTCTGGTAATCACTGTAATCTAAAATTGGCGCTGGTAAACGAGAATGCAAAGCGCAGGTTACGGGTAAATCTTAGTACAGTACAGTAGGGTACAGCAGGTTGAAGATGAGGCAGTAACTCATCGAAGAAGACATTGCGAAATGGTTGCGCTATGTCGTGAATTGGCAGAAGTTAGAATTCATGCACTGGCTATTGGATCGGGTCCCAGTAGCTCAATGGTCTACGAGGTCGCCTTGTAATCAGAAGGTCCTGGCGGGTGCGTACTGTTGAAGAGTCCCAAACTAGGACGAAACAGCTGTCCAGTACTCCCAGGTTTTCCAGTGGTTCTCTAACTGATGTCAGCTCATAATGAAATCCTCCATGCAATAAATCTTAGTTAACAATTGCAAATCCTTTTGCTGAAAAATAGTGACAAATTTTTCCATGTGTCAGAAAGTATTGTCCAAAAGTTTGAAGATTCTTTGCAGTGATAACTGGTCACTTAAATATGATGTACAAAGAAATCTGACTGTCGATTTATCTGTAATATTGAAGGAAACAACAAAACATGCAAAGATCTTGAACGTAAACAGCATATTTTGAGTATTTTCTATGTGTTTTCATTCTTGCCTGTAAGCTGATTATAGAATTTTGCGAAATTTTTCAGCAAAGGCAACCTGAGTACTTTTTTTAAAGGACATGCTTTGCACGAGTTTTTCTTTTAACAAATTGTAATCACTGTCACAGTTTTCTCCTAATAAAAGTCCCATCAGCGTATGTAATTGAACCACAACAGTGAGCAGTGTATTCCCAACAGTGCATTTCGCTTAGTGATAGCTGAATGTTAAAAGATATAAATGAGAATTTCTCAGCCTAGATAACGCATCCGTTACCATCACTTGCAGGTGTTACCTTTAATATTTAATTGGTGGATGGTGACTAGCAGTGGAATCCAGGATGCGCATTTCGTCCTATTTGGGACTCGTCAGCTGGATGTACCTGCATTTCTCAGTGAGTGATGATGTTCCCATCCAAAATTCAGTTACCTTTAATACTTTACGAGTTTGAAACTTGTACCGTGCAGCATCACCTATTTAAAAACGCTTAAACATCTGTCGACAATTTTATGTAGCAGAACATGTATACAAATGGTTCTACATTTCATTCATTCCGAATTACTGATCAAATTTCATATATAAAGATACCAAGAATATTAAATTGTGCATATTCATTCTTTGAGTGTTTTCTGTTTTAGGCTGCTATTTGCTATGAGGACAAAGCTTTAACTGAGAACGTTATTCGTGCATCCACTGTAGAGGTAATATTTAGCATTGTGTTGCTTTATTTTTGATGGTATTTTCTACTAAAAATTAAAATCAGATAATAATTCATTGAATCCGAGAAGTGTTGGTCATCTGTTTCTCCACAGCCTGAAATTACCCGACATTGGCATGTATACAAAGTTATATAGGACAAGGTCAAAGACTCGTCTATCTAGTTGTATTTACATTACCATTCAGGCAGATAGTCGGTAAAATTGAATTTTACTAATACATGTAATTTCATAAAATCATGTGGCTATCATGCAATATGATAAATGGGACAGCTGACTTTTTCATATTTTCATTTATATATATGACTAAACTCGAGTTTCAATGGCACTCTAGTCATATTTTATTTTGTCCTAAATCATCCGTTGTTTTGAAGAGACTGTCTAGTGATTTTTACTTGTAGTTATGTCTGTATTTTCATGCTACTTCATTTTCACTGTTCCATTTTACATTCAGCAATCATGAATTGTCTGTTAAGCACAAAAAATAAATTTATAAAATCATTAATTATGCTTGTGCGAAGCTATAAGCCTTATGGGTATCGTTTCTGTATGAAAGAAATAAGCTGGTACAGCTTAAATCTATTAAACTTCAAAGGACTCGAGCCGATCACCACTTACAACCCGTTCAGGAATGCCAGCAGCAGTCACGGTGTAACAACAGAAGACAAGGCTGGCAACAGATCAGTTTTATTACGAAAACCAACAGGTATTTATATGTATTTTACGTACATTAATAAGGCTCTGCCCGCAGAAAGAAGGCGGTCTTCTGATTGGTTGTTTGCAAACAAACGCAGTCTTCTGCTTTCTCGTTTTCGATATTTCTCGGAAATGCGAGCCACTTGTCTGCGAATCATATTTGTCCCCGTTTAGGTCAGCTGTGATTGGTTGTTGAATCAGCCTAGATTAATTTCTACCAATCGGCTAGCAGCTTGCTCTCACCACAACGGAGCAACTAGTGGACACCAATCCTTCGCAAAACAGGAGTTTTGAATGCCATAAACTTGTTGAAAGCTGGGAGAGCAGCATGACCAGATGGGATTCCCCAAAAGCATTGAAAACGAACTCAGTGACTTCAGCGGACATACTCATGCCAATATTGCGGAAGGTTTGGGAGGGAAAAAAGCTACCAGACGGTTGGAAGAAGGGTTAATGTATCAAAATCCCAAAGAAGGGGACTTTAAGCCTTTATCAGAGCTGGTGTAGAATCATGCTTCTGTCTAAAATATTAAGCTCGGTCATCCTAGGGAGACTTAGATATCCAACTTGCTGTATTTAAATTATACGATTAAATTTACCTGTCTAAAATCCATCAGAACACTTCAATGTTTACTATTGGTCGATAGATTGAGCAGAACAGAACTTCAGCCAATGTACTTCATTCAGCAAACTTTAAATGTGTATAGTAGTGAAAGTTTCGTTACGAAACTTATTTGGCAACCAGAGAACGTATCGGTGATAGGAGTATTCAGTCTTAACTTCAAGCCGTTTGCATTTATATCAAAGGTTTTTTTAAAGAAAATTTTCTCAGCAGATCTGTCAGAACTTTATAAATGGACATAATTACTAGCATGCCCAAAATACCAGTACCTTAAGGTACCAATATAATTTATCATCAGATGTCGAAAAGACTGGCATTTTCTCATCATGCCTAAGCTGATTTTTCAGCATAAATATGTAATAAAATTGTTATAAGCGTTATCCTAATAATTCATTTGTATTTATGCATATAGTTTTAAGTGTACTTCCTAAGCTAATGTTACCTACCTAAAATTTGATATCTGCTGATAAAAATTTCAATGATATGTTTTTAATTCATATTGAGATTTAAGGCTTTTTGTTTCATTGCGTGTTCTTAAATTTCCTCGACTTTTATGTAGAAACTATTCATATTATATCGTGATCGTGTTAAACCCCGTCGCTTGGAAACGTCTAATCTTTTTCCTCAGGACTATGATAAGTAAGTATAAGTGTGCTTATGAATTTTTTATCTTAAGAATTTTCCGTTAAATTCATAGTATTCACTATACTATAGTACAGCGGCTAATTAGTTTAGGCACCTGGCTTTCATCCACGCCTTTGCAGGTTCGGATCCTCATCCGCCTACTGTAGTTAGGGGCAACCAAGTATTAGTGATATTGGTTGTGTTAGCGCGTACATATAAGAGCAAATGGTTGTCTACTAACATTTATCTTATAGTACTGATAGACATTACCAACTAAGTGGTTTAGATAACTAAATTTCTTCATAGTTACTAAGTTATTGTTACTGTTATTAATACTGCTACTACTACTACTACTAATGCTGTTATTGCATTATTATTCTCTATAGCCTACAGTTTAGTCATTGTTGTTAAAACATGTTGCCGCGGTGTATTCACCGTAGAACTTTGAAATCCACAAATTCATCCTAGGGAAGGCTATTGATGTTATAGAACATATCATTGACTCAATAATTTTAGAGTTCAGCTGATAATTATGGTTTGATATCACAAATGAACACTTAAAATCCATCAGCATTTCCAAATCTGAGTTCCATTTGGGAATATTGAATTATGCAGTTACATTTTTCTCATGAGCAAGAAATATTCATAAGATTTTGTATACTTGATTAGCTTTCGGTTACGTCTGCTATACCGGAGGTTCTTAGGATTTAACATTCAGTTATTTTAGGTTAATTGGACTCTCAAATTTGAGTTAGATTGGGTACATCGATGATCACTTCGGTCCCAAACGAGTGAAACGTCTGTCCTGTCTTTTCATCACCTTTAGCTCTCCAGTAAACGCTACCATTAGATGTCGGTTATTTCCAAATGCTCAGTCAGCTGTATGTATCATCTTGCTATTATCTGTGGTAAATAACTGTTAAGTTGATTTACCTGAAATTCATTATCGAAAATAATAAGGGGACACTTAGATAAGTTCATCCTGGCCTCTAGGTTAGGTTTACTCTAAAGTTTTAATTTATGGATGACGGCTAATTGAGATGTATCCATCTGAAGTAAAACTGATTAGATATACTTAGGAGTATAACATTAAGTTTTCATCATTGGTTTACCTGCTACCATGACGCTTATTTATAAATATTTGCCATTGTTAGTTTATACTGAGCTAGCGGCGGTCAAACGAAAACATGGCACCAGTCAATGAAATCCACAACAGTTAGTCTAAGCCACGTAGGAAGGTGTAGACTTCCTGGTTGGGTTCCTCGGAACGGTAAAAACCAATGGTTGGAAACAATTGGTGACATGGCTCAAAATCGTTCTCAGTGGCGCAGATGCATCCACTCCTTGTGACTCATGATTTCCAATGAAACTGTTTTGTCTTCGTTATTACTATTCCTTTGTCTCATACCTCTGTTTACTGTCTATATTATGCATTTCTCCTACTTTCTTCTCTTGCTTTGTGTGCTACAAGGAGGGAGTGTGGCGACTTGAACTGCCGCACATTTGTGCAAAGTTCTATGTCGAAAACCGACCGACCGACCTTATACTGATTAGCTCAAGACTATAATGGTTATTTCACGTCTGTAGTTCAGCGGTAGAACGCTCGCCAACCATGCACATGGTCCGGTTTTTGATCCCAGACCGACATACTCCTAAACCTCGCTAAGCCGGTAGTAAGGCAGGTAAAGAGGGAAGGTTAGGCGTGAGGCTGGTAACTCTTTCCCGTAAAAATAAAACCTTTGCTACCGAAACTTCAAAAGCTCTAGCTTGAAGCTCTATGTTCCACTTGGGATTTAAAGGAATAGAATATAAAAAAATAAATATAATGGTTACTTTAGATGCCTCATTATAAATTTTGGTTTGCTATTTTCATTTGTTTCTTTTCAATCACATTAGATGCGTTGATGAATTGTGCAGTTTTTTACATACATGCTTGGAACAAATCAATCTATTAATACGTGTATTCCGTGAACCGATTGTTTCTTTAACTCCACCATCTTACGAACAACAATCAGTGTGCTGTAATGGAACAAATGAAGATACTATACAAGTCTTATTCGGCAATATATTAGATGTATATAATAATATGCGTATACTGTTAGATACAATTGAAGCAGAAGATGAAGATAATTATTCTCCAAATATTGCTACTAATTCTAAGAATTGTATACTGTCAACAACAGCAGAAATGGTTAAATCTGTGAATGCATCAACAACCGGTGGGCCAGTTACTACTACTACTACTACTTCTGATAATAGTAGTTTAACATCGGTTAATTCATTATCTGAAACAGGCGGTACACTTGATTCAATGCCGAAGAAACAATTGTCTGACAATGGAGTTAATGTTGGCAATACTAAAGGCGATTCAAACAAATCATCCTTGTGTAGTTTACCTCCTACACCAACATTCCATTCAACTTCTCCAACTAGTCAAACAGTTGTAGATCATCGTCATCAACATCATCACCGATTGAACAACCGTGAAGAAGGCCTTCTTAACAATAATCATAATGATAATAATAGTAATAATAATAGTAATGGTCATTCTAATAATAGTAGTAATAAAAAAACTACTCCTAGACGTTTAGTTGGTGTATGCTTGATTGAATTAGCTGAAGATGACTCATTGCATGCATTCAGTCAGTATGCTTCTATTGTACTCGATTCTAAATCAAGAGATAGTGCTTGGAGTTTAATTGAACACGAAAATTATCTACAAGAATTATGTCAACTAAGTCGAAGTATTATTCACACAGCTTCATTGAATAATAAGGTAATTTTTTTCTCTCATATCATTTGAATATTACACAGTAACACCTATTTTAAAGAATTAATTAGAAGGGATGATTATCTTAATCAGTAGTTTCAACGGTTCACTTGAGTGTTTTAGGCTTTGTCGTTTGATTACATTGGATGCTTTTGCCAGAAATAAGGTGGTAGCTTGACTTCAAATGCAAAGGGATTACTGAAGATATTTCAACGACCGTATTAGATTAGTCCATTTAATGTTGCACGCTGTAAAACAGCATTATTACTCGGTGCGTCGGTGGCACAGCAGTTATGACTCTCGCCGATCATGCACATGGTCCGGGGTTCGATCCCCTGCCGACGCACACCTGATATCTATGGTCGGCCTGCAAAATTTTGGCTACCGATATCACATGCTGAAAATTCCATACCTGTACCAAAAATACGGTGTGGAATCAAGCTGTAATAAAAAAATGATGTATTGATCAAAAGTTATTGTGTACACTTATATTATAGTGTGATATATCAGTGTAACTATTCTCTCTCTCTTTAATCCCAATGTTTTGCTCTTAGATTTCAGTGTTGTTTCAGTTGTTCAGTTATTTTATCTTCTTGTGTCTGAGTAACAACTGAATGAATTATTATTCTCTTGGATTCCGAGTAGGACATAGGGCTTCAGCAGCACACCTCCATTTCACTCTGTTCTCCGTGGTCTTTTTTATTAGCTAGTATCATGATTGCCCATAAGCTTTCATCTCTTTCCTACACAACCTCCTCCATGTCACTGTTGGACACCCAACTCGTCGCTTCCCATGCGTGCCCATTTGATGGACAGCTGAGTCAATTACTGTATATATTTGTGTATATGCAAATACAAATGCTTGTTTTTAATGATCTAATTGAAGAGATACATTTTGACCTTGAGACTGCCGACTTCTTTTATTCCATTTATAGTTATCTAAGTGTTTCTATAACTTAATATTATTTGAGATGATGTTATCAAAAAAGATATAAAATTTCTTGATAAAAGGTTAAAGGGAAGTTAAGCACCAAATGCATCTTTTGCGTTTGATTTCTGTTTGTGATACATGGAAGATGATGGGACCTAACACAAAGTAAATCAGTCACATTTCATGCACCACATAAGGAAGGAAATCAATAAATGTGGAAGCGTCAAAGTAAATAAGAAAGAAAGTGCGTGTGTAAAGACTTATAAGGTATTCAGAATTTCAAAGGTGTTTAAGAGTGACAGCAGTCGTCTTTGTTTTTTTTCTTAATATTCTGATTACGATTGTCATCTTCATCTCAACTTCTTAACATAGTTTTACCTCAGTTAACGCTGTGTACATCGTGGTAGATATTTTCTCATTCAGTGCACTTTTTCTGTCTAAGCTATTTTGTCTATAGATTTAGTTATCTTAGGTTGTTTTTCTTCGTACTGGTGTACTTCATTACGTCATTCAACTAACAGCATTTATATTGAAGTTATAACCATAAATTTTCTGTTGAATGGAATTCTTATGTTGATTTTTAAACTCCTACTTATTCAGTCGTCGTATTAATTGACAGAAAAGTGAAACGTCATTTATCAGTTATGAAGAAGTCGATGTTTTGGTGAAACAGTATGGTGCATTATCTCACCAATTAATACACACTTTAGTTGATTTCAAATATGATTTTAAGTAGGATGATGTAAAAACTAGTAACAGTTTTGTGGAAAGTTATAAGTTGTCAAGTCACTCACTATATACATGTTTAGCTCATAGGCTTTTAACCAGTAGGTCTTAACAACTTAAGTATTATAACTTGTTAGCACACAGTTTCCTATATGGTACAAGCTAACAGTTCACTGGTTTATGGGCCGGTAACATTTATCCATCTTAGTTCATGAAAAATTCCCATTCGAACATTAATAAAGAGAAGACCAGTAGTTCAGCGAAGAGTCTCTTTTCGGCGAATTCATTTTCACAGCTGTACAATCGCAAATATATATATATATATATATATATGGTTATTTTGTATGTGTGTGTGTACATTAACTTTGTCAAACGAAAATACAATTAGTAAGTTTTTGGTGGAGTTACGTTATACAAAAGGCGTTCAGAGGAATTGGATGTTGACACATGAGGGTTGTAACAAAAGTGATGAGTCGTCATAAACGATTGTTAAAGAAGAGCTCCGCAACTAAACCAACCAGCTCACAGAACACTACTAATTGCAAAAGAAGAGTTACGTAATAACATGAATAATTTGTTGAAAGAGTTGTAATCAGGGTGCAAATGTAAACAAAATAAAATACGGAATTACGTAAGAGTTTTGAAGGAATACAAGAGTTTTAAGTAGCTAGAAAAACAAGCGAAAAAGCAAAAGTTAAGTCAGATCAACAGAGTTGTTACCATGATAGTAGAAGTAGCTGAGTAATTTTCTTTTGTATGCATAGTTCTGGTTCTTCCAACTGAATGGCTAGGGCTTCTGCAATGCAAAGAAGACGGAAATGTATTGTCTTTGGAAAGTTGTTCTTCACTTTGTAGATTACTTTGAAGGAGGTGTTTGTTGAGATGGAATGACCAGTGGTGACGAGATGTTCGATTATTGCACTCCTTATACGGCCACTACTTCCTTTCTGCAGCCACACTGGATAGTGTTCTTTGAGCCTTTTTGACAGGATGCGCATCGAACGACCGATGTACCTGGCTCCACAGCAACAGGTGAACTGATATATACACATAGAAGTGGTCAGGTGCGAGATCTTGTCCTTTGGGTTTCTGCAGATCAGCGGGTGACTAGAGAACACTACTCTCAGTGTTGCCACGAAGAAAGTTCTTCTTAAAGAAGTGGAAATTCTCCTCTTAGGGATATCACTGAGTAGTTCACCTTTGAAGTGGAGGTTCATATAAAGTGTCTTTTTTGGCACGGATGGCGTCTCTTGCTTTGGATTTTCTGTTTGATGTTTTTGTATATGAATCTTGGTGGATAACCGCTTTGTATGAAGATTTCTTTCAGGAAGTGTAGTTCTTCTTCCAGGGTATCAGAACTGCAAATGCATCGGACGCGAGTAGCAAGAGATCTAATTAGGTTTCTTTTTCGACTGATTGGTACCCAGCTGTAGAAGCTTGTCAGTTGGCCGTTCCATGTGGGTTTCCTATGGATGGACCTTCGTAAAGTTCCATCAGCTCTCCTTGTAAGTTCAACATCAAGAAAAGGAATTTTAGATTCGTTTTCAATTTCAAGAGTGAACTTTGTAGCTGAGTGGCATTTTTTAAATAAGATCGTGAACATCATCAGAGATAATAAAGATGTCGTCCACATATCCAGCATACAATTGGAAATTATCAATAGTTGATTTGAGTGGGCTGTTCTCGAGGTTCTGCCATGAAGCAGTCTGCTAGCAATGGATCCTGAGCACAACTCTTTCATCAAATTATTCATGTTATTACGTAGCTCTTCTTTAACAATCGATTGTGACAACTCATCACTTTTGTTACTACCCTCATGTGTCAACATGCGATTCCTCTGAATACTTTCTGTATTACGCAACTCCACCCAAAACTTACTAATTCTCACCTGTTTAGTTAAAATAACCATAACCAATTGTATTTTCGTTTGACAAAGTTAATGTACACACACATACAAAATAGCCATATATAGATTTGCGATTGTACAGCTGTGAAAATGAATTCACCGAAAAGAGACTCTTCGCTGAACTACTGGTCTTCTCTCTATATATCGATCTGACTGTTCTTCTCTTTTCTCCAACTCAATCCTATGTCACCGCTAACCGTTTACTTCGTCTAACGTTACATGCATTACACATGTCACAATCATCTCATAGTAAGTTCATAAGCTAGTGAAGTTCTTTACTTTCCCATATAATGGAGTGTAATTTTAGATTATTGACACATAAAACAGATGCTTTTGTAGGTATATGGCTTTGTTAGGTTCACCTTTCTAAAGGAGTTTTGAAGATGATTTCGAGTGAAAAAAACACACCTAAAAATCTGTTATCCCACGCATGTATTTTCACGGATGCGTGTGACTGTAAATCTCTCATGAAGGAAACGTGGTTGAAAACAGTCACTCACTCACTCACTGGTGGTCTGAAACCTTTGGTAATACGAATGAAACCTGAACTCAATGGCACAAATGTACCTACTCCTTATTTTTCTCAAAACTTTTAACATTGTATTACTTCTTGTGCGTTTTCTGCTCTCTTTTTCATCACCTCAGTCCACTCTAAGGTGAACAAAGTTCACAGGTACTGTGTGTCACAGCTGCCATACGTGAAAAATAAATTACGTTTACTGTATTTTATATTTTTATATAGTACTTTGGTATATGCTTTTAAAAAATAAGAAACCTTTCGATTGATGATATGTGTGTATCTTCTTTTTTTAGTATGCTGCATCTCATTTCGCCTCATCTTTGCCAACCACCGATCTACATTCATTCACTTGTTCACGTTGTCAACATTGGGATACATATGTAGGCAAGCCGCGGCGAAGATCTACCTCATCCTCTGTCACTTCACCAATCCATAATGATAGCAATTCTTCATCGAATTCATTTAGTAAGGATACTATGTCAACTTCAGTGGATTCAGCAGATAGAATTGAACTGACTTCAAGATTTTCATCTCAACGTCCTCATAGCCGTCGTTCACCGAATTCATCTTCATCTTCAGATATGAATACATCATCATTGTGCAGCACATTGTAATTATCTAGTGAATGCCACTAGATATTTACTACCGAGATTAATTTTATTACCAATATTTCATTTTTTCTACTTCCATGAATTAATTGAGGTTAGTAAATGTTTAAAAAGCATTTAAATTTATCATTGATCAATGTGCTCAAGTTTTACACGTAAAAATTGTTAATATATATACATATATATATATATATATGTATATATATATGTGATATATATTGGAAATGTGCTCATTATGTAGTTGGGTAGTGTTTAATTTATACTTTATGATATTGGGAAGCGGAGAAATGCAAGAATTAGTATTAGAACTTGGAGATAAGAATTGTTGTTTGTAACGCAGAGACTTTCGGTTCCTATTTTAGACTGCCATTTTTCAATTTCTCGGGTTTACAAAAAAGGAAAGTTATGGTTAATTAACTTCTTTTGAGCACTGGTTTCTTGTGAAGAAGATTTGGAGCGTTATATTACACCATAGGTGCTCGGTGGCATAGCGTTAGGACGCTTCCGACCATACCCCGCCGCTCACTCCTTTACCTTGCTAAGCCAGAAATAATGCTGGTGAAGAGGAAAGGTTGGGCATGAGGCTAGCAACCCCATCCTGTAAAATAAACACTGCTACAGAAACTTCAAGCCACTAACTTGAGGCCCTATGTTCCACTGGGAACGTGAAGGAAAAAAAATTACACCATAGGGTTTCATATTCTACTGTGAATTATGTGGATTTCTAATATAAGGGATTAGATATCAGTTGAATTCTTAAGTATCATACAAATTCAGTGTTTTAGTTGTCTTGATTATTGATCAGAAAAACAATCATGCAATCAGATGAGGAAACAGAAGTTTGTCTCAGCTCTTTCCTTTATCTCATAGTTATTACTATGCGATTTGACTATTCAAATCTTTCAAAATAGAAGCCATTTGGAATTCATCAAGCTAGTCATGAATGGTATATTCGATAAGCGTGTCTCCTACTCGATGATGAAACCTTAACACATTAGTACCTTAAATTCAATGATTTTTTTCGTATGTTCCCTCCCACTCATAAATGAGAGTCATGATGATTTGCGGAGAAATCTTGAGAATTTCTGGAATGTTGGTTCACACTCTTTAATTTTGAACTGATAGTGTCAACTTACATTAGGAAGAAATATTTTTTTGAAGTAGCATCAGTTCTATAGATTCAGTTTTTTTTCCTTCACGTTCCCCAGTGGAACATAGGGCTTCAAGCTAGTGGCTTGAAGTTTCTGTAGCAGTGTTTATTTTACAGGATGGGTTGCTAGCCTCATGCCCAACCTTTCCTCTTCACCAGCATTATTTCTGGCTTAGCGAGGTAAAGGAGTGCGTCTGTGGCCGGGGATCGAACCCCGGACCATGTGCATGGTCGGCGAGCGTCCTGACCGCTATGCCACCGACGCATAGATTCAGTTAATGTAGTATTATCCTGTGGAAATGCATAATTTTACTCATTGTTATTTCAACATTTATTTTTTAGACATTACATCGTTGTGCTTATGATGATGAAGATCGTGCTCGTTTAAAAGAAGTCCTCAGTATGTTAAGTAAAACACGTAATACACTTGAACGAGATTTAGCTAAACATCCATGGGTTGCACTACATTTAGTTCGATTAATATCAACTGGTCAGCTGACTAATCGTTATCGATCATTATATTTAAACGCTGTCACTGGGACGTCATGTCCACCTAGTCCAGTGAATTATACAGCACCACCTTCACCTGTTGGTCCTTCAAATCAATTTAATAGCAATAGTCATGCTTCTTGTGCTTCTGTATTCAATGCAAATTGTAATTCAACAACTGGTAATATATTCAACTATCAAAACCCTAATCATCATTCAGTGACAACTGTTAACAATCCGACAATGACAATGGCCGCGGCAGCCGGGACAACAACAGCATCAACGGTGGGAGGTATTAATTCTACAGAATTACCATTCATGTATAATAATACAATTCAAAGTAAAGCAGATGAAATCGAGAAGCTTTTAAGCAATAAAGATAAATTGTCATTGCCAAATAACTGTCGTAGTGCATTTGGTGATTTTGTAATGGGTAAGATTTCAGTTTTTCTTTGTATATGTGTGCATATTAATATTTCCTGTTAGCCAAATCTTTGAGATAGTGAACTATCAGCTGTTACCTTTTCTTTCGTTAGTTACTGCATGCATGTGTATCCACTTATCAATAAACTATAGGTGTTGTGCGATTGAGTTGTAATACAATCTGGTAACCCAAATCTCGGTATCAAACTTATTATCCAAATGGTTGAAACACGAGTTCCTATTCCAATAAACTAAATCCCTATTGTTTAAAACCACTTCAGCCGTCTGATGTCGTTGACAAAGAATTGTCAATAACTCTACTGTAACATCTTTAATTCTCAAATATCTTCAATTTCTTCAATATTAAAGTATTTTGTAGTATTTATTTGCGTGTATGGTTGAATGGCTTACTGGAAATGAACTCAGTGAGTTATATTCTGTACTCATGTAGATAAATTAGGATGTTTTTAAGTTAATCATGAACAAATTTTGCTATATGAACACATCAAACCCGGTTATTACTTCAGTGATATTGCACTAAACACATCAGTGCGATATCTAAAGTTGCGTACTACCTTTGTCTTGTATGAGTGTTTTTTGTATTCAGTGGAACATAGAGCTTTGAAGTTTCGGTAGCAGTGGTGTTTATTTTTACGGGATGGGGTTGCTAGCCTCATGCCCAACCTTCCCTCTTTACCAGTCTTATTACTGGCTTATCGAGGTGAAGGAGTGCGTTGGCCGGGGGTCGGACTCCGGACCACATGTGTAGTTGGCGAGCATTCTACCGCTGTGCCACCGACGCACTATATAAGTGTAAGTGTTATGGGTTATTACTTTGGGGATTTATTCTTTCAACTGTTTTTCCAACAGTTTCTAATCTACTTTTATGCATTGTGTTGATAAAGTAAGTCGGTAAGTTGTAGTCTACAAGTTATTCTATAGTAATGCGGATGACTTATAATATCAAATAAAACTATATTGTTCTTCCATATTACTATTTTTTTGCCTCATATCTCTGTTTTGAATCTTTTTACTCTCTTCTCTTGCTTTGTGTGCTAAGTGAAGTGTGGCAACTCGAACTGCTGCACTTCTGTGCACAGTTCTACGCTGAGTCATCAGTTTATGAATTGTTCATGTGCCTCGATAATGATTTGTGTTCTCGTGTTCTAGAACTTTACAGAACTATTCTTATCCTTACCTAATTTTTATTATTTATTGAAGTTTTACCTAAATAATCATGAAAATCATTGTTTTCCTCTCTACTTTTCGTTATTCCTAAATTCGTTGTTGTTGTTCATTATTCTTTTCTTTATCTAACAGAGAGTCGTGTGTATTTACGTACAGAGTCAAAGAAAGCATCTAGTGAGCATATTGCCTATTTATTTACTGGTCTCCTATTAATATGTAAATGGCAAGAACGTCGTTCAACTCCATTGAATCCAAACTCTACACAACAATCTGTTCTACGTGTTAAACATCGTATACCGCTTGATTTAATTCATGTAACCGATTTACCACCGATTGTTCAACCGAATTTAACTCGTTATGTCGGTCATAGTGGACCAATGACACCATCGTTAGTTGGTGCTGCGGTTTTAGCTGCGACATCAGCTAATAGCTATTCGCATAATAGTACAACATCTATTAATTCGCATGAAGATACTCAAAGTATAGGTCTATCAGGTGAGGTTATAGTACTTTCACACTATTGTTTATGTATATATCTGCCTATGCTAACAAGCTGGGAGGGAGTAAAACGCAAATTTGATGCTAGGCTTGAATTCATTTATTTTTACTCATATAAGACATATATTAGTTGCAAGATGATGTTTCTGATACTATTTATCGCTCTTATTTTAAATCAATACGGACACAGCTTGAGAATTTTATTTTTTCATAGTTCTGTTATTTCGTGTTATTTTATTCATATTGTAACGGCAGAAGGGAGGACACGGAAGCCAAGGTATATTTTGAAGTGATCAAACAGCTATTTATATCTATACAGTTCATATTCTTTAACCAATCACTGAGCTTGTGATTTTGGTTTACATTAAACGACATGAAATAGAATGTTCAAATACATATAGTATTCTGTTGCTAATGCAGCATTGAAGTGTGGAAATAGTATTCAGACGTTAACACCAACAAATACAATGATTCTTTCTTACTGTGAGAATAATATTCCGTTGGAACTCATTGTCTGTATCACACCACCACAATATGATCGTAGAGCTGTTCATCTTTATCACATACACTGGGCGTTAGTCTAATGAATCAAGTTTCATCATGAGCCGACATCGGTTAGAGAACCATTGGAAAGCCTGGGAGTACTGGACAGCTGTTTCGTCCTAGTCTGGTTCTCTAACCGATGTCAGCTCATAATGAAATCCTCTAAACAAAATCCCTACAAACCAATACTTGAGAATCAAGTTTCGCTGACTATTCTCTAGTCACACCTAACTATAATTGGCCCTCACTGTCATAAAGTTCTGTAAACTGGACAGTAATATATATCTGGAGTGTTATCTTATGAAATGAATATTGTATCGTTCTGTGCTACGCCTTATCAATTAAACAAATCTGATGCAAGATCACTAATAGTATGATACTATCGAAGCCTGTTCATGAAGTTGTTTACATCTTCAATTCTGAAAAAGACTTTCTATACTGAAAATATAGATAATTTCTAGGTAACTAGATTGAATAAACAGCTTCAGTGTATATCGACCATACTAATTAACAAAATAGTTGCTATAAAATTTAGCTGTTCTCTCCTTTTACAATGAAAAAAAACACCACAATAAGATATTCACTGTACTAACACAGAGTGCATTTCTTTATCTGTCCCAGTCAATACACTTCATATTCGAATAGAGAGGAGAGGGATGTCAATAGTGGCAATAACTAATCGATAAACTTCGTTTCAGGTTCTACTCCCTGTGGATAGTTAATAGTGTATTTGTGTACTTTCCAGTATCTATTCTTCTGTATATAGTTACTTCAATAGATTATCACCACTGTGTTTAAAAATAAATCAATAAATAATTCTTTAAAATCTAAAGAACATAATGGGAAGTACATCATCTGATAAACAAATAATTCGTTACTGAAGAATGTACTGATGTACAACAGGAACGATAGTAAAGTGATTGTTTCTGAAGATCAGAGCCCCAGAAAGAATAAGCAACAAGGAACTATGGCAACGAACCAACCAACCACCTACCTCACAACATGTGCAGAAGAAAATGGAGATGTATTGGACATACACTGAGGAGAGTATTGAGTGACGTCGCTTGAGTGGAACCCGAATGGTAAATGATGAGTTGGGTGTTGGTGTCGGGGAGTGACATGGAGAAGATCGTCAGAGGAGGTAATAAGAGTTTATGGGCAATCTTAAAGCCAGCTAAAAAGTTATGGAGAACGGAGTAAAGTGGAGATGTGCTGCTGAAACCCTTTGTTCCACTTGAAATCCAAGAGAATAGTAATATCATAAACAGAATTCGTTAAAATTTGTCTACAAAGATTTAGTGTATGATTGCCAAGCTAATTAGCTTAATACATGTCATATTGGACAGAAAATCAGCATTCAAATAACTGGATTCGTTGAAATTGTACATTCAATAGATCGTATTTTCTCAATCTTGCCTTTTGTTAATTTCAGTAGTATTTCGAGTTACCTAGTTAATTATTTAGGGAAATATGATGGCAGTTGGCTAACTCTTTGTCTCATCATATATCTGACATTGGGATTTATCATTCTTCATGTTAAATGAAAATGCGTTTTATTGAAATATAATCTAAAGCTTTAACCATTGCTTATTGGACTAGGTGAGGTTTAAGAGGATATTGACCAGTAATCAAACCCCCCGGACTACGTGAGTGGTTGGCGAACACTCTGCCACTGAGCTACCACCGATGCACGTTGTTATAATTTACTTACAGGGAATTCGTAGATTTTATCCTTCTGAATAGCGATCATTATACTCGCTTATCGATTAGTTTATGTGCTAGGATATGTGAAATGTTCTAATTAACTGCTAGAAAGATATCTCTTGCTTAACACGACTTTATTTAGAAGCTGTCTGATCAAGTTTTGTAGGGTGACTTAAAGATACGACATTCACTACTAGACAGTGTGCATTGTTAAAAATCATATAAACATATGCCTTTAGATTCTCTTTGTTCCCTTAAAAATACCATATAGTGTTTAAATTCGAGAAAATACAACTGTCACATTCTGATGTGAACGAAGCCATGAAAAATTAGTTTCTAAAGTATCCATAATTCATAGACGACAGTGTAGCTATCCACACATTAAGCTTTTAAATTAATCTATTATCATTCATTTGTTTAGTGTAATGTAGCATTAAAAATTTCTTATTTTACCCTCAGAGTGTGTTCAATTTACACTTATTTATTTTTCTTTACAAGGTTTATTTACATCTAGCTTGAATGGTTCCATTTCAAGTCATTCGAGTTTAGCTAGTGCTGGTGGTTCAGGAATTGGTTTTTTCCCATTCCTATTCGAATTGGAATATGTTGATTCAAATTCATGTAGCCCAACATCGCATAAATCGAATCACTCGAACAGTCGTCACCATCATCACTATGGTTACCATGCTTGTCCACCAAAACATTCTGGTAAAATGAATTTCAACGATGAAATGGGTAGTGCACCTGTCGGCAGTGATGGGAGTTCATTGCTACCCAGTCTTTCTTCTCCGTCATCATCATCGAACAGTACTTCAGAAAAAGCTAATTTTAATAATTTATCATCATCTGGCATCAATGTTAATCATATTTGGATATTTTTACGAACTCCAGAAGAGAAAGCTGATTGGATAGCGAGTTTGTTGAGTATTCAAGCTTATCGGTAAGCATAGTTTTGAGTACTTATCTTGGTAGCATATACGTTTCACTTTTTCTTTCATTACTGTTGCATTATTAGTATTTCTTTCATACTAATAAACTGACTGAGTATTTGTGGTGTTGGTGGTGGTGTGGGGGATAGATTGGTGCGCAAAAAGCATTTGAAGTATCCCATAAACATACCATGCTATGATGGTGTTAAAGTAGACATCTAATATTTTCTCATTTAATCTTTTGTTTCAATATTCTATTCGATTTAGGCTTTTTCTACGTTATATCCGAACACTACCCAGACTAGAGGTCTCCTTACGACTGCCGTCACCAAATGTCTATAGGTAAGTATTTTAGTATTAGAAAAAAATATGTTTCTACTAATTGTAACCTCTGTTACGCAACCGTTTATATAAGTAGGCGTCTAATATTAGCAGATACAGCTTATATTATTTGCTGATATCACACCTAATTTTGAATGGTTGAACTTTGCACTAGATATTATGTATCAAAGGACATTAAAGTGTAAAATCCGAGTTATTATAATTATCACTTTACTATTCAGTTTTGAGCGTAATATGTGATGTTTATGTGTAGTAATGATAACCAGCTGACATTATTTATTAGATAAATTAAGAAGCCTACTGGAAGGAAATAATGACTATTTTGTTCTTTAACTTCAAAAATTTTCCAGTTGCACGAGCAACTTTAACTCTGGAAGATGATGACTCACTGCTTGTGAAACTCTGAATATATGCACCAACTTATTACCATATTCTGTATCTCTGTGCGTCGGTGGCACAGCGGCTATGACTCGCCGATCATGCACATGGTCCGGGGTTCGATCCCCTGCCGACGCACACCTGATATCAATGGTTGGCCTGTAAAGTTTGGGCTACCAATATCACATGCTGAAAATTCCATACCTGTACCAAAAATAACGGTGTGGAATCAAGCTGTAATCAAAAATAGAAAAAAAATCAAAATTAAAAATAAATATATTTAAAATTAACAGAATGAGTACTTTTTGTAAAATTGGTTTATTTTAGTCATAAGTCATAAGCACATTTAATCAACCGGAAAAAATTGATCTAGTATAAGTCTGTCGTTACACTCTTCCTTGAAATTCTTTAAAAGTATATCTTAATTAGTACTGCTGTCTGTAGGCCCAGAAATCTTAGGCTTTTGGATGAATAAATGTATACAGTTTCAGTCAAGCAATAATATATTTCTCGGTTTGTAAGGTTTTGATAAATTTTTCTTATGCACTGTTCATTAATGATAGAAATTTATGGCCAGTGAGCTACATTGAATCCGATGTTAGAAAACTAACTTGCTGGTAATGTTGAGTGGACTTTATTGAGCTAAATTATAAATTAGCAAGACCTGGAAAAGTGGATCGTTGAATCCTGATTCACTGTCTGAATGGTAATGTGCTTGTTAGAAAACTGGATGTTACGGGGCTTGGTGCGGTACTTGAGTGTTGATGAATACATTGTTATGATTGGTGTTGTTGTTTTTAAGACTCAACTACCAAGATCGGACATCAAATGTATCAGGCTGTGTGAGGACCGGTGATAATATTTAGTCCAGATTAAATTATATTGTGCAGGAACCTTTGTCTGGAAGTCGAGTGCTTAAGCCAATAAGCCCCTAAACCAACTTGTTGTTGAATAAGTTAAAACTAGAACCAATTGGCTATTTACTCTCCTTTCTTTTTCATTAGTTCCCTAGTTGATTTTGCTTGGCGACAGTCTGTATAAAATCTGTAAAGAAGTTATTATTTTATGGTTGTATGTTTTTCTTTTTTGCTGTGATATTTGACCATGTGTGTGCTCATTACTAGGCTAGTGGCTTCATCAGTATCTCACAAAGACGTTTTTGCTGAGGCATTATAGCTTGAGAGACACCAAATAATCCCCATCCTCTCCTTGGACGAAAACTTCTTTTTATATTTTGCAAGGCAAAATTCTTTTTCTAGTTTGCATACTGTATTTAGACTTCAAAAAAGTCTTCTCGTTAAATGTGATCCTAGTTCTTCCTCACCTGTTTTATGCTAAAGATGTCTAATTATTATGAGAAGTTAGAATTGAAGGGCTATTGCATTTCGTCGCAGCGGTTGAGTAGTATGCCAGTTGGCTCTGTAACCTGAATATCCTGGGTTCAGTCCCTGGTGGGGTCATGGGTGCGCGCTTCTGAAGAGAGGACAAAGCAACCGTCTAGTACTGTCTAGTTTCTATTGGTTATCTAACTGAAGTCAGTTCGTGATCAATCTTGAAATTAGTAGTATTCATCGAGTTTTCCTCATCAACCAATGTTATTTAAAGGGTGTTAGTATCCCGATCGATAGCTGCTACCTTGACGTGGTGGTCGGGCATGCATATCGCAATGACCCAACGAGCTACACTGGCTGGAACTTATGTTCCTGTAGGTCCTACCATGCCAGAAAGGTTGCTTGGATAGCGGTTAGACAAAAAGCAGCTACCCAATCCAATACTATGATTCAAACAAATTCACAAAATATCATGCCGGATAGGTCGGGGCCCGGATTAACAACGACCGCGCTTCCTGCTGCCGTGTCACAGGGCAGAAGTGATAAATATGCTACTGAGACACACCAAACAAAAGGGAACAAACAAAATCAGGCCGCGTGTGACCGGTCTCAAGCAGTTGTCCCCTGGGCTCTGCAGTCACGCAACACTAACCTTTTCTGTGTGGTAGTATGGGGATAAATTTAAGTTGTCACTTATACGTTTCCTACTGGAAGCATTTTTTGGGTTATATTTGCTAGTGAGCTTTTGTTTAAAATATGAATTCTTCTCCCTCTGATTTAGTTCTTTTCTTCTGTTTAAAAAACAAATTAGGTTTAGTCAACCAGATAGTGTAAACAATATTATATTTGAGACAAGTACTCCAACATTTATTCCATGCTATCAAACAGAAGATCATTCACGTGGTCAAGTAAACTTGAGTCAAAATTATTCCCAACCTGCTCAATATCCCAGTCATCATCATCACCACCAACAACAGCACCAATCAAAAGAAATGCGTGAACAATCATCTCCACTACAATCACTTGATATAGCCAATAATTTTAATTCATCTGAGCCTAATTCTTTCAATGAACTGTCTAATTTTGTATATCCACCAGATAATTCTACTAGTGTTTCAAATGTAGAAGAGGGAGAAGATGTTGAAGAAGATGAAGAAGTAGATGTAGGAGCAGTGGAATTGATTGAACCACACACCTTAACTAGTGGTACTACTTTTGGTATTGTCCCACCATCAACTGATCTTACAACACCATCACAACCATCTCCCGTAACTACAATGTCATCATCATTATCGTCCACCGTCGACAAACCTAGTGGTAGCTTATCTGAAATCCGTGGGAAAATAGATAATACTAATAATATCATGTTGACAATGCTAAGCAATAGTGATTCGTCTAGTACACTAACATTGACTAGTCATGGTTCAAATGATAGCAGTAATGTTAATCGTACTCTTGTTAATAATAGTTATTATAGTCATAGTAATACAGTAAAGTCTCAATGTGATTATCAGTCATCATCTCATCCCCCTCCAGCTCCTTCTCCTATACAACAACATTCATTTCAATCTTCAAATAATCTACCTGAAAATGTAAATATGCCTAGTAATCGTCATTTTTCAAGTACATCAAATTATCCTCCACAAATACGTATGGCAACATTAGATAAATTGATTGAACGTCTCACATATCCAACATATTTTGATACACGTTTAGTGAATTGTTTTCTGTTAGTGTATAGACGTGTTACTACATCGGAAGAATTGTTGAATTTACTTATTGAAAGATTTCGTATACCTGATCCTGAATTTTCACCTGAAGAATGGAATATTGAACCGGAACATGGTCAATTGGAATCACCTGCACAACATATGCTGAAAAGATTTCGTTCCGGTTATAAAAAGCGTATTCAATCTAGGTGAGAATTTTTAAAGAGAATATGTGTATTCGTGTGCGGCAACTTTCGTGTCTCTTGCTGTTTATGAAATAGTGGTGAAATATTTTCTTACAACGGTACCGTTGATTAGTTTAACAAGTTTGAGAGTGTGTATGTGTGTGGATGCTTGGTATTCAACGTCACCTAGTTACTGGAAGTTAAAAGTATATATTGTTGGTCAGATTGTTGTGGAGTTGTGAATGGCCAATTTATACATTTGTCTTCCCACCATTGAATTGTCAGTAAAAATCATGGATACACGTAGACACGAGGCTAGCTGGTTTATATCGTGAGGTTGAACGAATTTCTAGTATATAAACCTTCACGCAACTAACGAGTTGTTTCCGAACCCTCTTAATCACTATCCTTAGTACTTTTTGGTGTTATTGATTTCATATTTTTACACATCTCTTAGGTTTCTCATAAATTTTTTGTCTTCTTTAAATCTTCAGAGTGATTATGTTCCTGTCACGTTGGGTGCGTAGTGCACGTTATTATCAGAATGATTTTGCACCAAATCCTGAATTACGTCAAAAACTGCTTGATTTTTTATCTACTATACAAGCTAGATATTTAATGTCAGCTGTAGAACGTATTAAACAACACTTACAACACCCTCCTGTTTCAACACACTATCCTATTACATCATCTAATGATGTAACTTCCACAACAACTCCATTAGATTCAAGTGGACAAAATCTGGAGACAAGTGATTCGGTCCCTGTGTCGCCTGTTGATTCAAATTACTCTGGAAAGTCTTGTAGTGTTGGCAGTAACATTAGCAGCACTAGCACTAGTCGAATTACACTCCATAATGTGAGTTTATTGTGCATAGCAATCAATTTCCTTTCAGTATTTCATGTTGCTCTGTTTTTTATTTTCTGATACATAAAAGACGAATTAACTTTATGTACCAGTGAAAATTCTAGTCTTGTTCTTTATGCTTAGTAGTGCAGTAGATTTCCAGACCGATTTCAAATTAATGAAGATGTGTCTTGCCTTTCCGATCCTGGCTTTGACATCCTCATTCATGCTGTCTGTAGTTGAAACACCGCCGTCTAGATAAGACTTCAGGCTTTTATCAACACCTGCCATCGTTCCATACTAAAGATTAGATGGTTACAAAGCATTAGAAACAAGGAACTCTGGCAGCGAACAAACCAACAACCTATTGCCGAGCAAATATACCGAAGAAAGAAGAGATGAAGAAACTGTTGATGCCAAGCAGGCCCTCGAGTGGAACCTTTATGGGAGATAACGAGTTGGGCTTCCATGGATGGTGACATGGTGCAGGTGGCGTGAGGAGGAAATAAAAGCCTATGGAAAGTCGTGGTTCCAGATAAAGAGAACTGTAGATAACACGATAAAATGGAGATGTGCTACTAAAGCCCTATGTTCCACTCAGAACCCAGGAGAAAAGTAGGGGTGTACCAGTTAACTGAATTGCATCTTCCTCAACCTTGTTTTAATAATGCAGGATGAGATATATTAGAGCATCACTGTAAAAACCGAATAATTCATTTATTCATTAATCACTATGGTTCAACCATTCTATGTGTCGATTGCAATCCTGCAGGACGTCAATCGTGAGCCCAATTAACTCATTGGTAATGTCTCTGCCTGCAGCGCTCAGTGATGCAGGTTCGGATGTCAAAGGGGATACCAATTCCTTCGACCCTGTAGATACGCCTTGTTGACGAGTGTCAGTAAGCACAAAACCAAGGTACAATGCTTCCTACTGATTACCTCCAACCATCTAACAACAATTCAGAGTTCACCGTGGTGGTGGTGAGCCACCTAGAAATGGTGGCCACATTGTAAACTTGACTGAAAGAATTCAGTCTACACCAAACGAAGGACTAGACACGCATGACATTAGTTACTACCTAGTGTCCAATCAATGAAACTGTAAATTTCGTTAGTAGTATATCCACATTCACTCAAGTTTTATCGCGTTGAGTTAGGTATCCTTTTTACTCCCTAATTAATATATGTTTTGTTTTTATTCCTTTGAAAGTTCTCATTGTTGAGATTTGCTTTTACATTTGCTGCTTTCGTCATCAACGTATTTGGGATTGTCTTGTCTATCTCTGTATCTGCCTTATCCAGCATTATTTTCTTTTCTTCTTTGTTAGATTCATCCTTACAAACTAGCTGAACAGGTTACACTATATGAATGGGAATTATATCGTCGTATACCATTTTGGGAAGTTGAAAGTCGTGAACGTACTGGAAATGCTGTGCCTAATCTGAATAAATCAAAGTCATTTTCAAATCGTGTAAGTACTTCATTTTGTGCTATTCACTATCATCATAATAAACTACTGTATAATTTATTCTCAATATTTTACAGCAAAGATTACATATTCTTTCCATGGATGATGTGTTTCATCATTTTCCTACATTGTTTAAAATTCAGGGGTATTTAGTGTACAAATTATGAAGAACTAAAACGCAGTATAATTTGGGCAAATCATGTACAATAGTTGTCTTTAAAGCATCAAATAGTTGTTCAGTTTTAATCAGTTTTCAAAGGTTTTATGTACCTTTTGGTGCCGAAGAAGGTCACCATGTAAATTCTGGATAGATACTCTCTTTTTAAACTAAATTTATTTGCAAATCTGTTGTAGAAGTAATTTTTGTATTCAAAAAAACTTAAGTCCTACTTATTTAGCGGGTAAATGCGACTCCTCGTCACCTGAACAGTTCTTATGTAGTGAAGTGTTCTGATTTCATTTTTATGTAGATAAAAAACTTCATTCTATCATTTTTGCTTCATCAATTAGTATTGAATCGATTTTCTTGATCGAAATGGGCTAAATATTTGCTAGTTCTTAAAATCGGCGTAAATTCTGTTGATTATATATGGTGTACACTTTTGTTTATTATGAGATTTATAGTTTGGTGTTGTGGTGTATTTAGAGAGAGGGGTTAGATGAGTATGGCAATAATATTTATCTTGTGGAAGCCCGGCACTATATCTTACCTAATGTAGACGCAATAGTGAAGACTATTCATAACCTGTAACTAATAGTTGGTAAACGCTGAAGAGTTTCGGTAGTTACATCCGAACTGATGGATGCAAAATACATAGCCTCTCCTGAGGAAGTCCTACTCACTGCCTTCACGTGGCGGAGGTGCTTTTCACCAAAGTGAGAGGGCGAAAGCGGATGCCCGGCGCTCTTCACCGGGTTGACTGTCCATTGGATGACAGTCTAGGGGAGATGGCTAAACCCTGATTCCAAACCTCCAACGACTGGCGTATGAAGCTCACTGGAGCTCACCGGCAGACGTATGGACAAAGGGCTTGTTGGATGTCCTGGATGTCTGTCCCCACTCAAAAAGGCGTATGAACCGAACTCCGGTCACCGGCTGCCAATGGATAGTGGACTCCCTACTCCACTCCTACTGCCTTGTAGGTCACACTTGGTTGTGTAAAGGCTAGAGCTGCACTCTCAAACAAAAGGCCGAGCGATTCTGGGGACATCACTCGTATCAAATTCCCATGAAACTTCAGGAACTCTCTTACAAACGACAGCGATGATTCGAGATGTTCATGAAGCCGGCTCATCCTCCCGTAGGAGATGGCCGAAGTAAAGTAAAAAGTAAAAAAGTATGCAAGAAGACCAACCTGAGTGGGCTTCGAAAATAATGAGTAGGGGAGGCTGCTCAAACGTACGCTGACTAAAAGTCTTCGCAAAGACTGCGAGTTGTGGCTTTTAATGAAAGCAAGAAAATTGAAACAACATTAGCCGTATCAGTGGGTGAAACAGTGTTAAAATGTCTATGGCCGGTAAAATAATCTCCGTAAGGAGTGGAATTTCAATGAATTACCAGGAAAGAGGACTGGAACATCAGATGGAACACTTTAAGGAGAATTTCAATTGACCAGTAACTTCACTACACTTTCACATTTCAATTTCTGCTTGAATGGGATGCAGACATCAGTCTTCTATCTGTGTTACCTAGGTTGCGAAAACTGTCTCTAACCTGGAACGAGGCGATTCAGTTGGACTTACTGGTATGACTATCTAGATATTCTTAAGGATGGTGGTGACAAGTTGTTAACTTGGTTAGTTGATTTATTGGCTAGCTTATAGAAACTCGAAATAGTTTCGTCGGATTGATGTAGATCATTGACAATCCCAGTTTGTGAGAGGGAACAAAATCTCTTGTAATAATCATAAGGAAATCAACCTGACTGTTATATTATCTGACATACTAGGTCACGTAATTCTTTAAAGACTAGGTGACCTCGTCAAGATATAAACACGAGACAACCAGATAGGCTTCACATCTGATGGTGAAGTCTTCACACTTAGGCATACATCGTTAGTGTGTTGTCCAAACCTCGCTATATTTCTTGCCATGAAGGTGAAATTCGATTCCATCATTGGAGCTGTGCTGTAGCAATATTTGAGTGTGAAAGAAATGGGAAAAACCTACAAAGTGCTAATCAATTTCATACTATCGCTTATGTGCCTGTGGAGATTTATCGTTTTAAGTGTGTTCTTCAGAAATCCCCGCTGTGACCACTTATGTTTAATTTCATATCTCAGTGATTGATTCGTTACCTGAGTACACTTGTTGATCTAGAGTATGCAGATGATATATTCCTCCTAGGTGAATACATAGACAAAATACAGAGTCTTTTAAATACATGGAGCGAAAATTCTAGTATGCACTACATGTCATTTATCCTGTCACTTGTAAGATATTTCAAGACCGGCCTGTGCCAACTCCTAGTTTCAGGTTGGGAAGTGAATTTGTATTATTATTATTGTTCCCTTGGGTTCCTAGTGGAACATAGGGCTTCAACTGCACGCCTCCACTTTTTTCTGTCTTCTGCTGTACTTTTCACCTGCGTCCATGTTAATCCATACTGTTTCAGCTCCTCTTCACACGATCTCCTCCATGTCACCCTTGGACGTCCCACTCGCCGCTTCCATTTTGGGTCCCACTCGAGCTATGGCCTGACGCGCGATTTCACCCAGGGGCCTCCTCAACGAGTGTCCAATCCATCTTCACTTTCTCCTGCATATTTGCTGGGAGATTGGTTCTTGTTTTGTTTGTTCCCATAGTTTCTTGTTGGTGATTCTTTCCGGCCATCCGATCTTCAGTATAGAACGAAGACAGTTGTTGATAAAGGTCTGCAACCTGTTGGAAATATTCTTTGTGACCCGCCAAGTTTCTGATCCGTATAGGAGAACTAACTTGACGTTTGTATTGAAAATCCGAATTTTGTTGTTGATGCAGGCTGAGTGACGAAGATTTCCAGATTGGTTTCAGATTGATGAATGCGTTTCTCGCCTTTATCACTTCATATATTTTGCGGAATTGTCTCAACTCTAATGAGATGATTGCTGACGTAATCTTCCACAATGGATATGGCTGACTATCACTAATTTCATTTAGAATCTTTATTTTCAAGGATTTATGTGGTGATTTTTCAATATAAGCTTATGTATATAATATGTCAACAAACTATTATACTTTAGCTGTGTTATTGTTATTATTATTCCTATTCATGTAGTAGTGAGAATCACATGTTTGTCATGCGATGTATTAAACCAAAGTTTATATCACGTGTGTGTGGTGTTAATTCAAAGTCTAACTTGAATCATAAATATTTTTTTTGTTTTGTTTTAAAGATGTACTGGATATTTAGGTTTACATATCCAGGTACTTCTTCACTATTGATTTCTAAGTAGTTTTCAATAGTTATTGTAACAGCATTTGCTTTATAGATAATTGGATGCTGTTGTTTAGTTTTAGTTATGTGTTGTAGCCTTACATGCAATATTTCATATCTATTTGTTAATTGCTTAGTGTCTTGATTACATGTCAGTGATACATCATTTGTTGTCTGTTGAATAAACAAAAGAGCAAACCTAATACACACACACACACCTTACTATTGAGTATCTATACATCTGATTCACATTAACTTTTCATTGGGATTCGGTAATATTACCTAGACCAGTGATATGAGTACAGTTGACGAAATACTAATAAATGCTAAACACTAATGCAGCAATTTAATTCTGCCATAGCTCAAGTATTAGCCATAATATTTTGCCCTACGGCTGACACTAATCAATGTCATTTCACTCACTGCAATTATTTAACCTTCTATAAAACACAAATAAGTATAATAATAGTAATAGCTTTATTCTGGACAGTATTTATATAATGTGGTGTGCACAGTGGTTAGGACTCTCGCCGACCGTACACATGGTCCGGGGTTCGATCACCCGCCGGCGCACACCTGGTATCTATGGTGGCCTGCAAATTTGGGCTATCGATATCGCATGCTGAAAATTCCATACCTGTACCAAAAATACGGTGTGGAATTAGCTGAATCAAAAAAAATTTTCAGCGGAGTTTATTGCATGGTATTTTCCCTTCTTACAATATCTTTAAGTAAAATATTGATTGACATTATATTCTGTGACACAATGATCTCTTAGCTGAAGCACAAACCATTCCATTATGATATTTCTGCTTTGTCTCCTTCAAGAAATCCATGATATCTAGTTGAAAGTCAATTATAAGAAGTTCAGAAGTACATTTTGAGACCCAATGACATAACTCAGGAACAGTTATCTTGTGTATTCGAACACACTGCCACACGCACAATCAGGCTTTTTCTCAATTTTAGTAGGAGCTTGTGAATCAGAAGCTTGTAGACATTTTTTGAATACACACAAGAGTAGATAATACCATTGGAGGTCATATTTTAATCGATTAAAACAAAGTGAACGAGTGAAAATATATGCAATAGAGAGAGATGGAAGTTTTTGGTAGCCCAAGTTTTAAGCAGACCACCATCCGAGTGGTAGTGAACAAACCATAAATATATTTTGAAAATGACCAGCAAGCTGATATAATGAATAAATTTGATTACCAGCTAACATCAGTTAGAGAACAATTAGAAAACCAGGACAGGCTGTACACAGGAGTTCTAGTGAGAAGTCGTAACCGGCAGGGTTCATCAAGTCAGTTAAGAGAAGTTAGTCACCTGTGACATTGACTAGCGTCTGCGTTATATATATCGCCTTGTAGCCTGTAGGTCCTGGGTTCGAACCTAGGTAGGTGGGTATATACTACTGAAGAGCTTCAGACATGGACGAAACAGCTATATATATATATAATGAAACTAGTCACCCGTTAAGAAAGTAAACCACTGAATACTAATTCAATACAGATGAACCAAGTCATCTGTAAGAAATTAGGGAATTGGATTTGTCTTTATTTATTGTGAAATTCCATTTGTATTCCCTTGATTAATAATTTATTTCACCTTAACTTTTTTTTGCTCTGTGTATTTCAGTTTCGTAATTGGTTAGTATATTCTGTACTAAGTGAATCACATCCAGATGATCGAATTTGTGGAATTCAACGTGTTATTGATCTAATGTTAATTATGGAAAATATGAATAATTTACAAGGTAGTCAAGAGGCTAAATCTGCATTAATTAGTGCAGCTGTATATAGATTACGAAAATCATTTCAAGTAAGCAAGCTAACGTTTTATACTCTTTGTACTTGTTGTCGCTTTATTATTTTTTCTTCTACATTTTTATCTTTGGGTTTAATTTTTTTGTTTTACTAATTGTGTATCATCATTATCGGCCTAACTATGCATTTGCTACTTGGGTTATGATGATAACCCTTGAAATAATAATGATAATAATAATAATTTGCTTTATTCCAAAACAGTACTTGTGATACAGAATGGAATTCTCAGCATTTTTACTACAGTATTGCATCCAGTTTGTACATTGTCAATAAATAGAATTCTACATAGATTGAGGAAACCACAGTTCGTTATTACAACAATACATTGGCATGTTCAGTAGCAAAGGTAAAGCTGAAACAGTGTTTGAAGGTGTTAGAAAAGTGGGAGCTGTCTTATTAACTGGCTTAAGCGAAAGAAAGAGACAAAGCAGCACATAACGGAAAAAGAAGAGAGAGAAAAGAAACAGAAAGAAAGGAAATGTAGAACCTATTGATGAAGTGGGTTGGAAAGATGAGATCCAGTTGTGCTAATGACTATCTAATGAATTATAGGTGTCACGCCTAATGCTTTCTTTATCACACAGAACGCGAGCTAAGTAGGGTATGGTTGAGTTTTTGTACTTGCTGGTGCGAGCATATAGTTTTCTATATTGGCTTCTGGTTTTACCTGATGAGATGCAAGGGGAGAGTTGTGAGTGAAGAGGGTGGTGTGAGTTAGATAAAATGGACTTGGCCCATTTTTCACATGAGTCCATGTGCCTGTCAACCAAAATATTAACAAGCTGGTTAAGTGGCACGTTGCTTACCCTGCTGACAACATTTAACATCCTGCGTAATATGTTATAGTCTTTCTTCAGTAGCCCAGGAAAAACTAAGGGGGAACAATAGAGAATAATAGGCAGGATGCGAGAATTAACGAATTGTAGGAGTAGGGGTTGGGTAATACCAGAATGTTTTAACTTCTTAATGTAGAAGGCAAGACGGAATATTTTCTTAGAAATTGCTAAGATATGAGACGACCAGGAGAGATCAGCAGATAGAATGACACCTAGGTATTTAATTTCCGATTTAGTTTCTATTTCAGTGCCGTCTATTTTGCATACCTCGTGAGAGCCAAACAGTTTGTTTAGGTCGGATTTATGCCTAAAGGTGAAATTGACTGTTTGGCATTTGGAAGGGTTTAGAGTAAGACCATTTTCCTTGGACCACTGGTTGATTTCTGACAGAAAGCCATTAAGTTTAGAGCAGTCGCTTTGACATTTGATAGGCAAAGATACAGACAGATCATCAGCGTATTTGACAAAATTAATGTCATTTGAAGATGGTAAGTCATGTAGAAAGAAGGAAAAGAGAAGTGGGGAGAGTACAGCGCCTTGGGGGACTCCGGCTTCAGTGAGTGCAGCAGAGGATGATTTACCTTTGTATACGGTGTACTGCTTTCTGTTAGAGAAGTAGGAATGCAACCAGTTAGTGACCCAGGACTCAGTTTTCGTCAAAGAGAGCTTATTTAGAAGGAGACATCTAGGAACAGAGTCGAAAGCAGAAGTGATGATGATAATAATAATAATACTTGTTGTTTTTATTGATAAACTTTATTCTTAGACAGAACTACATAATTTGCATAATACAGGTGCGTATTTAATACAATCAGTCAGTCAGTTGTTTGTTTGTTTGTTTTTTTCCGCGCTAAATAGATGAACTTAGTAATTATGACGGTGATTCTATGCTGGGTTGGTTCATTGATGGTAGTGTAACTGACTAATTATCGTTTACATTTTTTAATGTCTGGATGTTAAATCACCTTGATATTTTGTATTTTTACGCTTATTATGATGTCTGATAGAGTTTAACGTACTCACATGACTAATTATATTAGATATAAGCTACAATACTATATATATAGTGATCGTAATGTGTGTTTCACTTCTGTTGTCTGTCGTATTGTTTATTTACTTATTCATTTATTTACTTGTTTATTCTTCTTCATTATTTCTCTGTTTTCATTTTACTGGACTGAATTAATTGATTTCTCTCAGTAGATATGAACATTTGTTCAGTGAATGCATTGATATTGATTTGTTGTGTTTCATTTCAGCGTTATTTCATTGAGTCATGAAGAAAATAAAAGACAGATTCAGCGAAGAAAATTTTCTTTATCGACGAAATCATCTTCAGAGGCTGTACAGTCGTATTTATACTTACAAAAATATATAGTGGTCTATTATTGAGTAATAGGGCGTGACATAATTGATATAATTACTCAGAAGTGGCTTTAGAAGTGAAAATTAGAAGTTGGAAATTACGTGGTGGTACTCAACGGCACAAAGATAGAAATTTGATAAGGTTAAAATTGCTATTGAGTGAGAATAAAGCTATTTGAGTGTCAATTTAACAAGTGTGAAGAGGGTGTGAAAATATACAAAAGGAGCATATGAGAGCTACGTATCAATTTCTACAGCCGACAAATGGTCAACGGATGTGTGAAGGATAAACTGCCGCTTTGGGCCACCTCAATGTGTGTTTATAAATTCACTTGCTCGTGTGGAGCTAGTTGTATTGGCCGCACAAAGCGCACGCTCTCCAAACGCATCTCTGAACATTATCCGGCATGGTTAGCAAAGGGACAATGTAAGACAATTACTAGCTCAATTCTCGAACATTTGGTGAACTCAGGCCACGTAGCTCCACCAGAATCGTCTTTCAAGATCATCTACAAAGTGAAGCCAAATGGTACAAAGGGCGTCAGGTTTCGGCTTTTGTGTATGGCGGAGGCTCTGGCAATTCATCAATACAACCCTGAACTCTGTATACAGAAAAAGTTTGTCCAGTCTCTTATTCTACCTTGGTCTTAACCCCTTCACTAGTCGTTCCTTGTAAATAAAATATATTCTGATTTTTTCTTTTCATTCTAATTTCACTTTTAGTTTGCTTTTGCCTTAATAATTAATTCACTATTATCACTCTCATATGCTCCTTTTGAATATATTTTCACACCCTCTTCACACTTGTTAAATTGACACTCAAATAGCTTTATTCTCACTCAATAGCAATTTTAACCTTATCAAATTTCTATCTTTGTGCCGTTGAGTACCACCACGTAATTTCCAACTTCTAATTTTCACTTCTAAAGCCACTTCTGAGTAATTATATCAATTATGTCACGCCCTATTACTCAATAATAGACCACTATATATTTTTGTAAGTATAAATACGACTGTACAGCCTCTGAAGATGATTTCGTCGATAAAGAAAATTTTCTTCGCTGAATCTGTCTTTTATTTTCTTCAGCGTTATTTCTTTAATCATACCTAAGGATTGTTTAAGCCCATTTACCCGAAATGGATATTTCATTTACTTCAGGTTGAGAGCTACACTTATGGTGTGTGTCTGTGTGTGTGTCCGTGTGAGTTGATGGCTCTACTCAGTTAAGCTGGCTGAAGTAAATGGAGCAAGATTCAAACCTGTAACCTATCGGCTGAAAACTGAGTGCTCAAGCCAATGAGGGAACATCTCCATGCCTAGTGATAGATAGAATTCAAGATAATAAAGGGTTCATGTATTGAAAACACATCCTAGTGTTGTTGTTGTTGTTGTTTTCATAGTCATGATAGTGGAACTTCGAATTCAGTATGTTCAAACCCCCTAAGGCTGTCTGTATTCATCACTAGATTATTGTATCAGCTTTGATATATTGCGAGTAACTCATCTTTTTGTACTATAAATAAACGAGTTTTGGGTACGTTAAATTACATATGATTTAAACTTTTTATGTATTCTTCCATTTCAACGGTTTGTTGCCTATTTTCTTTGTTCCAAGATTTTTCTCGTAATTAAGTGTTGTTGTTTCAACGCAATATATTCCACTATTTCATTGTCTTCATTGTAATATCATTTTTTCACTGAATCAAAATTTGTATTTGTGCATTTATCTACTACACATTGGAAATAACAGTGTCATTTATCGTCATCATTCAAGTATTTTCTCCGCATAACTTTGGTAGCGTCGGTGGCACAGCGGTTAGGACGCCCGCCGACCATGCACATGGTCCGGGGTTCGATCCCCGGCCGGCGCACTCCTTTACTTCGATAAGCCAGTAATAAAAGCTGGTAAGGAGGAAAGGTTGGACATGAAGGCTAGCAACGCCATCCTGTAAAAATAAAAACTGCTACAGAAACTTCAAGCCTCTAGCTTGAAGCCCTATGTTCCACTGGGAACGTGAAGGAATAAATAAAAAGCCATGTATCAGGTTTATTTTAATAAAAGATACTCTGGATTTATTGCATTTAGTTTGTGTAGAGAGTTTTGAAACTGTTCTCCCCTTATGTTCAAATAAACTAGCCAGTGTATAGATAAGAATTTTAAGATATGAAAAGGCCAGTTGTCTTTGGTTATAGGTGTATGTGTTCTATCTCCTGTATTAGGTAGTATAATAGGGTGAGTAATATTGAAGTTAGACGTAGAGTGTTAGATAAGGAGGGAAAGTTAATCGATGAGGTTGTGAAGCTGCATCGATTGAGATGGCTAAGACGCATGTGTGTTATGCACGCCTAGTCATCGCCTTCCGCAACAAGCCATGTAAGCTGACATACGGTTGAGTTGGAAAATAGTCAAGAGTGGTCAAACTAAAACCTGAAATCAGTCCATGAAATTTTAGACGATTGGCTTGAACCATGTAGGGAGATGTAGGCTTACTTCCTGGGATCTTCAGGATGCTAAGAACCAATGTCTAGAAACTCTTGGTGATATAGCTCAAAGTTGTTTTCAATAACCCAGATTCATTCACTCTTTGTAATCTGCCATGTCCATCACACCCTATTGTTCTTCCATTGTTACTATTCTTTTTCCCTCACATTCTGCTTATTATTGTTCTTTTAAACCGCTTTTCTCTCTCTCTTTTGTCTTCGTCTGTGTGTTACATGAAGTGTGGCAACTCGAACTGCTGCACTTGTGTGCAAAGTTCTATGCCGAAACCAGTCAGTCAATCATTCAGATAAGAATTTCATGGTGATATTCAAAGAATATTAACATTTCGTTTCTTTCTGCTTTATCAGGCAGTTTTCGCTTACCGTTTTTTCTCTCTGTAGGCTACTTTGATGGTTGAAGTAAATTATCTGTAGTTATCTAGCTTTTTTTCTCAGTTCGTGTGTCGTTTTACGTAAAACATATAATATGTTTATAAAATTATTTCGTTGTCTGACGTAAGTTTCAGTTCCCTGAGTGGACCACCCTAGATTTTCCAGTCACCTTTTATTTTTTCACCCTAGTATTATTCTGACTTACGCATGACTGGCAAAGTTTAAATCTGATAATGTAGAAAAGAGGATGGCTTATAAAAGTAATTTTATCAATGATATTTACCGACTATGTGCTTAAACTAATCTAACAAAAGTAGTTTTAAATGCCTTAAATAATTCTCGGTTTAAAATCCATTTACATTCTCACAGTGTCTGCTATGATTATTAGTATCGTTGGGGACGATAACCATATTCTCGTTTCTAATTAGATTTCATCACAAGCTGACCTCAGTGCGTCGGTGGCACAGCGGTTAGGACGCTCGTCGACTATGCACATGGTCCGGGGTTCGATCCCCGGCCGACGCACTCCTTTACCTCGCTAAGCCAGTAATTACAATGGTAAAGAGGGAAGGTTGGGCATGAGGCCAGCAACTCCATCCTGTAAAAATATTCATCACTGCTACAGAAACTTCAAGCCACTAGCTTGAAGCCCTATGTTCCACTGGGAACGTGAAGGAATAAAAAAACAAGCCGACCTCTCTTAGATGGCTGTTGCAAATCCAGGTTTTGCTTGCCGGTAGGTTCATGGATGCGTATCCCTGTCCAGTACTCCCTGGATTTTTCAAAAGTTCTCCAAAACATTGTCAGTTCGTAATGAAATGTAACTCAAAAATTAGTTAAGTCCCTACAGAACAACCGTGGGAAATCTTTATTTCTGTGGCATTGAGTAATTTATGAATCATAGTAATTGTGAAAAGCGACGCTTATTAACCACTATAAGAGTTTGCAAATTAGATAATGAACTCTATTGGTACTGTATTACCTGAATACCTTGAACAAAGTTCGATCTCATGGAATAAAGATGTACAAGTTATTATATGATGTTATTTTTCATTCGTTTATTGTGTATAATTTGTTTTATAAGTGTAGAGTTAACAAATTTTACGTTTCTAGCGTTATTTACAATGAAAAGTTTGCAGGGTATTGTTAATGCTCACCTTGTACTGTGATGCAGAATTGTTCTATAGTTTTATTTTCATGACTAAATTTTTGTTTGTTATATCCAGAATAGAAGTAGAGTACTCGTTAATGACGCTGGAGGTCCAGGTCGGCGCACTCCTGAACCTCACCTATCTGGTAGTAATTTTTTTTCTAATCGCTAATCGAACCTCGATAGCACACTGAAACCCCGCTTAGATTACTAGCCGATAGTAAACTCGAAAAAGAGTTAAGCTTGGTGGGTGTTAGGCTGACAACCCTACCTCGTAAAAACAACAACACCGCTACTGAAACTTCGGAAGGCTTAAAGCCCTATACTTCATTATGAATGCAAAGGAATAAAAAAAGGCCGGAACAGATCTTTCTTGTACCAGGATATGAGTCATTAATTAATGATACTGCTCATTCACCTGGGCTCAAGTAGGTAGAGTGAGATTGGAACCCCGGTGAGCCGATGAGCCTTATCTCCACATGGCTAAATCAAATAGCAGTTTAGTATTGAAAACACTTACTTCATGTAAACTGACAATGTATCGTGTAAATGATATTGCTACTTCAAAATAAGGGTTTATGTTTATATTTTCGGTTAGGTGTTTTAATAATAATTAGTCAACTGGATAAGTATAGTTTCCATCCAGGTTTCTTGTCCATTGATACTCCATTTTGTTAAGTATATATTCAACATTAGAAAATGAGATATTCCCTGAAATATTCTATCCTGTATTAAAACAGGCAATAAAGGTTAATAAAGCAGAATTTAATGAATTCATCAAATTTCGGTAGAACTCGTCAGCTGAATACTCTACATACACGGATATATACTTTTGAAATTACATTGGGAGATATAGGACTGATAAGTAAATAAATAAACTACATTGAGTTGGTCATGCAGAAAAACAGGTGCGAATGTTTTTCCAGGTCATGTTCAATTAGATAAGGGGAGAGAGAGTATGGGAGATCAAAATTAAGATAAATTGCATTACGCTTCAATTACATCACTTAGATAAACAATAAGACATTAGAGAATTTAACAAGAATTGCAACCAGAGGGATGTCAATAGTAATAGTTATAATAACAATAATAATAATAATAGTGTTGAAGTGAGTTAAGATAATGCTACTGATAAAGGATAGTTTTAAACGAATCAAGAATAATAATAATGAGAATAATAATAGTAATAATAATAATAACAATAAGAGGTAGAATTATAAGTAAAACGTATTACCATGGTAGATTCAGAGTCACGACCATCTCCTTTTGTACACGGAGACCTGGTTTGTAAACTCGAATTGCACAAGCCTCTGCAATTGCAAGCATCTTCTTGTTTCTTTGTCTGCTGACAATGGTGAATGACTTGACTGCGTCGATATCATGCCCGTAATCCACAAGATGCTTTGTTATTGAGGATTTTGGTACTTTGAACTCAGCTGTTTTCAACCATTTTGGCAAATGCTCCATCATGCTAGTAGACAATCTCCTTTCCGTACGACCTATGTATTTGCTTCCACAAACACACTCAAATTGATATACGCAGTTTGAAGTGTCGAAGATTGGCGACTGGTCTTTCCCAGATCGTTGAAGCACTCGCTTAGTGGTGTTAAGGAAAACAAGTTTTGCAGCATAATAAGTTCTCTTGATGGCTTTGTCGAGTCTTCGTTTGACTACTTCCTGTACATCATCTCCTTTGAACGGCAAGCTGATATAGACAGGTTTCTTGGGAACTGTTTGGATTGTTTTGCATCGGTTGTTTTCTTTAGAGTACTTATTAATGAACTTCTCAGGATATCCGTTCTTAGATAAGATATCCTTCAGGGATTTTATTTCATACTCAACAGTACTGTCAGAACAAATTTTTCGTGCTCTATTGAACAGTGTTCTGACTAAGTTCTTTTTATACTGGATGGGAACAAAACTCTTAAAATGCATGTACTGTCCTGTCCAAGAGGACTTTCTAAATATAGATCTTTCGATTGTGCCATCATTCATTTTTGCCAGAAAAACGTCTAGGAATTTGAAAGTATCATTTTCCTCATGTTCTACTGTGAAATTGAGATTTGGATGGCATGAGTTGAATTTTATCAGCATGTCTTCGGCTTTTGATCTGCTTCCACAGGCAATAAAAATGTCGTCAACGAGTTCTACCGAAATTTGATGAATTCATTAAATCCTGCTTTATTAACCTTTATTGCTTGTTTTAAATTCGTATCGGGAAATAAATGTTTCCTATCCTGTATTACTTAGTATGTATGAACTTGTATGTTTTATACGGGATGTCAGTAATCAGTACGTTTGCATGTCAGATTATATATATATATATATATCACAGTATATAAAAAGTTCTGGTCGTCATAGTATTCTAGTTTTACAATATAATATTGAACCGTATAAGATAAATGTTTAATCTGATCAAATTTCAGCATAAAAGTGGATTTCGAATGAATTCGATCGATAAATTTAGTGTAAAATTTAGAACATGTATCTCTTGCTTATCACACTGGCTTTTAGTGTTATTTGATTGTGATTGTTTCATCACTTTGGCTAGGTGATTTAATCAGTCCTCACACTTTTATTTTAATACAGTATTTTTTTTTATTCCTTCACGTTCCCCAGTGGAACATAGGGCTTCAAGCTAGTGGCTTGAAGTTTCTGTAGCAGTGGTGATTATTTTTACAGGATGGGGTTGCTAGCCTCATACCCAACCTTTCCTACTATACCAGCTTTTATTTCTGGTTTAGCGAGGTAAAGGTGTGCGTCGGCCGGGGATCGAACCCCGGACCATGTGCATGGTCGGCGAGCGTCCTAACCGCTATGCCACCGATGCACACTTAATACAGTATGTTCGTTATTTTCTCTTCATCAATCATATGTGTGTCTATTCTTTTTAACCAGGCTATTCGACGAATGCGACATTATCGTGAAACAGTTGACCGCTTACGAAGAGAAGGTGTAATTAGTCCAAAATCTCAACGAACTTCATCATCACCATCCTCTACATCATCTTCATCTCTTCAAACAAATTCTGTAACAGATCATAATGTCTCAGGAAGTCATTCGAATAATATTAGCAACAATGTAAATAGTAACAATAGTAGTAATAATAGTGGAAATACTAGTGGTAGTAGTAGTAGTAATAATAATCCTTTTTCAAGTTTTGGTTTACCATTTTCAACACGTGCAAGTAAATCACATGAACGTCGTATACGTGTATTAGAAAAACAGCATGCATCAGGTGAATTGTGTCATCCATGTGTACCATTTATTGCTGCCGGTGTAATGACGCGTTTAATTCACTTGGATTTACGTCATCCAGATACAATTGTAAATAATGCTGGAAATGTTATGATTAATTGTTGGAAACATCGTCAATTAGCTGAAATTGTTGAACGGTATTTAGCCTTTCAACGTATTCCTTATACATTTAGTGTAGACGAGGAAATTAGAGTAAGTGAGAAATTTTTATGTTACTTTTTTTTAAAGGTTAATTTTGATTTTCATAATTTCTTCTGTTTAAACTTTGATAGAATTATTATTACTATTATTTCCTTTAATTCCTAGAGGAACATAGGGCTTCAGCCGCGCGTCTCTATTGCGTTCGGTTCTCTGCTAGAGTTTTCACCTGGCTCCAAGTCTGCCCACACGCTTTCATCTCCTCTTCACATGACCTCCTCCAAGTCACCCTTGGACGACCAACTCGCCGCTTCCCTTTCGGGTTCCACTCGAGCAATGGCTTGTCTAGTGATGTCACTTGATGGTTTCCTCAGAGTATGGCCAATCCATCTCCATTTCTTCCTGCCTATTTGTTTCACAATCGGTTCCTGGTTGGTTCGCTCACTGCCAGAGATCTCTGTTGCTGATCTTTTCTGGCTGGCCATCTGATCTTGAGTGGTATTGAGCGAAGACAACTGTTAATGAAGGTCTGTAGTTTGTTTGAGATGCTCTTTATGACGCGCCAAGTCTCTGATCCGTATAGTGAGTAGCACTGACTTCACATTGGAGTTGAAAATCCAGATCTTATTTTTCATGCTGAGTGCTGTTGACCTCCACACAGACTTGAGAGTAATGAAAGCTTGTTTTGCTTTCCCGATCCTCGCTTTGATATCCTCGTCAGTTCCGTCTGCCTGTAGTTGAAACGATGCTTCCCAGGTAGGTAGGTAAAGGAGGTTGTTTCTTTCAGGTTCCTCCCATTTATGCTGATTGTTGTCTGTTGTTGTTGTTGCTGTTGGTGGTGTTGCCCAGGAATCTTCATCACCTCTGTTTTCTCTATGTTCACCTGAAGTCCTATCTTTGATGCTTCTTCTGCCAACTTGTTGCTTTTCACTTGCATATCTTCCAGTTTGTGGGAAATCAGACATATATCATCGGCGAAGTCCAGATCCTCCAAGTTTTTTGTGTGGGTCCATCTTATGCCTGTTTCCTCGTGTGATAGAATACTAGGTAGTAATTAATGTCATGCTTCTAGTTCTCCGTTTGGTGTAGACTGAATTCTGTCAGTCAAAATTTGTAAGTCACCATCACAGTGCACTTTGAATTGATTTAGGATGGCTGGATACAGTCGTCAGGATGCCTTGAATCTAGGTTTCGTGTTTATTGGCACTCAAGATTACAGTTGCGCCTTGCTAGCAAGTGCGAAGAAGCACGAAACCTAGTTTCAAGGCTTCCTACCGACTACCTCCAATCATCCTAAATGTATTAAACTCGTCCACTGTTGTGAATGTTGTCTATAGTACATATTTTATTCAAGATCGGAGCAAAAGCTCCTCTTTTATATCAAAAAACAACAACTTCTTACCATATTCCTCTGATGCACTTCAATGGAATTACTTGAAGCGTGTACACCGATCTTCTGATATTAATATGTTTTTATTTTATTTAGTTCAAACTGTGCTTGTTTTAGAAATGAAATACAAATCGATAAGCTCTTAGTTAGTATTAACTAGAACTCATTGTCAGAAATCACATAAGATGTGAATATGAACTGAGTTTAACTTTATATTGACATAGTCGAATTTCAAAGTACGTTGTCATTCAGAAATACCTATTTGTAGGATAGTACATTGTAGTCTCTGTTGTATACGTATAAAATGATTAATAGGATTGAATGGGAGCATTTAGTTTTCAGATGGATTTGAATACTAAATAATTATGAGTCATGTGCACAGGATTCAACGATTCTTATGCTATAAGTATCGATCTAAATACTATTAAATCCATCACATAAATTTGGTTAGAATAACTCATCAGCTTGGCTTTCGATGGTCTTAAGTATGCTCGTGATCCTACTGTTGTCTGAGTGTTTAATTTCATTTGAGCTGACGAAAATGTATAGAATTTAGTAGAATGTAGTAGCAATAGATTGTGGAAGACCGATTCCTGTTGTTCTCTGGAAGGAAGTGAAGGTGGATGGGTGGTGGTCATGAAAGCCTTGTGTGTTTATGGAAGTGTATGCGCAGCTATTACTTCCTAGCTGTCCACACCATAGAAGTTGGTTTCTTCTTGGTGTTCCTGAAACATAAGGAGCATTAGTATTGCGTGACTGCAGAGCCCAAGGAAGTTCACTACAGACTGCCGGAAAGTAAGTCGGGATGTACAATCTTTGGGGTCGACCTTTCCTAACCCTCCCGCCCAGTCTTCAAAACGAAGAGGTAACATACCTGCCCTGCTAGTAATCTGAAGAAAACACCTTACTGCTGTCACGTCCCTGTTTACTAGCAGTAATGCTTTGCCTACAGACCCCCCAACACAGTGCACACGACTTACACTACGATGGTAACTGCTTTTAGTTTAACCGCTATCCGGACGGTTTCTTTAAAACCGGTCTCAAGAATTGGTTAACTAAGGTTTTACTCAAAATACAACTATATGTTATCCTGGGTGGTAATAAATGCAAAATATAAGGCTTTAATGATAGTTGTTTTACTCGTAAAATGGATAGTAATTTGCTCTTCTGTTCAGCACATTTTACAACAAAGGGATGTTTCATAGAGTTCAGTTGTGTGTTGTCACCATTCAGATATTCATGAAATTAATTAAGACTTTATGTTCTAACTTTTTCAGGGAGTTATTATTTATTATTATTATTTTTTCCTTTACGTTCCCCAGTGGAACATAGGGCTTCAAGCTAGTGGCTTGAAGTTTCTGTAGCAGTGTTTTTTTACAGGATGGGGTTGCTAGCCTCATGCCTGACCTTTCCTCTTCACCAGCATTATTTCTGGCCTCGCGAGGTAAAGGAGTGCGTTTGTGGCCGGGGATCGAACCCCGGACCATGTGCATGGTCGGCGAGCATCCTAACCACTATACCACCGACGCACATTATTTATTATAGTTTCTGTAAAAGACTCATTTTATGCCTTCTTTGTCATTATATGTAACTCAGTCGTCTAGCATCTCGAAAGTGGTTTCAGCTCGTGGTTTTCATAATCCTAGTTTGGCAAATGTTAAGAAATGCAAATTTCCTAAACAGTAATTGCCACCTATCATATACTAATGATCTGTTAGCACTGACTGAGTTCCAGCATAGAATTTTGCACAGAAGTACACGAGTTTGAGTTGCCATACTCCATGTAGCACACAAAGGAAGGCAAAAGAAAGAGAAAAGAGGTTCAAGTGAACTATAACAACCCGAGATGTGCATAAGAAAGAATGGTAACTTGGAAAAGCATGAGGGTTTAGTTGATATGGGAGATCACAAAGAGTAAATGCATCTGGGCCACTTAGAACGATTTCGAACCGTATCACCAACAGCTTCTAGCCATGAGTTCTTCAGCTTCTTGAGGACCCCAACTAGTAGGCAGTCCACATCTCTATATACATGGCTCAATGACTTCATGGACTGATTCCAGGTTTTGGTTTGACCACCCTTAACTTCTTCCCAACCTGATCTTATATCATCCAACATTGCCAGTTGAAGAAGGCAGTAGCTAGGGATGCATAACACGTGTCCTAGTCATCTTTATAGCTGTAGCTTCACAACCTCGTGGATTGACTCACCCTCCTTGCGTAACACTTTGTGCCTAACCTCGATAGTACCCAACTCTTTACAAACGATGTTATTACCGTGAAGTGAAGATGTTGACGTTAACTCTGACTAAAATGATTTTTGAAAATAGATTTATTATCTATGTTGTTTTTTGTTTTGTTTTCTAATACACTATCCTTCATTTTCTGTATTACTGACAGGAATTTTTAGAACATGTTGATCCATTAGAAATGGCTGGTGTTTCATGTGAAGCAGAATTTGAGCGTAAAATGTATCAGCTATCTGAATCTTATGAGCCAAGAGAATCTGAACCGTTGAATGAACCAATTATACCTGAGGTATTTATTTGTTCATGTATTTTTCCACTTTTACTAGATGTCTAGTTGTTAAATTATTATATTTATTAATATTTCATTCAGCTTGTGTCACACTTCAACAATTTTATTAAAACCTACTGCTTAATCATTGTGAAATATAACCACAAGAGGTAGATATGACTGATTGACTGACTGATGGTTTCAACATAGAACTTTGCAAAGATGTGCAGCAGTTCGAGTTGCCACACTCCATGTAGCACACAAAACAAGAGAAGAGAGTAAAGAGAGATAATAAACAGAAAAATGAGGCGAAAAGAATAGCAATATGGAGGGACATTGGATTTTAGTTGGATATGATATATCACAGAGACTGAATGCATTCGCTCCAATGAGAACTATTTTGAGTCATATCACCGACTTTCCCCAACCACTGGTTGTTACCATCCCGAGGAACTCAACCGGGGAGTTTAAACCTCCGTATGTGGCTTAAACTAGGTATGAGAAAAGTTAAAAGTTTTCGCTATGTATATCTTCATCCCATGACTCATGTTAGTCAGTTATGGTGAATGATATTGAGGTAGACGTATATTACATACATGTAAAGTGTTAATTTTTGTCAGTTAATTGTCAGTGACAATTAGTAAGCCTTCACTGTTTGTTGTTTGAACTGAGTTCTCGGTACTGGTTTTTGATGTTCCTGGCTATGAGGTACACTTATTTCGTGAGGGATAATGAAGAATCCCTCCCCCCTCAGGTTGACTAGGGTGAAGTAGGTGGGGCAGGATTTGAATCCGGGACCTACTAACCGGAAGTCGAGTGCTTAAGCCAATGCACCCCAAGTCTCCCACATTCAAGTATTGGTTTGTAGGGATTTGATGGATTGGTTACAGGATTTCATCATGAGCTGACATTGGTTAGAGAACCATTGGAAAACCTGGGAGTACTGGACAGCTGTTTCGTCCTAGTTTGGGACTCTTCATCAGTACGCACCCACACCCAGTGTTCGAACCAAGGACCTTCTGGTTACAAGGAGAGCTCGTAGACCATTAAGCCACTTAGAGCAGGTCCAATGGCCAGTCCATGAATTCCAATTTCTGCCAATTCACGATATGGCGCGACCACTAGCCAATGTCTTCGGCGAGTATTTGTCCTCACACCCGACCTGCTGCACCCTACTGGTCACGACTTCCCACTAGAACCCCAGGTAACTACCTACCTGAATAGGGCCAGTCACCAGTGAGCATCTCATCGATATTCAAGTACTGGTTTTTAGGGATTTGATTGATTGGTTACAGGATCTCATCATGAGCTGATATTGGTATTCTGAGCTATTACAGAGGTGAAATTAATTAGCTTTTACGCAACTGTATTACTGGAAAGATTAGTTAATTGTTTTTTCCATTCCACTTGTTTTAATACTGTAGTTTCTAAGCTTTTTCGACTTGTTGTTCATTACTTATCGTAACTTTATTATTCCTCTATGCAACAACTGACTTCGAGAAAATATATCAGTGCTCAAAGTTGTGACTAACAATAATTCATTTTTAAATTTTTATCATAATTAGCCATTCCTATCAATTCCAATATTCACTTTTAGTGAAATCTTTGAAATATTTCATTTCGATAGTCTTAATTAGGCTGTCACGTGTGTGTGTGATTACTATCCAGCTTAATGATTCGTTGTTATTTACGTAGTTTAAAGAATGTAAAAATGTAACTGTAACTAGGTTGGACACACGCTGAGGAGACCGATGAGTGAGTGACATCACACACTAGGCCTTAAAATGGAATTCGAGTGGGAAACGACGAGTTGGACGTCCGAGAGGAGTGACATAGAGGAGATCGTACGAGAAGGAGATGAGAGCTTATAAACAATCGTGGAGCAAGCTTAAGAAGACTTCGGAAAACAAGATAAAATGAAGGTGTGCTATTGAAGCCTTATGTTCCATTCGGAACTCAGGGAACAATAACAGTATAAAGTACAGTATTTATTATCATATTTCTAGTAAAGTGAAAACTATCCGCATTCCTGTATTCTAAGAATTATTAAAAGTTAAATATTTAACCGAATTATATTCCTAACATGAATAATCTTCATCTGTGTTTTAAAAATAATATCTAAGTTTAATGTGGTATAAGATAATTCATAATCTACCTTGATTGGTCACTTGAAAGTGACCGCTGTTATGCTGTCTAGTCTTGAGTGCTGACTGAATTCTGTTAGTCACTTTCTCAATATGGTCACTAAGCTAACTAAGAGACTTGTTTGCTATTAGTATTTGTGTTGATGTTGGATAGAGTTGGAGGTAACCTGTAGGGGAAGTCCTTAATCTAGACTTCGTCCTTACCCGGCATTTATTAGCCAGATATATCTGAAACGCGCCTCACAAGTTGATGTCCTATCCGCATTACCCAATTAATTAAATTAGAGACGTTATTACTGAGTTACTGGGATCTCAGTTGGCCTACTATCGGATCGGCTTCTACCATCCAACATCTGATGTGTATGAAACTTATTTTACTAGTTTTGTCGTTCATTTGCTTAAGTTTGTTACTTCTCATTTTTAAGTCAAGTATGTTATTGGATTCATATTATTTGACTTTTAAATTTGTATGCAAGAAAACCAGTTTAATGAATTGAGGTCTCTTTTTTGAAAAGGTATCTTACAAGAAAGTAAGAATTTTTTTCACTAGCAATAATAATAATAATAATATGGGAAATAAAGTCTCTCCTAACAAACTTTCCTTTTCATTGTCTGACTTTTTTCTTTAAAAAAAAAACAAACATCAGCAGTAGTGCCTTGATTTAAACTGATTTAAATTAAAACACTGTAAACTTTTTTTTTAAATGTCATTCAACAATAATATACAAAAAGTTTTCATTTATGGGCTTATATTTGTAAAAGTAAAATGTTCATTGTAGTAAATCGCTTACTCGTAAAGTTCTTCATTATCATTGGTAGGTTGTTTCAAGGTTGTTCTAACGGTCGAGTTTTAAAGTGTTTGTTTTCTGATTACTGAAGTACATCATTCAATATATATATATTATTGGAACATTTGCTAGCAAAAGAATTGTGATCATTAGCCAGTCAGTCAGTCAGTCAGTCAGTTAGTTATTCAATGGTGACTTTAGTCAATGTATTCTTTGTTTTAATGTGTTTGTCTAGACAATCCTCCTCCACTTATTGAATTTCTTCACTTCTGTCGTTGATAGGTATCATATAACATCGACAATAAAACGAATTGTTTTTTCTATTCAGTTTTGCTTATATTTTGATAGTTAATCATTTTAGATTGATTGACTGACTGACTAACTGAAAAGTAGTCATCAAAAAAAATAACCTTAAGACTCGAGTGAATCTTTTGCGTTTTTGTTATTTTCCCAATAATCCATCTTTAAAATGTTTGCTTGCATTTCGAAGTGTTGATATATCAGAAACGCTCAATGTCGAGGGAAGTATGAATTTATCTGCTTTACCACTATTGACACTGATTTTGAATAACCCTGTGTTTGAACTACCTCACAGATCCTATTAATCAGAATGTTTGTACTTTTCTATTGGGTTCATACCACATATATACATATGCCATTTGGAAATGACATTCTAGATTGCAAAATAAATTGAATGTTTATCTGAATAAGGCAATAGCAACACTGAAATCACGATAAAATAGATTCATTCTATTTCATGAAAAAATAGTGGTGAAATAAAATGGATCTGTTCTACCTTGTGCTCCGTGTGTTGTTGTTATTGCTTTGTTCAAATATCCTAAAGGGAATTTTTATGTAAGGGATGTTGGTGTTTTCATATATCTAAGTATTATTATTCCCTTGGGTTCCTAGTGGAGCATGGGATTTAGAAAACACATCTCCATTTTACCGTATTCTCTGCAGTCCTTTTTTTACCTGGCTCCACGATCACCCATAAGCTCCTATCTCCTCCATATCACCTTCATACCTACGCTCAACTTGTTTGTTCCTATTCTGATCCCACTTTATGACCTGGGGCGTGATGTGACTTACTATCGGTCTCCTCAATGTTTGTCGCATCCATCTCCATTTTCTTCGGCATATTTCTTGGGGGGGGGGAATAGGTTCTTGGTGTGTAATAGCATTGTTCATAATTGAGTCATCATTTGTGCAGTAGCTTAGATGCAAATGTAAACGTGACATCGAAGTTTGCTAAATTATAACGAAAATTTTACTGTTTGCATTTAATGACACCATTCTGTTTGTAACACTTGCTATCGCCTTCAATTAGTATATTTGTATATATAAGTGTCTCCTGTCTTTTACTTCTTGTAAATGCACACACTTTATATACTGGTGTTTTGTCGCTTTTTCCCTTTGTAGGAGCGTCGTATGACCAAAGAAGAAATACAAGCAGCACAGTTACTTAGTAATTCCTCTTTAAAAGATCGTATGACTGTACCATCTGTGTTACAATTCACTAATCTACTCAACAATACTTCGTATAATAATTCGAATAATCATAATCATAATAATAGTAAATCGTCATCCGCATTATTAACCAATCCATCTCGTAGTAGTAGTACTAGCAGCAATCCAAATGAACATAAAAATTCATTGAAAAAGTCTGGCGGTCATCTGTCTTCCTCATTGATTGGTATAGCCAGTGAAACACAAGAAAGAAAGTATTTACGCCTACCTAATCCACTGTCTTTGTCGTCAAATGTTACATCAAGTACAGTTGTACCAGGTAAGTTACATTTAAGAAATAGAATTTTTTTTTTTGAAAAGAAAATTAACTATGTAAATTTCATCTTATTATGAAGAGAAATGAATAAAGGTGAACAGAATCAAGTGACAATGACATTTTAGCACTCGAATGCTTCTATTTAACAAAAATAAGTATATGAATAAATAAAAAGTTCAATGTGGGTAAACTAAATAATGTCATATGTGTGTATATATGATCGTAGTTAGTGAATTCTCATAGTCGAAATCATTCGTTGGCTGGGGTGATGGCGTCTTCTCTTTGTACTCTGATTTTCACAATAGGACAATGGCTAGGACATGTGCTAATAGTCCTATAGGTTATACCATTTCCTGACGAGTAAAGTAAAGGATCGGGTCCCAGTGGCTCAATGGTCTACGAGCTCGCCTCGTAACCAGAAGGTCCTGGGTTCGAATCCCGGTGGGCGCGTACTGATGAAGAGTCCCAAACTAGGACGAAACAGCTGTCCAGTACTCCCAGCTGGTTTTCCAGTGGTTCTCTAACTGATGTCAGCTCATGATGAAACCCTCCATGCAATCAAACCAAATCCCTACAAAACCAATACTTGCATATTATATATATATATAATATATATATATATATATATATATATATATATACTGAGTGTATATACCATCCGTCTTTGTTTCAAGAAAGTATCAATATTTACAATACGCTTTTTCCCTTTTTTTAGGAGCCAAACATCAACACAGTATGTCCGACAGTCATGTAATTTCACCAGCAATCTCTCCTTGTCATCAGGCAACTAACTCAGTCATTGGAGTAACAACGACAACAACATATTCACCAGGTTTATCTCCACCATCAACCCCTCAATCTATTAATAACTGTGGTCACTCACCCCCACCGTTGCCACCCAGAATACGACGTCAAAGTTGCAATTGTTCTAAGCATGTGAAGGCTTCAAGTTCAGCTTCTTCTTCTTCTGTTACTTCTCATAGAAATCCTACTCCACCACCGCATTCACCGAATTGTACAGATGCTTGTAGTTGTTTCCCACCACCTCTACCTCCGAAATCAACAACCACTGGTTCTAATCGTTCAGTAGCAGCAATGCCAATCACTTCTATCCATGCCAATAACAATCGATATTCAAATGATAGTTCTCCACATCACTCTACTTGCCAGTCATGTACATTCAATTCAGAGTCTTCTAAAACTCATAGATCTTTGCCTATGGAAACAGCTCCACCTTTACCACCAAGAATGAATACAACTAATCCTGCTTCAAATTCGATCACCGAAGATAGTGGCGGGTGGTCTCGCTAAAATCACGAATTGATGGAAGTTGGAATTTATGGACCGTTTATGGATCGAATCCCAGTAGCTGAATGTTCTACGAGAGCTTGCCTTGTAACTTGAATGTTCTGGGTTCGAATCCCGGTGGGTGCTGACGAGTTTTACACATTAGGACGAAGCTGTTGTCCAGTACTCCCTGGTTTCCAGTGGTCCTCCAACTGACATCATTCGGTGATCAAAATTCAAACTAAACAAATCCCTAGGAAATAATTCTTGAAAATTAATCCTACTTCATTGAATACCTCTTTTACTGGTTATACTAGGTCCTCTGATGCACAATAAAATTATCACTTGCAATCTAATAATGTTGAATCTCATATCAACTGTTTATACTCTATGGATTGTTATTTCACAATACTGTTGTCCTTCACTGATGATTGATTGATACGAGAAATGTCGAGGTTAAAAAACCCCAACTTTGTATGTTTTTCTTTTTTGGTGGATTCTACACTTTATTTTCCTAGGCTGAATGTTCCTGTCTCATGAAACTCTCTCTTTCTCTCTCTCTCTCTCTGCATCCAATTATCAACCTGATCTTCTTTTGTTTATTATCACCCCTTGCAATTGATATCATGTGATAATTAATTTAAAATTATTTAAAGAAAAACAAACAATTGACGAATGTTCAATCATCACACAATTTATTGCTTTTGTTTATTGAGGGGAGGGGATGGGAGGCGGTTCCTTCTGTGTCCCTCTTCTTATTTTGTAACTTTTATTTATTGTTCAACTTTTGTTTTATTATTATTTTCTGCTTTTGTATTTGTTTTGTTGTGGTTTTCTCCTACCGGTGCTCTGTGATGAATCACTTTGGCAAAATGAAGCATTTTTTCTTCGCGTGCAATCTTATGCTTGTGTGTGTATGTATGTGTGTGTGCGTGCATCAGTACGTGTGTATGTGTGTGTATGTGTATGCTTGTATGACCTGACCTGTACAAGTCTGTTTAAGTATTTTATAAACAGTAAGTAGAACAGTAGAATATCGAGTATATATACATTTGCCTTCTCTTTCTATTCATCAGTACATTCAATTAAACTTTCTTCAGTTCTAATCTGCATGTGTATGTAGAATGTATTACTTTATGTAACTTTATTCTTATCGTCTTTTATTATTATTATTATTATTAAATCTTTTACTAGGTGTGTGTGTTTACCCACTTCCTCTTTCTCCAATATTCTTCACACTACCACTGCATTACAAGTCCCTCTTTATTCTCTTTCCTCACAGTCTCTTCATAGTCTATGGCGCCTGAAGAATCTGTTTTATTCACTGATGATCTGTTCATCATTTACATCAACGTTTCATCACTTATTACTATTATTTATTTATTATTTATTTATTTCATGAAGTCAATATGTACATTAGATTTTAATTTCATTCCTTTGTACAAAATAATGAGAAGAACTACAAAGATATTATGCTTTTCAGGATCCAGTAGTTCACATTCTGCACACATTCACATCTTGTACGATTTTCAAAAATCCAGTCAGAGGACTGTATCTAGAAGTACAATCAATCAATCAATCGATCAGTTGTAGAAGAAAGTGCAAATAAGAATGCTTTGCTATCCCTTTTATTTTAGAAAATAATTTCTAAAAATATGCATTCAATATATTAGTCCTTATTCCTCTGATATGTTAATATGTACATCTTTTCGTGTTCTTTCCTACTCATTACCTTCTTCATCTCTTTTTATTGTTCTTCATTTAAAAAGAGAGAGTGGTGGTTATGATGCGTTAATCTGTATTATATAGGTACCTCATTTTTGTTTTACTTGTCACTAATAAATAGATGAACACCCATATATCATCAATCGTTTCAAGCTTTCCCAGTACTTTCTAGTTTTCATTTGGTTCTTTTGATTTTTTTAATCACAATTTGTGATCCAATTTGAAATCAATCAAATGTCTACAAAATAACATTTGAATATTTTATTTATCTTTTCTTTATATTGTTTGTTTATTTGTTTTTTAAATATTTCATGTGGCTTATCTTTTGACGATGATGATGATAATATTGTGTCCATTTTATGTCTAAATATTCAAACAATAATACACTAGATGATTGATTGGTTGATTGATTTGAATCAGTGCTTGATTACTAATCAATTAATTACCTCCGATGTTCATTTTGTGTGTCCATTGTGAATTTTAGAAAAAATAAACAAGAAATATAAATAATCTAAAAATAAATAAAAAGTACATTATCTTAATTAACATTGAGGCTAAAATATGAAATTACATCTATGCATTTTAATTGATTCTGAGATATTTAAGTATTGGTTTGTAGGGATTTGGTTGATTGGTTACAGGATTTCATCATGAGCTGACATTGGTTAGAGAACCATTGGAAAACCTGGGAGTACTGGACAGCTGTTTCGTCCTAGCTTGGGACTCTTCATCAGTACGCACCCATCGGCGTTCGAACCCAGGACCTTCTGGTTACAAGGCGAGACATGTGACCTCCTAAGCCTGCTAACGATAAGTTCTAATTGTCTAATAGAATTGAACTAGGCAATATCCACAACCCAAAAATTAATTTATTCAGTCAAAATTGTCTAATCCGACCAATCTTAATCCTCTCATACCTTTGCGTTTCGAGTACAGCATATAAGGCTTTTAAGACTTGAAGTTTCAGTAGCCATGGTGTTGATTTTAGAGGGTGAGGTTGCTTAGCCTTATGCCCAACCTCCCCTTTTTTCTGGGCTCACTATCGATTAGTAAACTGGGAGAATTCTAGGAATAAGTCGGCCGGGAAATATACCCAGACCATATGCTGCATGGTTAATAAACATTCTGTCGCTAAATCACCGATTCCCTTTTTGTTTTAATACAACTTGAACTGATCACAATACCGTAAATGGTCTAGTCATTCATATTTCTTTGAATAGTAAATAGTTGTTTCACTGTATTAATCACCGCGAATCGCCATACTGTATTTCAACTACAGGAGGAACGGACGAGGATGTCAAATCGAGAATCGGTAAGGCGAGAAACACATTCATCAACCTGAAACCAATCTGGAAATCTTCGTCACTCAGCATCAACAACAAAATTCGAATTTTCAATACAAACGTCAAGTCAGTCAGTTCTTGTATACGGATCAGAAACTTGGCGGGTCACAAAGAATATTTACAACAGCCTGTTGCAAACCTTTACCAACAACTGTCTTCGCTCCATACTGAAGATTAGATGGCCGGAAAGAATCACAAACAAGAAGCTATGGGAACAAACGAAACAGGAACCAATCGCCCAACAAATATGCAGGAGGAAGTGGAGATGGATTGGACACTCGCTGAGGAGGCCGTTGAGTAACATCGCGCGTCAAGCCCTCGAGTGGAACCCGAAAGGGAAGCGGCGAGTGGGACGTCAGTGCAAGGGTGACATGGAGGAGATCGTGTGAGGAGGAGATGAAACAGTATGGAATAAGATGGACGCAAGTGAAAAGAACAGCAGAAGACAGAAGCAAGTGGAGACGTGCAGTTGAAGCCCTATGTTCCACTAGGAACCCAAGGGAACAATAATATAATAATAATAATATATAATGCTTCTTCCAGTCTGGTCTTCCTCGCTACTCTCTTTTCAGAGTAGTTGAATGTGTGTAGACACAACCCATCTATCAGCTACTGGAGAAAACGGTAGCTATCTGTCAGCTAAGCTTATCAAGTGTTCAATAAGCAAACATCTCTTTGAAATCCTCTGTTAGTCTTGATCAACTATCACAATGATGAAACGTCTAACATTTAATGTGCTCTTTTGGATATCAAAATGGACTTTTGTCATTTTTTTTAAGTATTGGCTAGTACTCAATATGTTTTTATAGTTTTAAATTTTTTTTGATAATTTATCCATGATCAGACAATTAAGAGCGTGATTTTATTTTAAAATCGAAAATATCGCCTAACATAATTCTAATAATAATGGTTGATTGATTGTGTTCTGATGACCTTTGCTTTTTTAATATACATTAATGAATTATTTTGTAGTCAAACAAATAAATAATTAAGAAGATTTTTTTTTAAAGACTGTAAGTGTACTTTGGTTGAACACACTAGGTGGTAGTCACTAGTGTCGTGCATCTAGGCCTTCGTTTAGTGCATACTTCCAGTGGGAAGTCGTGACCAGTAGGGTTCAGCAGGTCAGGTGTGAGGACAAATACTCACCGAAGACATTGGCTAGCGGTTGCGCTATATCATGAATTGGCAGAAGTTGGAATTCATGGGTTGGCCATTGGATCGGGTCCCAGTGGCTTAATGGTATACGAGCTCGCCTTGTAACCAGGAGGTCTTGGGTTCGAACCCCACCAGGTGGATGCGTACTGATGAAGAGTCCCAAACTAGGACGAAACAGCTGCCCAGTACTCCCAGGTTTTCCAGTGGTTCTCTAACCAATGTCAGCTCATGATGAAATCCTGTAACCAATAAACTCTATCAGTTGAGTTTGCAATGTGTCTCACCATCAATGTGTACTATGAATTGTTATTAGGTTATGATTGGAGGCAATCAGCAGGAAACCTTGCAAGTGTTTTTTCGACTTACTGATATGAATTAGAGAAAAACATTTGAAATCTCTTGACGCGTTAGGTAAACGTTTTGTCTTAAAACTACTCATCAGTAATGTAAACTATAAATTGTTTAACTAAAGGATTATTCACATGATCAGTAATGAATGATGGGACGAGAATAGAAGTAATCGTGGGGTGTTTTCGCGCATAGTATAGCAAACGACACAATAGACGTTACAGTCATGAAAAAAATCAATAGAACAGCCAATGGTAACACCCGATGTAATTACAACATTCGTCTAAGCGCGTAGTACACAATCGTATAAGATCAACCTGAGGAAATTTGAATATTAACTGACCGCCTCTATTCTGTCTATCAAGTAGGCGGAAACGAGACAGAGGTAAATTTGTTTTGGCAATAACTTATATACTGACTTGAGCGATGCTTAAATGCATAGCATAAAGT